GGTTAGGTATGGCCTTTCAATGATGATTTCTGACGGCCCATAACGAAAGCCTTGGAGTTTCAAGTCATTTCTCGCATCCTTAGGGAGCAAAAAACTACTTTATTGATGTGCCGAGTACTGAATAAGAAATTATGGGTTACCCCCCCCCCCCGCGGTGTCGGCCAGTGTTCGTGCTACTGAGGATAAGATTCCTCATTGAAAAGATGGAGCATTTAATAGAAAGACCTCTCTTTGGTTTAACCGTAACCGCTTACAAGATTTTTCACCATTCGGTTTTATTGCATAGGCCTGTCTTTTTAGGTTTTAGTTTACATATAATACGTATAAAATGGAGACGATGTTTCAATGGCATTATGTAGGTGTTGCACCGAAAAGTTCGAAATCTACTTCCAGGGACTATTGGTTCACTTTGGAGGCAAAACGTAAGACCCTAATCGAATAAATGACGAATGGCAAGGGGAATTGTTGTTTTTGTACAACACCTAGCCGCCACGATTTGTTCAAAACTAACCAGACAGTTCAGTAGACCGGGTTGCATCTCAAAAGGGACGAATTAACATAGGGGTTTAATCACTTACTCCAATCCGGTCGGTGTTCGAATGACAATCCTACCTATATTTAGCATACCAGTGTATTTTCGCTAACATTTTACGGCTGCCTTCAAGGAAGACATGAAAAGCTGAGGGAATTTGTGAACTTTAATGAAGTTTTCCTCTTGTAGGCAGAGCTAACCTGTGCTGAAAAGCCGAGAAGCAGCGTACAGCTGGTTCATCCTTACTTTCACTCCTCAGCAGTGCACACCTCACGAACCTCGAGGAAGTTTCGAATATACCTACCTACAGCCCCTCATCACCTAATCGATATCACCTATCCACAGCCATCTCGCACTCTGCAGTGCGCTGGGAATAAGGACAAAGTAGCGTGCTTCTTGGCTTTTAGACATGGATTAGCTACAGTTACAGGGCACTATTTCCATTAGGATTCCCGAATCTCTTCACATTATCAACAACCCATGGGTAAATCAGACGATGAGTAGACGTCGTGCGACGAAGTAAACTTGGTGAAACGTTATTGTCAGTCGAGGAGCCAGTCACCGCATATGACCTCATGATGTGTATCACGTGAGTGAAGGATGAGTGCTGTCATGCCGTGCAGTGCAAATCGCACTGCTGATCAGACTACCCTGACTAAAGGTGTCCACACGACTAACCGGGAGGTCTGGGGTTCACAAACTTCGTTTTTAACAGATGCGCACAGATGTCTATTTTAAATATGAGGAAACAGCTTCAGAGTGCTTCGCAGCTTTTAAGCACAAACTCGCTCTAATTAAGGGACGAAATCTCCGTTTGAAGTTTCATGAATTGGAAACAAATTGATTATTCACTTAAAGTATGCTTCAAACTCTCCAGGCTTCTAACAATTGCTTTGAGCAGTTCTATGATCCAGTTCTAAAGTAATCCATAGAAATACAATGCTTTGGTTAGTGTGCCACAAAAGGAGTATGAGTGTCACTCTACTCTTTGTATTTAATAACTTCGTCGACAACGCAACATTCTCATGAACTCTGGAATTTTGCTGTTGTTAGTTTTCCGTTTTCTCCTCTTTTAGGTGAAGTGAGTGTTTTTTGGAATGGACGGACGGGCACATTTTTTGTAAATATTCCTCACCGGTAACTTTGGAGTTATACACAGCCTTTAGATAGGAAAGTTCTGGCGCCTAACGATCAATCCATTGGGTGGCCTTGTCGAAGACAGCTTTGGCACGAATTCCCACCTACCAAAATAACTAGAGATTCTGAACAATCATCTAAGGGCAGTGTTTTGCCTACCACGAATCCACATGCTATCGACAAAATGCATACATAAGACAATAAACAGAAAGCTTCTCGGACTACGTGTCTGACTCTTTGGTTTCAACAATAAAGGTCATACAAAGTTCACGGAATCCCACACCTACTCGTCTAAAAAACACGAGTGAATGGGTTATCCACGGAGGAAGTAATTTTACCTGTTTTTACTTTGATGTATTTATTTTTCAGCTCTCTCAGTGTAGTTGTAATATTGAAGTGAACAACTGGAGATATCCGATATTAGAAAAGAAGTGCCCAGAGCTAGAGTTTGAGAAACATTTGTGCAATTATCTCCCCATCTCAGTTCAAATCAATTTATAGTTATGCGGTAGTTGTCAGTGCATTCATGTCTATCTGCCACCCAGTATCCTTCAAAATCAGAAGTTTCCTTCGCTCGGGGTTGAATGTTGAAGTATGACATAGTGATGGTAACGTGCATACGGAGAATCTTCCCTTGGGCCTGTTGAATGTTCAGTAAAGCCCTTTCTCCCGACCAGTTGTCCTACAAAATAACGAAGCTGCATTATTTTGTAGAAGCAACGTTGCTAATCTCAAAAGCGCGATTTCCTTTTCAGTATTTAGTTTTTGAGGACACAAATGTCCCAGATGAACCGGGGAAGGGCATCGATTAATGTGTTAGTATGAGGCCTAGTTTTATCTTAGACGTCACTTTCCAAAAATTGACTCAAAGTTTGGATGAATGCAGTCTTTATTCCAGTCAGATGCTTGATTTGGACTGCGGGCGCCAAACTGGGGAAGTCACTGTAATTTGGCCGGAATCGCTTCGGTCGCACAAAATAACAAGCCCGGCGGCTGTATACAGGAAAAATTTGGCAGTTTTATTAGTTCCTAATGTGCACGCAAAGTGGACAGTTTTTTCCACTCTAACTCTTGACTAACTCCACCGAGTGGCTTAGATATTTGTGAGTAGTCAAAAGAACAGCCATGTTGATGTACTCAAACAAGTTCTAAACAGGTAACGTAGCATCGGTCGACACATCTGTGCAGTGTCTACCTACATCCCAAGTTTATCCATATCAGAGGTCAGTAGCTACACCCAAATCGCCCACTTCCAGGAGAGTTAATTGGCCTGACAACTGAAGCTTTTCCCTGGAAGGGGTCATAGCTTGCCTTCGTTTTATGGTGAAACGTCTTGCCTGAGAGATTTTCACGACGAAAAATGTCTTAGGTTGTCTGCTAAATTTACGCCATCATCCAGAGTTCCGTATTATAGACCAAGTAATATCGGAAGACTTCGTGATTTCACTTGTCACAATTTCAAATTGATCATACCACTGTCACTATGCAAAAGCCCCGCACTGACCTAGTTTTCAGATGGATACGGAATAGGGATTTTTACCCGTTTGCCTCACAAGTACTCCACAATTAGTATAGGAGTGATTTCAGCCGTACGAAAATTGAACGAGCACATTCTTTGTTTGCTTAAAATTCGCCTAATGAATTGTGTTCCCAGACGGGAATCATTATCCTTTTCGAGGATCATCCATTTTTGTGAAGATCTGGAACCGTTTTCTGAATGTGCAAACAGAATTAAATCCAGAAATGTTTCCAAAATATTTATCGCTTCAAGATATCTTCTGATTTTGACGGAATGGATCAGCATTAATTAAGTCATCAGTCAGGTAACGCGTTTGGAATGAGGCTCAGTGACATAATGAATTTTCAGGGAATTCGACAGTTCCGTCCTGCTGAATGATACTCAAATTTTGTCCTTAACACCTTATAGATTCCAACTGTTCGACTGTTCATCTGAGTAGTCGGTGGATCGGAAATGTTGTTCTACATCTTCCATGCTAACCGGAATCACTGAATCGCGTATTGCGATTCTTCCATCAGGGAAGTTAACAACACAGTTCTCAAAAAAATTGTGATCACCTAGTACCCTCGTGTATTTACGGTAATTTTCAAGTCAAGCTCCGACAAGTTTTTTAAAAGTGCACAAACTATCGCGTCATATTGTTAGCTAGCATTAGGATAAATGGAGACAGAGGCATAACTCAATCGTTGTTCGTATCACCACTCTTCACTTGTCCTCAATCGAATTTTGATGAGTCCTCGTTATCCACATCTTGGATGAACAACTAATGCCTTAGCTTAATATGTTTCCGAATTTTTACCAGCTGAAGACCATGGGTCAGTACATCCACTCAGCTCAAGCAAATTCCAGAAGTAATTAAACGAAACATTTCTGTAGTATCTATTAGGTGAGGGAATCGATTACGTTTGAATTACAAACTAAATTGAAATTTCTCCCTGCGTGCTTCATCCCGGCCAACTGACAACTTGCGATGCGAGACTTATGGAAGGCCGGATTTCCACACTACCTGATTGATGACATCACTAATTTACCGCTGAATGAGCTAATCACCAGATTAAGCAACCCGAATTCGTCTTTTCCTGGATCTGTCCCGCATTTTTTCCAAAACGCACCTGCGGATTGATAGTTCCATAAAGGTACGCAAGTGTATGAACCGTGAAATTACAGAAGGTACTGAATTTTAACTTTGCTTTCAAAATAGCATAGTAGACATAGTAGAGGCGCCTGGCATGTGAAACCCAGTGCTGACACGAGCGAGAACTGTCAAATGAGATAGCCACGTGTTTCACCTGTCTAACTTGACCAGCATTCAGTTCTCCGATTGGGACGAAATGGCTGGTAGTCAATAATCCCATGTGTTTCTTAAGACGCCACCACCTTAGACCGAAATTAAATATGCTCTTGACAATGTGTGATCTTGTGGTCTGTTGCATTCTCTAGAGTGCACTTACGTTTACAGGCAGCTGGACGTGAGAACAAAATATGAGAGTAGATTCCTCAAACTTACTCAGTTTTGGTTCAAGACATTCGCGCCAAATGAGTGTCAGCCACAAATTTGCCCTTGTCATGAAGTTGCTCAAGTCTGACAGCTGTAGCATGTGATCCCTAAGGTATGGGCATTGAGAGTAATTTACACCACTCGTTCGATTACTCTATCGAGCACACGAACCAAAGCCCTGTGTTTCTCCAAGATTGTTTACACGCTTTTGACAGATTGTCGCCGATACGTGGCTTCATATCTCATTATGTGGTTTGATGAGCTTATTTTCTCGCCTAGGGTTTCATCGACAGTGGCTTCTTTTTCCTATCCAGCAAGGACAATGGATATCACTCATTCCGGTGGACAACCTGACACACGGGAACTTGTTGCATGGAGCAGTATGGTATTCAGCTCACCGCTGCTTGGCCTACTTACTGGAGCATGGTTTCGGTCGAGAGACATCAAAATCAACCACGGTGAGCCTTTTCCTCTAATTTGAGATGTATTCCATCATTTTAATTTGTCTGATGTGCGTGATAGTCTTCCGGGCGGACCCCAAGTAAAAGTAGTACGTACGTGAATTATAGGTTGTGTGATATGGCTGAATGAAGTCTCTTGATCTTTGCTCAGCTCTGAAGAGTATATGACTTCGTCTCAGAAGGGCTTGGTGAACGATCGGGGATTTTAAACAAAAGTTTCGTCAGGCCAAGCGATCAGATTACCAATTTGGCCAGCTTTTAAAGCAAACAGAGAACCAGTCAGCAAGAACTCTTCAGATTAGCCCGCCAGATCAGTGTTGAATGTCAGTTGATGAGTACAGCCTAAATCTTGCAGATGATAGATTAGGGTAGTTTCAAATTATTTTTGATCGAGTTCGGTTGGTTGATCTTCTGGTTCAAGGCGCTTCAATTGAGAGTTTGGGGGGGAAGGGGTTGAGTTTGTGAGACTGGATGAAATTTCTATTCGGTTTGGTATAAGTTACTTCTGTTGATGACTGCACACCACCACGTGTCGGCTCGACTGATCTAAAACCGTCGTGCAGGTGCTTGCCAGTTCTACGCCTGTTGAATTTACACTGGCGCGCTTGTCGATTTCCACCGCTTCAGCCATCGGTCCCTGTGTCGTGAGCCGGTTCTCAGCACGAACTCAAAGGGGCTCGGTTACTTCAGGAATTTAGAATAACTTATCAAAAAAAGATCGCTATTTCCTGTCAGCCTCAACTGACGTCTTTGATGGACAACTATGTGGGATCCGTCCACTTTGTTTTACAAGTGTAAAAGTTAAAGGTCGCTGTTTATCTTGTTTCAATTTTTGAGAGAACATGTGCACAGTTTATCAGGGTGAAGGCCGACAGCTGATTTTATCCCCACCTCATGACAGCTGGACCAGGGTGTTTGTAATAGTAGCTTACTGGACCACTAGTTTCAAATTCATTGATTAAATGCACGTGTCCACTTGAAACCTGATTTAGCAGTTATGAAGATGGTCGTTCTGCTGGTTTCTCCATAAACGCGGATGATACTCAGCCGGTAAAGGCGGATTCACTTCGAGTAGTTTGAATCTACTGCTTGTGTAAGCCTTAAAAGACTGTTACAGGTAAAAGCACTGATTGCGTGAGCAAGTGAAAATCAAATGTACAGGTGAAAAAACGTGCGGGTTCACGTCTGGATCAAAAGGAAAGGAAAAAATCGATTGGGGTGAGGGCTTTTGGGATTGCCTCAGTTCGAAGTATTTTTAAGCAGAGTAAAATATGACATGTACTATGGGTATTTTACAGTCAAAACACCGTAGTGACCCATGTATTGACTTTTTCAAAAACATTCACAAGAGCCAAGTCCGGCGTCCTTCCTCTTATAGCATACTAACCACAGTTTCTGAGAGCCCGTAGGCAGTACACTACCAGGTTTTTTCTTTTCCCAGACTCGGTCAGAAAGAACAGTGGGCGTTTCGAAATTAAAACAACACAAAACACTTCTGAGTAATCTGTGTTCAAAATTACTTGTTTGCCGTTAGCACCGATGCACTAAACAAACTAGAGTTTTATACCGAAACAGCTACCAAAACCACAGGCTAATTCGTCGTGCATCGTTTTGTCGTTGTTTTGGGAGATCTTAGAACAATGGTGTGTCGTAAATCCAAGAAAGCTCTTTTGGTGTAGCTGAAGAAGTAGTCTGAGTCAAATGGCTCATTTCGCCGTCAACTTGTCACGTCCAATGATCGACTCGAGGAACTGTTCGCTCCTTGAGGAGGAGTGATATATGGGCAGAAGTATATCTCTTCTCTCAAATAAAACATCCCCCATAAGTTCTAACAGTTCAAACTGGCAACTGGAAAGAACAATATTAACCGGGAAGTCCCTCATATCGATCACCTCAATCACCGATATGGATTAGAAGTTATTTTCAATCCAAAGTAACTGCTTTTTGTTCAGTTTGAGCAAGATAAATGTGATGAATGCGTTAAGGCACGGGTAAGTAAATCATTAGAGTTCACTAATTGGTTGGCTGTATTTTTCAGACAACGCGCTTATCCACTTTTTACGTGTATCTGATTATACTGGGTTTTTCTAGAACTTACGGGGCATAGTTTTCACAGAAATATTCGAATACGTTCGTTTTGGTTTTCAGGCTGTAAACAGGAAGATTGACAGAAGAGATTGAAGAACATTTCTGAAAAAGTTTCCTCACGTGCAGTGACATCAAAAAGGGTATTTACTCCCATTTTTTTCGTTCAGTTTTCCAGTTTCTGATTTAAATGACCGCATGCTGAATGGTATGAAGACCGCGCTGTCACAACGATCAATGATGAGATCCTAGCTGATTTAAAATACGCGCATCCAAAAAAACATATACGGAGCCTATCGTTAGTCTTGGAATCAACCTAGCGAGTTATCGGTAATTAGCGGTATTTAGCGACTTCTTACTGTTTGTTCCAAGACAACAAAGTTATCAAGAGCCTTACATATCCGGTGAAATCTTTCTAATCGGGTGTGGGTTTTCAGGATGCGGTCAAATATCTCAAAAAAATGCCCGGTCCAATCTATAAATTTTGCCTTACGAACACCTTACCTCCAACTCGTTAAGTTGCTTACCTTGAGAAATTTGAATTTTTGTGAATCTAACAAATCGGTCTTGAAAAAGAAGCATTTTTGCCAACGGCATCATCTGCAAGTAGCTTTGGAACCTCATAAAAATTGTTCTTGGTGGGACAAAACGCTAACACAAAACGTTATGTAAATGTTGGATGAAATGGGCGCGTTTAACTTTAGAGTGTAGAGACGTGATTCCAGTATTAATAATGCCAACTTTAACGCCTATATATCACTTTGAAGACTGTGCGTCTACCGAGCCAACCTTCAGAGTGTAAGGCGACCGCAGTTTCCGCACGAGCAATCCATACTGACTCTTTAGTCTTGACTCTTAGATTCCTATTGGAAGCAAATTGTGGGATATCATTGGGTCCAATGTGTGTCTCGTCCATATGATCAATTCTTGCAACTGATTTGGTTTTCGGCTGCTTAAACGAAACATATTCAGACATTACCGTTGCAACGTATACATTATTCTCCCATATGGCCATAACCAAAAATGTGCTGGCAAATTAAGTATCAAATCCTACGGACATTAATTTTCTACTTGTCAGGTTAATTGAGCACCGGCTTTTGAAAAAATGTGCGGGTTTTGGCAACAGGTGGAGAAAATCCCGGTTTATAGGCCATTTGAAGAGATGTGAGTTTGTTGAACGTAAGCAGATGTAAGTGTGAGTAAACGGGTTAGAGTCTGATGGGAACCCTTTTCAAATTTCCCAGGAAGACGTAAGTCCTTCCTCATTTTGTGAAACATGTTCCAAAAGATTTGAAAATGGCCCAGAATCATTCCATTCCCTCCTCGCAGATGTAAAGTCTCCCCAAAGTTTACTTGCATACACCCACTGGTCTTTACACCTGAGACATTACACATTGAGAGGAACTGCGTCAATGTACTTCGTCAAACATACACAAGTTTGTCTTAATCGCAGATGTAGTCGACCACCACATAAAATTACGTTTTTAAAGAAGACAGGGTGTGTCCATGCTCCAGAACGGATTTATTACATCTCTTTAGTTATTTCAGATGCAGTTTGGTGCCACCGAGCTTCATTGTGCCTAGCAGAAAACAGGATCCTGTGAAATAAACTCCCTACCAATGGGCTTATAACGTCGGCGAATGTTTGCTAATCGTGTCTCCGTAAAGGTATATGACTTCGTCTCAACATCCATGATTTAAAACTACACCACGTGATTGTGTACCATAGGGTAGTTCTGTGGCGCCTATGACCAAAGAGTTCTCAGATACTAACCTGCCGGTCGGCATCAAAGAACTTGGAATAGAATGGTTCAGAAACTTTGTTAGCGTGTCAAGAGGTGCTGCTGATTTTAGAGTTTCGCAGGCACTTACGTCCATATCTGCGTTTGAAAACAAATCAATGAACATTGGAAAGACTATGACAGTCACGCAGGCACTCAGGAAGCCTGGAAGAAATATGAGTAATGTTGAAACGAACCTCCTTCTTTAATGGACACTACCCGATGCCTTCTATTCTATTAGCTTCAGGAGACGCTACAGACGTAGCTCAAATACCCTTTTGCAACCAGACCCTTGGATTTATTGTAAGAGTTTAGGGTGATTCAAATCGCTAACGGCAACCCATCGAAAAGACATTTGCTCACGTTAGTTTTTTTCTGTCATAGTTTGAATGAGTAAAGTAACAGGGCTGTGAACCATTGTAACCAGGTTGTTCAACATTTGTGTGAAATTGATATAGCTGCCGATAAAGGCATCTTTGTATGTAAGTTTTGGAGCAGAATTTAAGAAGCGGAACTACTGTTGCTGAAAAGCGTTTTTTGGAAGGCTGGAGGAAATCAACCTGTTTCTTACATTATTCCAGTCTACTAAATCAGTTTAGTCCGCTAAACGGTAGGACAAGAAGGCAAAAACATTACTTTTATCACGGTACAATCTGAAAAGAAGCGTAACCTTTGCCCCAGAGGTGGTCACAATACTGGGAAACACATAAGTCAAAAGGTCTCACTGCGACTTTCAGCGACACAAGCCTTTTGTTCCAGCCATACTGTCAGTCATTCACTGAAGGTTCATTTTCAGTGTCCAGCACCGGCAGAATTACACCGTATTGAACGAATTCGGTTGAAAACACACGCCAGTGTCACGTGAACAAGCATGGCACATTCCTTCGGCTTGATTCTACTCGAAATCAATTGATCAGTCTTGTTTCGCCGATAAACCGACCAGCAAGGCTACCTGAATGTGAACGACGTCAATTATTAATCACTTGCTGAGTAACCAGTGAATCAATGAAGCGATAAATCAGTGGCATCAGGTGATATAATCTGTGTACCGTTTAGAATACAAACAGATGGACCAGCATGATTTGACTGCTGGTAAGGATTTGGAATTCCTCATTTGATGTTGCTCGGGTATTAGCAGACAAGCCGTGCACCATTTGGCACGTAATATGAAAAGTTCAAAGGCAAAACACGGCGCGGTGCACGAGACGCCAATGGTTGTGTGGAGTCACACATGTGGACAAGAATATCAGCGCAGTGACTCACTTTGAAATATACTTTAAAAAGGAATGATGATGATGATTCAGCCCTTACCAGGTGTATCTACCAGACTGGTAATCATGAGTAGTGCTCAGTATCGTTCTGAACTCAAAATCACCCTGTTTGCGACCTTCAGTTTTGAGGCTTTAGCTTGAAGGAAGAGAAATGCTGGCGCATGGGAATGAACGACCCAAGTTCGCATCAATTTCCACGGAAGAAAGCATTAGGTCTTTTTGCCAGCCCAAATGATTTTTGGTTTAAATGGCCAAAAGAACTAACGAGTGGAGTAAATTTGGATTATAAAAGACACATATGACTAGGTGATTAGCACGCCGAAGTTTGGCAGCCTCCCAGACTGGAAAGTGATGAAAGTATTACAGCTGAGTCTAGTTCGTATGTATGGGACTGTGTATCACAACTTGCATCAAAATGGTGGTCTCCTTAATCACTGATGAGAACAGATTTCCTATTCATAAACCATGAAGGGCAAGATAAATGACCGGAAAATGGATTCACACACGCGTGTGGGCAAACTTCCGACCCCAGTCATAGCGAACATCAAACTGAGTCTACGCCGCAAAGCTCAGTCAAACTGGAAACAAGCTGGTAACACGTGTGTCCCTGCAATCAAGGCATTTTGGTACATATCGTGAACCCAACGTTTCACACTGTCTATGCTCTCATTTTTTGTTGGGAGTTTACCATAAGACTGATTTACAATTGAGGGTATTCGCTTCACCCTTGGAGGATTACAACGAAGGAACTATCCAAAATATCACCACTACGCTTGAAAGACACTCAAACAATGATGGAGTTGGAAGATTCCTTTCGAATCTAGGTGTAAAACTAAAGTCGAATAAGTAAATCCCGGGAAAAGCGGACTTCATTATCAAGAAAATAGTTCCAGCTGCTTAGTCAAGTTTTTAAAAAATCCTCTTCAACAGCTGGTTGAAATCCAATGAAAGGTGCATACTACATGCAGGTGTACGTGTACGTATGTAGATATATATGAATAACCTGGTCAGCAGCTACTATCTGTTGTTGTGGGTCTTTGGACTTTGAGCATACTGATGACTCTGGTGTCAGTACTTCTGCGTCAGTTCCCTAAACTTCCTTCAGAAAACGATGGTAAGTTGTTTCGGGAGTTTCCGCTTAGCAAGCTACCCAAGTGACCAACGATGTCATCCCTGGGAGGACGAAGCCGGGGGACAAATCTTTGGAAAACGGAACCAACTTATATCGGTTCCAAGAAGGTACTTTTAGTAAATGAGTATACAGGTGACTCACAGGGCCTTCATTTCAAGTTACATGCATCCGGATGTTGTTTCCATTCCAAAAGATTGGGACTGCACCAGAGATATTGAAACCATCCCGATTATCTAGCTTGTCATGCAGGCCTGCGACGCATTGCGAACCAATTTTTTTCACGTCTGCTTCAACAGCTATGTATATGTGATGAAAAATGCTATACGATACTATGCTATGTTATGCTATACTGTACTATACTATACCATACTGTACTATAGTATACTATATTATACTATAATACTATAACGTAATATCTTTGTCGCCGTGTTAAACACTCCAGCTTGGAAGGTTGAAGGCAGTGCGTAAAGATTTATGGGTGATTTACGGTACCTTGAGGAGAACACTTCACCTATAAGCCCAGCTTTCATGATAAATTTGTAAGGCCCAGTCTACCGTTCCGTTAGTAAACAGAACGACATCCCCGATCTAACACCTTGGTGAGATTTCATTTAAATTGAAACCAATTTCGCCTAGAAGTCTGTTAAATGCGTCTGTTTGCAAACCATTCAGTTTGGTCAGCTCTAAACGGAGGAGTGTCTCCAGTGTTATTCAAACGCAGTTCCTTTTTATGGTTTTTCTAATTATATGTTGTGGTGAATACGTTTGACTTCCCACCGTTCTAGAGGAAGACCATAGCACTGTATAGGCAAAACGTCCATTGTGGAATTGATGGGTTCTTCCCGAAGTTCTGAAATGAGTGTGGTCAGTGACGGACGACCTGTTCTAAAAGATTCTACATGTCGTTGTGCAATGCCCGATAAATGTGGTTAATTGAACAACCTCAAGTTCCAATCAAACCCATGTTCTACCTGAACCCAAATTTGAAAGAGGATCATCGTGAATGAGAGTTTCTTCAGGATCAGTTCAGCTGTGTGATATTGCTCATCACTTGAAAAAAATTGTCCCATTTCGTTTAGTACGAGTCAGTGCATGGTAAACGCAAAGACTATCCTACGAGGTTTCTGTTAGAAGCAGAAACTTGTGATAGTGTATTCAAATTTTTCCGTAACCAAGCTGATTTACCGTTCTTTTGCGCTCGAAATGTTTAGCCACGCTGTATATGTCCATCCTCATCTTCAAAATTACGTGGCTTATTCTTTGTTTACCTCGTGCCCAACCTCACAAACTCGCAAAAGTAACTCAGGTTTAGAGTAAACCGCCTTCATTAAGATTTCTGGGGGAAAAGTGAAGGGTTTCCCATCTTAAAGACAGCTGGGCTTCCATCCCCTGGAGACATTCTTGGAGTCGTTGTAGCCAGGAGATTCATGTGACAAATTAAATACTTTGCTCCAAAAATACATGCGTTTTATCGGTAAGCCCTGAAAGTAAAGTTTCGGTCACTTTTAGAAATCTTGAATAGAAAAACGGGGATACGATATCCTAGGAAATCAACAAATTTCCTTTTCACGACTTTGTCCCCTATTTTTGAGCATAATTAGTACAAATGCACTTGCTGCCAGTCAACATCTGGTTATATAGATACAAGACCTCTGAGAACGTACAACCATGGACGTGAATTTGGCTTACCCCATGGGTGTCTCTTGTTAAGAATTTTGCCACACTCCTTACAATGCATTCGGATATGCACCACGATTCCTTCCAGTTCCACGTGCTTTAAAGAATCAATTCAATGCTTAAAACATTTAACAGACCAGCTTTAGTTTTCTATGCATATGGGAAGAGAGGTTTTGGAATGCAAACCACATGGTTGTCTACGGCAACTCATCTCGAAATAGGGCCTCCTTGTTTGGTTAGTAGGTACTTGGAATGGATTATGCTTTCCTTTGAATGGCACCATTTTCTTGGTAGAACAAATTTTGTTTCTTTTTTTGGTGTCCAGCTTTTACTCTTGTCGCTTATGATATGGCACAGAATTTTCGGTAACCTTCGAAAATTTGCTGGTTTAACAGGGATATTCTAATTAACTGATAAAGCACAACTTTATGACCCAAAATTCCGAGCGTGAAGAACCGTGAAATTTCTCAATGTCGAAAGTAGGACAATCCGCAAATCCTAGCACGGAAAAGGAGAGAAGCGCAAAAGCCGTTCCCTGAAAATCTCTTACCCGTCTTTGGGCTCGATTATGAAGACTTTGGAGATTCATAATCAATAAATGATCATAGCTTGCAACCGACTTGTGCGATCTAACACGTTTGTCTTCCAGCTGGTGTCCCGCACACGTCAAATTTCAGGTGTCGACATTTTTATGTTTTCCAACAGGACGGAACGACGCCACTGCATTTGGCTGCTGCAGTTGGGGACTTTGTTGCCTCGGATCTCCTGCTACGATATGGCGCGTCCACAAAAGCGGTGGATCAGGTCGGTTTATTTTTTATTTGGGTTTTGGGTTTTTGGAACACCGTCATAATGGAACTGGAAACACATTATTTGATGAATTGATTTGGACTCGTATTTTGTCGAGATCGTTGATGTCAGCCAATCCTCGATTCCAAAAATGGCTTTCGTAAACCTGAGGATTGAATATTACGGGAGCATTATTCGACCGAACCATCTGACTGCTGTGCCCCGGCTGGATCAATGGCTCTGTACCAGACAGGTGTGATGGGACGCGTTAGAACTTGTTAAACAGATTCAAAATATTACAAAGAATTGCACAGAACCTCCGTAATTACAGTCGTTGTTGATAAAGTTCATGTTTACTCACACGTACTCAAGCCCAGTCCTTCCAAGACACTGCATCTGAGAAAGGGTGTGCCCTCACGAGAAAGATATGAACACCGATGTACTGGATTAATGGCACAACGTTGTTTACGGATATTAAAAAAAACTGAGGAATGTTTCGCTCCACCCAGTGCAAAAGCGTCAAACAGTATTTCCACATTCCTAAAGAACGCTGACTCAGCATTACAAGTGAAAAGTTAAGAAACTATGCCACTGCTTGTCATCAAGTCAATTCGTGACGGATTTTTAGCATTCTTAAGCGAGAAAGAAATCTAGGGTTCCGCCCTTTTTGAATGATTATAGCAGGCACAAGAGGATGCCGAATTATGTGATGGTAAACCAAATGGCAGTGGTTGATTCTTTCCCGAAGGCATTTTGGTAACTACACGAATTCGACTACTCGTAAGGTTATTGATGATGGTATGTTGATAGCCTTTGATCGCTTCCATGGCTTTTGGTGCTGATCATGTAGGTGCGGTCCCCAAGATTCCCTCAACCTTAAGATCTGCTGGAATCCGCATTACCAGAAATTCGGCAACTTCACTAATTTGCTTAGCTGTATGGCTTTCACGGGAGACTCACCTGGGTCCTAGCTGATACCATGGTTTCTTTTAGTATTGAGCCACCTCATATTTCATTTCGTAGGCAGTGAAAATATCGCACTACAATATATAGAAGTGACACATCACTCTTGAGTCTGGCAAAACCCCGTGGACAGCGCGCGACCGGTTTCGCCCTTCTTGAAGTCGTCGAGAAGGTGCATTGCTCGGGCCTACCTCAAATATTAGTTTTCTTGAACTCAGATAGCAAAATACACACATATGTACACTTGTTTTGTTTGAATGCGGACTTAAGTGAAAACGAGCTGGATCTCTCGTTTTTGCGCATGCTACTTGAAAATCGCCTCAAGTTTTATTTGGGGCGATATTCGATATGCGGCAGTAAATGTTCTGGACGCAAGCACAATTCATAATTTTACTGGGGTCTCTTCTACAGCTCACGGTCGGTTTTGCCTTTGCGATGAGCCTCGAGGTAGACAAAACCAATCGTGAGCTGTCGATTATCTTCCAGTAAATTTATGGCAAATATACTACGAAATCTCGAACACCGTATTCAGTAAAACATACGGTGGTCTATTCATTTGAATAACACAATGAATGAGAGATCCCAGGGGGTTGGGGTACAGTTATCTCTACTTGCAAACCTAGTGTGGAACGTAACACGTGTGGGCATGTTTGGTGTAGGGTGACGGAACGAATCCTTTGTGAAGGCCCCTTCGACAAGCTAAACAAATCCCGAAGGAGTGATATCAGTAGACTAAATGGTCCAGTAACTCGCGGCGGCATTTGACCACGAAAGATACAAATGACCTGTAAGATTATTCGGGAAATTCAGGTGCACGTGTCCTATGTGAGCGGAACGAAGAGCTTTGAAAATGGTGTATGTATGGAGTCCAAGTTTGTACAGTCGGACTGCAACAGTACCAGCTGACTTCTGACAAGTCTAGTGTCCTGGCTTGAGACGCGATTAATCCATCGAAATGCATGCGATTGACCATTAGCTAGTGGATTGGACTACGTGAGCCTGAACGGCGTTATGCCGATCTACTGTTAATAGCACGCGAGAACAAAGGGGTAGCAGCCGCGGCACAAGCACCATACACTTTTTGAAGTAAACTTTGCTGACATCCATGGTCTCGGCTTCTTGAACGAAAAAAATGTGCTATGCTGCACGTGGTCCATGGCGTGTGACTGTTGTTCGGTTCCACATCACGCTATTCTGAATAGGCCGAGTTTATCAAAGGAAGCCACATTGACTGTAAAGTCTGGTGCCGTGTGTTACATGTAAGGCTTCAGACATGCGCTCAAGTGTTGGCGACGTCTGCAGTATACGTTTATAGTTGTAATTGGCATGCAGTGCACAGCTGACCAGATGAAGTCAACTCTGACAGTTCCGGCAAACTTACTTTAAAGAGCGTACGTTAGGTTTCCTAGCACTGGAGTGTTTGAAGACGTTGCATGCAATCTGTCTTGACTGAAATGGCTAAGACAAATTCGTATACAACCATTGTCCACATTGTACCAACGTATTAATTACATGATCAGAATCATGAATCAGCCAGTTATCGGACCACGGTTGTCCTACATCAATCTACCTGCTGGCAGGATGTCTGAAACACTGCATGTTCACCATTGGGTTCATGCATTTCAGTATGTGTAGAAAACTCAAAGTATTGTGATAAAACCATGTCTGTTAGCTGTCTTCAACCAAGAAATTTTACAAACCGCTCAATCTTATATTCGATAGGGAAGTCCTGAGATTTTATGAAACAACTGAGTCTCCTCTGTTGAACGCTACTTTGATGCTCCGCACATAATACCAAATCAATTTTTTTTAATTTTTTTATGCTTAGGAGTCACTGAGTCTGTCATAGTAGAAGGGACAAAGGGAAAATGACCTGGCAAATTTGGTGCTCGTTCGAATATGACCACTTAGAAGGCAGTTCAAACGAGAGTGATGTGAATATGAACAGTACATATCCCGCGAACCCCACAACAGAAACGAAAAAAAGGGAATATGCGCCCGTTTGCAAAGTGATGTGGTTTCAAATAGAACCTAAGGTTGACGGAAACTCGGGGAGTGATTAGCCCCAACAAGGGCGAAACCGATCGTGGGCTGTCGAGGAGTTTTCAGCAAGTTTATGAGTAGTAACTACAGAAATGAAAAAGAAGTTGTCCAGCAGGTTTCAGGCGTTTGTGACGCCACCTGATTGGGAAGTCCTGACACGCGGATCAATCTGTTGTCACAACTAGGTAAATTACTGAGTCGTCATCTAATCAAATCTCTCAAGCGAGAACACTTTCACCTAGTCAGATGTGAGAATTCAGATGCGTCCAACCTGTGTTGGTGGAGTGGCGGTAGCATGCTCGCCTCGCCCGTCAAATATCCGGAGTTCAAACCCCAGAACGGCCATTGAATATGCACTGATGATGAGGTCTAATAAGAGCAAAACTCGAGTCTAGTGCTTACGCCCCCTTTGATGTGAACTCACCCTAATAAATACGTCAGGAGGACGACTGTCCAAACGAAAGTGATGTGAATATGAACGGAGCAGGATTTTGTAAAGAGGTTTTTAATTTACTGCGTACCTAGGGTTTACATGAATAAGCTGGTGAGATTTGAACTGTAAAAGTACGAAGCTAGTGAAGATTGGCTTCGCGGGACAAAAGCTGATTGGATGCCATAACGCCTACGTGACTAGTTGGTGTGTGTATGTATGCAAGATTGTGTCATTATATGGTTTCTTGACAGTCCGTAATGTCTTCCAGAGGAGCACCACAGCCAAAACCTATGACTGGTCCATGTGAGTGGCTACTTTAAGTCCCAAATCTGTTACACCAATTTGGATTACGGAGGAAGAGAGAACGCTTGGTCAGGATCACGAAAGTAATGACGCAAACCTCGAGGTGGATGCTAACTCAGCTTTGAAAAAGTCGGAAGTTATACACGTTGAGAAAGAAACGGAGCGACAAACAGTTCCAAAAACTGGATGTTCCTGGAGAAAAGATGAGACAGGGCAGTTCCACAGCATGTATTATCAACTTGATGTTGGTTCCTGAATAAGAAAGCTCATACCGTCCGATTGAACATACAGTAAAAGCGATAGAAGAAGCAAGCCGCGATGAACAGTTCTCGCCTTAGTGACGCTAGAATAAAGCAAGAAGTGCTTTGTTCATACGAAGAGAAAATTGTCGAGAGGTTTTCAGTCATCGAACGGGTACAAATGTTTTGCCTCGTTTCACGACGAATGGGGAACACCCAATAAAAAAGGCCAAGAATGATGAACGATGAGGGATGATGTGGGGAGATATGATAGATTCCGTGAAAATCCCGATCAGACGTCGAGTTGTAGACGAAGATGTGTATATGAAAAGACTTGGAGAGTTTGAGAGTTAATGAGCTCCACAAACCACAGCCGAGGATGATGGCAAGGTCAGTTTTAAAGTAGAATGGTTTATGTCCGGTCGTCGTACAATCAGAATGAAGCTGACGGCTAAGATAAGCAGGACGAAGAGAAATGTACAGCGCCGTCGTCTGCAGAGGTGTGAATTGGGAAGACAAGACAAGGGGGAAGAATTGCATAGGAAACGGAACAGATCCTTCAGGGATTCCGGTTGATTTGAGAGAGGTTGAGAGATGATGATAACCATGAAACCGTTACGCAAAATAACTTCAATACAGGTAAACAAGGCTGGATGCGGCTCGGTAATAAGGACTTTACCCATTGGGTCTGCACGCCAAACCCAGTCATATACGTCTGGCCCGTAATTGCGGTGAAATCCTCAGTGAGTAGTGGATTGGTAGTGTGACAAGGTAAAACAGTGCGTCAGTGTGCAGGGCAGCAGATCGATATGCATGACTTTGTCTGCATTAGAACCTGAACCGCCAACATGATCATGAGCAGTCCTAAAGTGTATTTCACTTTGTTTTCTGTTACCTCAGGGACGTTGTGGCGATTCACCCATTGAGAAACGTGAAGCTCAACTTATTTCCGTAATGTTTGTGGACACGCATTTCTGAGTGGTGGTCGTGCAGTAATGACACCGTTGTGCACAACCCGTAAGAATCGTTTTGTTCGACAGAGTTTTACATGCGTATTTGATTAAAGGGGTTGATTACAGCTAGGCACCCCCTCTGAACTGCCCAAGGTAGTTCAGATTGTAAACATCCAGCCTGAATGTTACTACACCATTAAAGAATTTCAATCAACTGCGTGATATTTTTCCCCACCAAGTTTAACAACAAATTCTCACAAAATGACAAGTCTAGATTTGAACAGAATGATCACACCCATTGCAAGGATGCACGAGCAATCGGGTACCAAATGAGTTATGCCAACACGCCGTCAAATGGCTGAGAGACCAGAGAAGTATTACTGGATTGCACACATCTCCTCTATGCCTAATTGGTATACTTATATATCCAACGCCTCCCAAGTTCAGAATTGAAAGTGGGCTACAAGAATATAAGCTAGCTTGGCTGCGTTTCCTACGCTAATTGGCAGAAAATGAAGCTTCTTGGCATTTTTAGTCTTTCCTGGGAGTATCCTTTTTAAAGTGTATGTTCTTCCAATTCTTTCCCCTTGCACTTTATGAAACGCCCTTCCTAAGTAACCTTGCGGGATCACTGAGCTTAGTCCGTCGTGGACCGAAGAAATCACTGCATGATCGCGTACCGAGAAGAGTGTCCATATTCTGTTCATGAAATGGGATTGTACCATGCAACATACGCCATTATTTTCTTAAATGACCATTTACTAAACTCCTAACGACTGTTTCTGATAAACTTTTCTTGTGCACGGCAATTCTGTTATCACATTTCACGTCATTTATGTCGCATGTTAGTAATTTTCGGAAGTCTCCGTGTTTGTCACCTGAAAACCAGACGAGGCTAATAAAATGTGATAAATCACACCCGAGCGGTGAGTGATACGTGGTTTAGATCCTCGGGCTTTACAACGATGTCTTATAGGAGAGTTTGAAGGATCACTCGTCCTTCTCTTTTTCATCTTATTTCTGTGAAACTCACGTCAAAGTACCTGGAATTTTTTTTCAGTTCGGGCGATACCGCTTACTTATTTCTGTGAAACTCACGTCAAAGTACCTCGAATTTTTTTTCAGTTCGGGCGAATACCGCTTCATCACGCCGCTACGACAGATATATGTATTGCTGTACAGCTCTGTGCAGTGGATGCTTCTGGACTGTCTGTACGCGATTGGGTAAGTCAATGGCATCCTCGAACAAAAACGGGATTTTGAATTTCTTTTGTAGACTTCCTAAGACTTGAGAAGAACCTGTTACCGATCCTGTGGCTCCTGTTTTAAGAATCTTTCGATCACCATACCATAGAATCATTAAATCGAAGACGAACCGTCTTTAGTAGTTGAAATCATCATAAGCTGCAATAGTGAAGCGGGTACTAACAGACAAGTGGGCATTTTAGTTGATATTCTTGCGTTCCGGAAACATCATTCCCTTTTAAAACTTTCCGCACGCGATTTCTTAGAGTTCTTAGAGCGGTGAATCTCTGTTACTAGGAATACTTATATGGGTCTCCGTCTTGGTAGTCTCACTTGAAACGGTTGCAAGGAGAAGCTAAGTGTCTGACGCTATATAGCCCATGGGCTATCGATTCTATCGATTCTTCTATCGATTCACATAGCACATTCACTGGAGAACAAGTAGCATATTCAAAGATATCTTAACAAACCATTGTCACTGCTCTAATTACGGCAAGGACAGAAGAGTTTTGGCGGGATTAATAGGACTCACATGATTTGGCACTTGCTCATAATCATTTTTAACATGAGGTTTGCCAACCAGATCGCGAATGCAGAAAATTCAGTCATCATGCCAATGAACAGATAAACAAAAATCGATACCATTAGTCTAGTGAATTAGCCTGCAGGATGTGTAGTAGGGTGAGTCAAAACGGTCATCGACCGGTTATCAGCAAACTTAGCGCCATTTCCTTCTGGAGATTGAATGAGGCTTCAGAGATGAACTAGCTATCAATTTTTTCCATTCATAGGAGCACTAATTTACTTTGGCTACTGATTATTCTTGTCCGTAATGCAGTCTGTAGCTTCTACAACGTGTTTACGATGACGGTTCTTTGCACTTCATTAACCGATCTGAACACCCATTCCAACGTGGGATGGCAAGTACCATCCCTTTCTGCATACGTACGTGTATCCACACGTGATTTACTATCTATAAATCCACGTGCGACGGAAGAATTAGGCAGATGGTGGCTGTATTATCATAGTCTTTTTTCAACCAAACACGATTTCAGCTGCTTGGGGCAGTTGCCTGCTTTGGATCTGTCATGCGTTTTGGAGGCTGCCACAGCCTTCCCCATAAACCACTCTGAGCTGGAAGTCACTCCTCTCATAAACGTGAAGGGTATCCAAATTGAAGACGCCTGTTACAAATTGATAACAGGTATTTATAGCATAGCTGGCCTGCTATCTACAACATGAATAAACGGTTACCTAAGCGTGTGTTCACCCTTAGCTGATTACTGGAGAATATCCGAAGCTATATTTGATAAATTAGGACCTTATTAGTGCCTTAAACCTGAGAGAAAAATCGTGTACACGTCATTGCCTTATGTCACTCAATAGCCAGTCTAGACTTGTTTACAATCGATCCACTGGCACGGTCCTGTGGCGACTATTCATCGCACACGCACATGATATACGAAAATCCGGTCATTTATCTTGCGTCATTCTAGTCCACTAATTAATTACCTACAGTTAAATATGAGAGATGCCACGCAGAATAATGAACAAGGTCAGTTTTGCTGGTACAAAGGTTGCAATGTCCATTCCTACTGGGCGAACAATGCGAAATCCAAGAATGCACAAGGACATACGGGTAACCCGCCTGTAACACCCCAAACGTCATGAATGAACACGACTAGAGTTATCAGCGTAACCACAGAATTGCAGCGTCTTATTGACTTCTTGACAACATCATCATGATAAAAATTGTGTTCTCCATGAATTTTACTGTCAGGACCATCCGTCTTCCCCGTAGCGCTATTGAGAAACATTCATTCTGCAAGCAACTTCCGTGGAGGTTTGCAACCATGTGCTTTCTCAGATATACTAGTCGGTAAGAGCTCAAAGAACTTAATTCTTGCATCACTGCGTTGTAGGAATCTAAGGACCCCCTGGAAATTTCGTTTCAAAACCAATGCATGGATACCGCTCGATTTTTGGCACTTGCACAACAGAAGAGCGGGAAGAGAGGAGATCGAAAAAGCCCACGATCTGAGAGCCGCCTGCAGCAACTACGCAGAAAAGTATGTGTTGCTTGATATCTCTTGTGAAATGAAAGCACGTCTGGAGAAAAATATTTTGTCCCTGGGCGTGTGGAATACATACGATGATGAGAGTTGATATTCTTCCTTCCGTATTATTTTGCCAATAGTTGAGAAATACAAACGTATGACGTTTTCTTATAAGGAAATTCTGAGAGACCGTCGTGCGATTGTTAGGAAACAGCGCACTTTGTCAGAATAGTTCGATATTGCCTGTGCTAGTAACACTGACCCACAAAATGGAACTGGCCTATTGAACAAACTCCATCGCACCCTTTGACGTATGGTCTGTCAGTCACATTCACATGACCCGCACTTCCTCGTTAAGATTCTCAGTATTTTTGGCTCACCTTTGCTGTTTCTCTCTTTTAGTCAATCATTCATTTTGATTAAAACTGATTCTCTTCTCCCCTAGTGTATGTGAAATGCGAACACATCGTACAGTTCCGACCTACTTTTGAAATGAATGAAATGCTCAGCAACTCTAATATCCGCATGCGAGATAAGCTAGCTTTCTGATTGCTTGTGTGCGTGGTCGGCGTACTGTATTTCAATACTGTCAACTCATTCTCTCAAGCCTTTTTGCTCTGTTCCTAATGCTGTCGACAAGAGTAACTCATCGTGGACCCTCGCCTCACTACCCACCTTGGGTTCTGTTCAGTGAACTACTCAACCCTAGTGGCTCTACTGGCCAACGTACTTCTGTCTTGCTTTGCTTGAATCCCACTTTTTCACGCACACCTAAAACCCTCAGACCTTGCCTTCATGCTGTTAAAGGAGAGGGCAAATGTTGTAAACACTGCGCTCCTTCGTCGTCCCATTGGAACTGTGCTTGAAAACTGTTCCAGTGTTGTCTTCATCTTCAATCGGAATACACCTGCCTAAAATGCCAATTGAAATATCCACTTCCTCTAATATCTTTGGATTCGGTAATTGATCAAGTGGCTGTTGTTCTGTTGGCCGAGCTTGGCGGTTGATTTGCAAACATTTCGTCACCGTTCGAGGAGACATCTTCCCACCCAATAGCACACTGAAGATGTCTACTCAAATAGTGACGAAACGTTTGCAAATCTATTTCCAAGCTCGACGAACAGATCAAAAGCCGCCTGATCAATTACCAATCCCTGATTTGGCTCTTCTGGACGGGGTACTCACCCTACTCCGCTGAAAGAAGGCCGAAATAAATGCTCAGACATTTGCCCTAAATACCAGTGAAAGGAAGAAGGCCTTTGCTACGGGGTTATTTATTGGGAAATGCCAACCGCCTGGTTACAGACCGTTGACAGGCCATTAGACAGGGAAACAAAACTCTCATTTGCATCTTATTTACAAAAACTGGACATCCATTTTCTCTTGAACGCGTCCTCCTGAACTTGCCTGGATATTCAGTGACTGCTGCTCAAATCCAAGCAAATGTTACAAGGCGACTCCACGAATTCCGCAACAGAAATCCCCTTTTCAAGAGAAGCAAAGCGAAATTCCACGAACAACACATACTACTCGCGTGTCTCCCATCAGTAGTATCACCGTCACACCATCAATCATGCCAGGAACTCCGTTCAAGTCTGTTCGGCGGCTGTAAACCAGTTTTTGTCGCCCACCAGCAACATGCCATCGATCGATAACTCCCACCACCAAGAACATGTCCCTGGTCCCTTGTTTTCTTCTTCATCTGTGTGCTCAAACTTCACTTAATCACATCTCAGGTTGAAAATGCTCCAACATACTGTTCGTTCCTAAATGTGACCATTAAGCCTACCCGAATAAATAACACAAGAACTCCATTACCGCTAGTTCATCCGTATTTCTGAGGTCAATATTTGTCCTGAACCTAACACGCCCTATTGGAAAGAGCAGCATACCGAGCAACCAACAAAGTTTGTTTAGATCACATCAGCCTATCGGTGCATGCATTGACTATATTGCAGAATAGAGTCACTTGGTGAAACCAACTTTGCACTAGTTGGTATCTCAACCTTTCACATGAGAGTGACGTTGACCTATTTGCCGAGGGGAAAATTTGCTGACCCCATCCTGACTTCGCTAACCGGATTGGAAATCCTGTGACTGGTTGATTCAGGCACGTCTTGACAGTGTTCTGTCATGCATTTACGAGGGTGCATATTCCGGCCTACCGACAACGAGTCTCATGACTCTCTTTCGCTTTGATTGTGTTGGTGATAATATGCCCTTCTACATTTCTATACATCGAAATAATAATCCACATGTGGCCCATCATTGCGCTGGGCACAGACCATAAGGGTATTCATACTCGGAGATCCCGGAACGCAGCCACATCCAGTCATACGTACGGGTCTCTCTTCCTCCGTTGTTTTCCGTTAACATCTTTGGTGATTTTAAGCCAATCTAACAATCGCTCAGCTGCTCTTTCCTTCGTCAATCCGTTTCTTGCAGTTTGAGTTGTTTTCCGGATTTCAAACTACGTATATCCAGAGACTCCATAAAACTCAGTAGCCTTTTGCACGCTTCCATTGTTTAATTAGTTGGTTCGCTCAAACACTAAATACTGCTGTGATATTTTGGATGGTGTTGCTTCTTCGTACGTTGTACTCTAATGTTGCATTCGGCAAAATGCCTCGCTTCTTCCATCAGCAACCTAGAAGGACACAGGCTTTCCCCGTGTCTCAACTATACTGGAAGTAGAAGAGCTCGAGTCAACTTGACACTTCCGTCCCTTTCCACAACACTGCATTGCTCTTTTACCCTCAAGGATCTGGTTTCAGATCCTCGTTTCCGGATGGAACTGCATTTTTTGCAGAATTAAATTACACTATTGATCAGCCGCTGGAGGGCCGAACAGTTAAATGTTCATTCCACCAGCTGGGATTTCTTGGGTTCAAAACTCTTTGCAGTTTCATGAGATGCGCACTGACGATGATCTCTAATTAGGATGAAGCATCTGCGCAGTGTACTTTGGCTTTTCAGCATAAACTGGTTTCAGTCACAAGACAAAGATTTTTTGGCACATTAAAGTTTTGTTCTCTGCTGATATCCCTAACATTTTGGTCGCGTCTTGATGAGGCGGATGAAAGTTAGAGTTGTCTTATAGTTTTGCCAAAAAACGTGGGAAAGCCCATTATTTATGAAGAAAACAGCTCTGAACATATTTACGTGGTGCACATATTTTGAATGGAGTCAACTGACGTATTACATCACTCAAAGTAACTTGTTCGCGTGCGATTTTCGTGGGCTGTTCGACAAGTTGCTTCTCTTCTGGTAGTGGATTAGACTGATAAACAGAATGTTGAGAGGTAAGACGTGAACGGTTACCCTTTTTCCTCACTTCTCAAAATCTACCATATTCTATAAATTAATGTAGCGATTTGTGGTCTCTAGACCTGTAATCGTGAGTTGAGCAGTGACCTTGATGTTTCTTATCGATTGATGTCCTAAGGTGCATGTGAATAGGTGACAAGCGATGTGTCACCTGTCGTGGTCTATCGATTGCACCTTTCTGAACGTTTCTGTAACCCGAATGCTACAAAGTGGTGTGCTGTGGAAATTCGAATGACCATCAGATACAATTAGTTCAAATAAAAAATGAGTTATCCAGTGATACAAGTCATATTGTTGGTTTGATGAGTGTCACTACTAGTCACCTGGTCGCAGCTGAATTTGCGACTGAGGATGAGGCCGGAGTCTTCGATTACATCATTTTGCTAAGGTGAAGCGTAAGAGGTTCGGAGTAGGCTGATTTTGTTCGTTGTTGGTCGCATAGCTCATAAGTTCAGGGAGGCAAGGAATGTTAGGTTCTCTTTGAAGGAGAGACCGGTCAAGCGATAGGTTAGAAGTTATCTTTGTTCAAGGAACTTACTGCCAGATCCGGTTTCCAGAACTAGGTGAAGTCAGTCCAATATTGGTGACCTTCTCTTTGGGAAGTAAATTTCTTCTTCAAATTTCCGTCTAACATCCGATCCCGTCAGTCAAGTTGAAAAACTGTAGAATACTGGTCACATAAAGGTGCGTTGCGAACCTTTGATTTCAAACTACATAGTGTGCAATGACTACTTATATTGCGAGCGTGTAACACAATGTAGGTGAAACTACATTGAAACTTACAAACACAGTTCACGAGGTTGTGCCAGAACGGCGACCAGCGCAGCTCGCCTAGGTCACAAACTGGCTCAAAAGTACGGAGTACGCATCAGCTCGTGGACTCACTTGGAGATTTGCACTTTCAAGTTTTGCAAACCATATCAGAATAGCAGCTAACTAAAGTTCAAACCGTCTGTAACAAATGCATTTTACATGTCTTCTAATGGTGACTTCGATGTTAGCCACAACAATTATCACATATTCCTTCAATGTTTGCTTATCCTCGTCAGTTCTGGTGTTGCGTGACAGGCTAACACTTCGTGTTACTGAGCTGACTAACCTTACTATTCTACACAAAGTTTACGGCAGTTTACCAACCAGCATATGAGGAATTTGCCTTTGTCAGCATACCAAAGTAGAAGCAACTGAATTTGCATGTAACGACAGATTTGTTAACATCGCTTCTAACATGTTGCTGACGTAAATTGGGCGTTTAACATCAAAAAGCATTCATAATTTTCACGCGCTTCCTTACGTAATCGCTATCATCGATATTTCAGTGCAGAAAATCATGGCTAGGGGAATTATGGAGGCGTTAAACGTTTGACGTGACAACCGTTAGCCTGCATGAAAATCAGAGAAGTAACGAGGTGAATAAGCTTCTTTTGTGGTAATGTTAAGCAAAAAGCAGAGACTTCACCAAAGTTACATATTTTCTGATGATATTAACTGACGTTTGTTTGGTTTGGATGTGAGCGTGATGTGTCGCACGTGTCGTTATTCCATAGTGAAAAATGTTGACTCACATATTGATGTGCAGTGAAAAAGCGATATAATTCCACGATTCCATCTGAATAAGTTCAACGCAACACGAGCATTCAAGTGGCAGAAATATGCTTATGTCTGGAAATTACGAAGTTGAATGACAAAGATGTGTTTTGGTCAGATTTAAAAGAGACCATCCACACCCGGTAAACAGTTGAGCGATTAGAGAATATCTGTGAGAAGCTACGACCATCTGTGGAAACCGGATTTCAGTCGCGTTTTCATCGTAATAGGGGGAGAGGAGCACGTGCTTGACTGTGTTCATGTGATTGTCATAGAACCAGATGAAGGGCAATCTCTGATGTCAGCGATGCTTTATAATGAACGATGATGACGCTATTTGGAACCGGCGCAAATTCACTTTTCATAAGTTTTGAATAAGTGGACGGAACTAGATAAAATGTCGTGTGGTCAACACATCTTCAGTGGAAGGCTGCTTTTGACATATGTGGAAGAACCGAAACTAACTCACTCCGCCACGCTGCGAATGACTTCAGCGGCTGTCGCAATTTTCACATCAACACAAGGTATCAATTCTAAACTTCAAATACGTCGAAGTCTATATAGTTTACCAGGCACGAAAAATGCAATCGACCTTCCAAACTCCTGTTCCATCTGAAGACTCTCCAAAGAGAGCGATAAGACGGTGACAAATGGTATCTACGAAGACATTGTGTTCGGGTTTTTCGGCGCAAATGAATGAGCATTCTGTTCATGGTTCATCTCAGGTTGCATCTCTTTTCACATAAAAAACACTTTATCTAGAGAGTTGAATGACTTTACGGAACAACCCAACTATTAGCAACCTGCCCCGTGAAAATAATCTTCATATGCGATGTACTCACCGACTGCTCTGCCCGAAACGCAACCATTTTGTTCGCAGTTGGCGTGCGGTGTGACTGTATCATCATTCGATATTTAGACAAAAGAATGAGGAAGTCTGAAGGCGCCAGACGCACATTTCACGCAAATCATTCGTTATTAAAACAGGAGTGAAAGAATCCCTTTGTTGTATTTATTGCCTCAGTACTTTCGATTCCGCTGGATGTCTCCGAAATAAAGTCGCCATTTTGATTGGAATGGAACTCTGACTAAAGTCATACCGCTATACTTTGCCATATCCTATAGAATGCTTTCACTGATGTTGGAAGAAAAAAATCAAGTTAGTGGCCTGAAAATATCGTTTCTGCCAAACCAAAATATATAAATAAATAAATAAACAATACAGTCCATTTACACATCAACTGATTTAGTTGTCCACACCAAAGCTTGAGATTGAAAGCTTTTGGATGGAATAAAAAGCTGACACTGAAATAATTTGAAACCGCCCTCAAATTATAAATGGGAAGCTTCCACACTGCATTCTTAAGTCCAGCTTACTTCCTCAAACATTTTCACTCGGTCATAACAACCCTCTTTGGTGTTTTTTCTCCGGAAGTTAGTAACCATAATATATAATTCGTTTCCAGTTTCGGTTACATTCTAACATGAGTGAACGTTCTGTCGACTGCATCGTCAAGATTGAAAACAACGCAGTATTCATTTAGTTTTTACCTGTTTTGTATCGACTTTAGCCTGTTCATGTAAAGGAGAGTTCACTTTGGATACCGTACAATCTGAAAGCGCCCCGCTGCATCAAAATTCAACCGAAAACTGCGTAAGCCTTCAAAATTTGTGATTGTTCTGTTACACACTTCACTATTTTTCATATTTATTAATTATGCTTGTTCCACAGAAGAAACAGTTGCGCGACCACACTTTGTGTAGTAAAACATCATCTACGACAATGTCACCTCACATTTAATTTGGGTCGCATCTTGTACCTTGAAAAAAACAGTTCTGCCACTGTGAAGTCCTCATGAACCTAGCAAAATCCCTCCGGAACCTTCTTGAGTAAAGTGAAATGAAGCATATTGAAGTAATCTGAAAGTTCTAATGATCTGAATCCAATCTTTTATTGTCGTGAAGCAACTTTGATCGCATCGACAGGGTACCTAGGTAAAACGCGAGGTTTCGTTTCACTGAGGGACAAAGTATAGTAAAGCTGGTAACGCTAGGCCTAGGAAATTTGTCGGTGACAGATGTTCACCGTGCCCTTAGGTGGGCTGTAGGCCTATGCTCGGATGCACCATTATTCTGCATTAGGTGACCAAATTTAAGGGTTCACAAATACTGAAATTCGTGGTCATGATAACGGAAGATAGCACTATTTTGATGCAAATCCTCATCGAACAACGGAATCGTCGGAGTTGTCAAAACCGACAGGATACAGCTCCGTAGTCAGTATGCTGTCGAAAGTAAATCCTAAGTTGTTTGGCTTACATACAACAGTTGAAAACGTTTCAAAGCTGGTGACCCACCATCCTAACCGTATATGGACTGATGGGCTGCTTCCTGGTCGGCAAGGTGGTAGGCTTTTTGCGCTAGTTCGTTTTAGAATTTTCTTTCCCTGTTTTCGCATCATCGTAACCGGTCTCTTTCCACCCGACCTATTCGAAGTTTATGTGATCCACAAATCTTAGACTACCGAACGGGGCTTTTAGTTGTAATGGAGAAACATCTCCCCTCGTTTCTTTCGCTGGGAAACAAATAACCATTGGGCTATCTGAAACCGTGAATAATCACGCAGAAGACCATACATTGGAAGATTGTCCAAACTTCGAAATATCAAAGTAGTGGGTGTGCAGACAATTGAAAAGCTCGTCAGTTTGCGGTTTCTACACAGTAACCCAAAATAATAAGAAAGTCCAGACGTGTTGATAACCGGTCGACATTTACCCACGCTCCGTTTTCTCACCGATTCAACAAGTGCACTCATTTGCATATCAGTTTGGTTTACAAGAGAGATTCAATTGAATCTCCCGTTTATGATAATCTTCAACTGAATGTGCGGCACAAAGGTCGACCCATGTTTCAGTTGGTACGATATTCGACACATCGTAGTATACTTTTAAAGAGTTATCAGCAACCTTGTGAATAGTGTCCTTCCACCACACGTCGGGCGCAACAGACGCTACATCTTTTATCCTTTAGTGGTATACAGTTTGGACAGCGGCGTAGTTGGTTGCGCTAATCTGCCTTCTGTTCGTCTGTACACGAGTGACTTGCCATTGACGGCGTCGTGAGATAGATTTTCGTGGGCCTGGAAATGTCTTCGATGCGTAGAACTCCAGCGGCGTCAAAGATCATCCAGTTTCATGCAGCAAGAATGTAACCCCCAGTCTATTGCAAAAAGCTCAACGAAGGCGATTAAGAATCGCAGGAGCCACACCTTACAATCCACGGCTAATTAGAACCAAGCGCTGTTTGAGAATACTCACAAGGTTGCTTAAAACTCCTCACAAATAACTGATTCGTCAAACTGAAACACGAGGCGGCCTTTGTGCAACACATTCAGTTGTAGAATATCATAAACGAGAGATTCAGTTGAGGCTCTCGTGAAAACCAGTGATTTGCAAATCAATTGCCAAGCTCACAGATCAATCGAACAGATCAATAGCCACCTGATCAATGGCCAACTTTTGAATGAATTTATTGCAGCGCTATTCACTTCATCGCAAAAAAGCGGACCAATTTTGAGATCTAAGCTTCCTTTTTGGAAAAGTTTGGTAGCAATCGGTGAATTTATTGCTATCCAAATTCTCCGAAAACAATGACTGCTCGATCGGTTGCAAGGGTTTTTCACCTGAGAGATCTAAACTCTTCTGTATATCCTATAAAGAAATCAAGGTTGTCAAGATAGTTTGGGTGTGCTCAACTGTTAAACTTTTTAGTGGCATACATTTTAACTACATTGGGGCGGGGCAACGGAGCATGTTAGACCTCCATAAGAGGAAGCAAGACTGTGGTCCCCAGTGAATTTTCGTTTTGATCACATTCATTTGGTAGAATTAACGGCTCCTCCCCTGGCCAACGCAATGACCTCTCTCTTCCTCATTTAGTTCCCGTTGAACATAATAATTATACGAGCTATGGTGGTCGTTGGCTTGTTCGCTGAGCTGGGCAGTTTGATTGCAAACGTTTCATCACCAATCGAGGTGACATCATCAGTGCGTTATTGTCGAGCGTAGGAGTGCGTAGCGGTGGGTTGATGGTTGTGTCCAGCTCAGCGAACAAGCCAACGACCACCATCTACGCTACCTGAGCTACCAACATTTTCCTCTATACGAGCTATTTGGGAGGTTACACGAGATTCTGGAAAAACAATCTGTGAAGTCGATTGCTAGATTGATCACGCCTTACCGAATTCAACCTAAGCTGTTTTTCGATTTGTGTACGCGCATGTGTTTCGTTCATCAGATGTAAGTTTGTACATTTTATGCTGAAGTGGCTACATAAGAAAGCACCCAATGTTGAAAAAAACATTAAAAATTAGTCACCACGGCACTATTTAGTATGCGGTCTATCGTCGACAATAATAAGTAATTAAGAACCAGATATGAAATGTTTATGTGAATCAGCTGGTCGTATAACAGGTCACTGATAGATCACCTGTGTCACCTTAGCTGCTGACCTCTGCTTAGAGCCATACTATCCGCGTACGTTGTCATTTTTAATGTCAATGCCACCTGACCTGTTTTGTCCGCACAAACCAAGCTGATCGTAAACTTCAAGTGGACGTCTAATCAATCATAGTCTATTCAAAGAGACCATTCTTACTCTTAGCCGCCAAAAGTATTTCTCAGTTGGCTGTTCACTTCAAAATCAGATGATACTGGAAAACAATAAACAGATGAAAACGACGCAGGATCTCTGGAGCAGGAAGGAATCCAGTTGAAAACGGCCAAACATTGGTCCAAAATGCAATCAGCAGGCCGCTATGATCAACCGATGGGATGATAAACGGTAGAAATAACCTCTCGAACGCAATGTTCTCCAAAAGAATTAAATTCGAAATCTAAAATTGTTAGGCTGGGTTTATGAGTGAGCAAACTGTAAAATCCTCTTCGTGGAGTCAAATCGATCGTTCTAAACCACTGGCCAATTAAAAGCTTCGGACAAACTGCAAGACACATTCGGATGAATGGCACCAAGCCTCAATTTAACTGTTAGTACTCTTGTTATTATTACTATCTAACCTATTTATAATTAAAAGTGTGGAATACGTAAACACACCAATAAGTTAATACACCAAATGGGTTGAGAGACCCAGAATGCAAAATCTCCTTTACCTTCCTTTTAAGGAATGGAAAAATTTAAATTCAAGTTATCCTGAAGTTTAACCTCAGAAATCTTGCAATGTTTGGAATTGAGCCCGAATACACTCACGAACCTGCTCAGCAGCGCTTAGGTTTGAAGATATTGGCTAAGAAAGATGGGGCTGATGCATGTGAAGTTCGCTTGGCTCTAATGATGCGGTTGGTACATCAGTGTGAATAGTTTCACTGCTGTCACGATCGGGGGCCAGTCTCCCATGCCAACGCACAGCTGCTCCACTACACATTGATCTAATCTCTAATGTTTGGAAAATTCATGCATTCAACCCTCCAGCTCAGCGAGAAGGCTAACAGTTTAGTTAATGAATGCTAGCCTTTCGGGCGAGTGCGCAAATCATCACTTGTGAGGCTTGATACTGAGATCACCAAGTCCCAGAGTTGAATTAGTGATGTTCATTGGCGTTCTGCAAGCATCTATAAATCATCCGACCCTGGACAAACAAGGACACCTGTTTTTTCAGCTCTATCAAGTTATTGAGTTGTTAGCTCGTGCACGTGCAGAAAGACTTCGGTTTGGAAACCAAGGGAGAATTCTCTCGAAATAGAGAACCTTCTATTAGGTTGTACACTTTCCCACTTATGCAGCGTCCGACGTGTGTCCGTCTGCATTGATTTTGTCAAGCGTGGTAGCTTGAACAGTCGTTGAGGATAATGAGTGGTATGTTAGCTGAGGGCAGAGGCGAGATGGCCCAATTGTTTAGAGCGCGAATTTACTGACCGGAAGGTCCGTGGTTCGGAGCCGACCTATGCCTCTGGACTTTCTCTGTCTAGGCTTGGGCAACCTGGCAGTATCCCAGCCCTCATGCAGCCTTCAGGTGGTATGGCAGTTAGTCACCGAAAGGGTGCTACAGCTGAACGACAGCTGAAGTCAATTGTCCATCAGTGATTCCGCCTTGTCTATTTCGGGTGAACTGTCAATCCATCTGAGTCCCTAGGTTGCTACGTTGGTCGGAACACAGACCGTAAGCGTTTTCTCCCAGTAGTTTAGTAGCTTATCTCTGATCGTAATGAGTCACACATCTAAACTTATAGTTGATGAGTAAGACTGTGATATTCCCTGCTTTGCGTACAAGGCAGGAGAACCTTTTTACTACTTCATAGATGTAATGACCATTATTTCATAGGTGTTGTCCGATTCATATGCTTCGGATTGCACAAAGTGTACTAAACACCAACACATATAGTATAATTTGTCTACCTTACCTTCCTGGTTTTGCTATGTGCATGGGGAATGATACCGAAATTTTGCACACAGTGGATGAAACATATGTTTAGCAATAGAGAAGCTAAGGAAACTTAACATGCCATTCTAAACGCTCTGAGAGGTCCCCTTTTTAAACATCACATCCGGCCGTTTTATGTCAACTGAACACTTGAAGCGGGTCAACTTCCCAACGGTTTGAATGAACACATAACACTAAGTCGCGCACAAAACAATCATAACTTCTCTTCCGGTTGTCTCATTTCCCTTCTCCATAAAGTCCAAATGAGGACATTTGCGAATGTAACCTTCCAGTCAAAGAACATGAGATGGAGACCAAAAATCCAGTCTTGAAAAAACGATTCGCAACGTACGAGGGAAGATTCGTCAGAGTTCCATCTCCCACCTTCGGGGAACTGACACATCCAGCCAATAATTATCTAGCACAGGTAATGTGATTTCTGTGGGATTTTGTATGTTTCGTGTTGCTGAAGACCACTGAGTAGTGTGCTTTTGACGTGATATTATGCTGCACAGTATATTGTGAAAATGAAGCAATGTGTTAGACATTTGCTAGAAACTGCAAAGAGTACTAGTGCAGTATATTAATGGAAGCACCTTGCACTACCGGCTGTACTCGTTTGGGTTTCAATGTCACGTCGTATGTGAGCCCAAATTAAATACTTCTCTTCCCCGCCTCTACAAACAAGCATCCAGTAAAACCCTATTAGTGCCGAAAATTCTCTGTGTATACAGGAAAGAGCTTTTTCTGAATGGCGTCTGCATTCAGCACCATCTATGGTTTGTTCTTTTAGGTAGAGTCCCACAAGAGTGGGATTGTTGCGTCCGTCATTTTTGTTGTCCAGAATTTCTTTTTCTCCTCTAAGAGATGATCGGACATAAATGGTCAGATCTGAAGTTCAGCCTCCCACGGGCCACTTCGATAATATGAAGTGATTTCCGAAAAAAAGACCAATAGAGGTTATTGCTTCCAAAGTGGTCGCATGCAATTTTTCTTGGACCAAGAAAACTCCGGTGACTTTCCGGAGGAGTGGGCCGCCTTTTATGGGTTGTCTCTCTGTCGGATTACCACTCATCCATTGGTAATTTGTATGGGAATGGCACTGGCGAGTTCCTCTTTGAGAAAGGTGAAACACCTGACTGCGAAACACTGCGCAAGCACACAGAAACTGCCCATTATATCATTACTATATATTTTCCAGAGCTAGAAGATACGTAGGTTAAATTCCACATGTATTAGTGATGTTTAGTAGTTTTGAGTACGAAATCTATGGTTGGAAACATCTACGTGAGAGACTACCACCATCATACTCTGACCGGCCGTTAGAAATCTTTGCAGAAATTCCGGGCTACTGCTAGGAGTAAAGTAACACGAACTTTACAAAAATAAAGAGAATTCAGCGTAACAGTACTGCAAATTGACTTTCAAGGTCTATTCGTGCAGCCTAGATTTAAAAATATAAAGTGTGCAAACCACTCCATATGTATCAGTATTTTTAATGGGGGATACTTGAGTCTTCTGGCACAACAGGGTTCTTCCGAAACAGGTTTCTTTTGCAACCCCCCCTTTGTGTTGTCGTTCATGAGCCTTCAGGCACCCAACAGCTCACCTGGTGCCAACAGCCTGTACGACAGTAGCATTTTGTGGACACAGCGGCATGATTCCTTATAATAATCGGTGGAAATTCGGTGCTTCACCTGGCCTAATGACGTGTGATGTGCCGAGATCATCATCAATATTGCTGATAACCAATTACCAATACATCGAACCCGTTCGATAGACCAATGTCAAGGATCGTTTAACAGGGACCTGTTCCATACGATATGCTCGCCAATAACTGGCATTTGTTGAGGTTTGAAACTTTAGGAATTGCATGACCAAGAGCTTGACCTGTGACCAATGAGGCAACAGAAAATGTGTGCATCTCAAAACGTTCGCCTCCTTGCTGCATTATTGATTGGCTGAAGGGTGTACGCTTAAAACGTCAAGAACAAATGTGGGTCACTGAAAAACCTGCCAAAGTCATGGTGGTCTTTTTTGAAAGTACGCTTAAATGAGCTATCTACTGTGTGGTTTATTTGGGAGCCCAGTATTCGTATAATGGAATTGGATTTTTGAAAGCTATGATGTGTTCCTGCTGGACTAAAGCAATCGGGCAATAGAATTCAGAGTAACAGTCTAAACTTTTGAGTCTCACTTAGGCATTCAGGGGTCTCAGCGATCCTGGGAAATTATTCCACCAGGCTTTTCAGTCAGAGGTATGATTGCTTCAATGGGCAATGGGATTTGGTGAGCTGCAAAAAGTGTGGTTTTTGGTTTGAGCACATACGCAACAAAATGCAACATTTTGGCGTAAAACGTTTTATTTTACTCGCAAACGCTTTGCAGCTAATAGCATTGTGCGGCTAATGAGCCCCGTTTATTTGGCGCCATACACTGATCAGATGCCAGCTTATCCGACGATGGTTGATTTTACTCAATGAATCCTTGGCGGTGCATGAGTAGGGAGGTAGGAAAGTGAGTAATTTTCGTGACGGGACACAAAATCCATTAAAGCCCACTTGAAGAAAAAACGAAGGCTATACTGATGTAACTAGACAGATGCTCGTTCTGGCTTACGTGTGATGTTAGCGTGTGCGCTGAAAGAAGAACGAGGAATTATTTTAAGAACTTCTGCCAGCTCGCTGTCATCACTGTCATTCCACTGAACAAATAATTCAGTGAGCACCAAACGTTATGAAACAAACCATCTAGCAACGTTTCTACACCCGGTCAACACCCATGAATTTTTCTCTGAATTCAGTGTATCCGGGCAAAAGCATCGAAACAGAGTGTTCTTTATACTAAATGTGGAAAGAGGCAACCGACGGCGCTACGCGATGATTAAAGACCAGGTCAGTATCTCCGCTCAAACCGTCCAAATCAATGAACGCAATGGAAGTACATAAATGCGTGCCTGATAGAACAACACACAGGGGGAATTTAGTGTGGATTTTCTATTTAACTGACATAATTTAACTACATCATGTAGGTGCATCAGAAGGAATCCATTAGATGACGTTATGACGTATTCCTAAACGGGTCGTTTCGTTGTGAACATTGAAAACATGTTGCAGAACGCGCCCATAAAAGATGACCAGATTCTACAGGCCATGTGCTTCACACTTCCCGCTGGCTGAAGGCAAAGTGGGAGAGTAACAGAAACTTCACGCCCGCATCATTGAGAATCTCTTCTATGGCATGATGTTTCAATAGCACCAGCTTTGCGCTTTTTGCCTTTATGCTCAATTCGCCTCGCAGTGCTGTCAGTTACTCAGGGTTCTCCACTACAGACCAAATATTCTTATCCCAAGAAAAGACTGATTGGATTCTAGTAGTTTGTGTTCATCTCCACCACTGGTCTGTGAGCATTTCAACTGCGCCAAGTTCTATGAAAGTGGTCTTAATAGTGGTTGTGCGTGGCTAGTATGTAAGGTCCACCCCACTGCGCAAAGTAGCTATTGTAATGAAAAACCTTCCTTATGTTATAGAACTTCCCTAAAATAAATGTCTAGAATTCAGGTTTCCGGATGCCTGAAATTATAGAAGGGACTGTAACGTAACCAAGTCAAGATTTTCACCACATTAGATGATCTCAATGTATCCGACGGGGTGAAAAAGCTTCGTCTCCCATTGTATTTACTTACAATCTGGAAAACAGTATCGTGGATTCAGATTTCGTTACGCCAGTGAGCGAGAAACCATCATCTCTGTGTGTGTGATATTGCTAAGACCAAAAAGTCTGTCGGATTGATTGATATATTCCTGTATTTTCTGTTTTCAGTATGTTCGGACTGCGGATGAAATGGACTTTTCCAAACTCACGTATTTTTTTGAGTCAGTCTGGTCGTTACAGCGGCCACAGCTCGTACTCACTTTCTATGGAGATGAGGTCAGTTCATCCACGGTTAGAGAGAGTTTGCGTAAGCTGGTATGGAAGGCCAGCGACAGCACACGTGAGTTGAACTGAAGCAATTGTGTCATTGTTATCGCTCGTGACTCACCACTAGCGATTGCGTATTTGTCTGGCAAATACGTTCCATTGTTCCTTATTCTCACTGGCTGGAAACTGCGTCAAAGAGACGAACAGTCAAGCCCAGAGAATGAAATTGCCAAAGGAAACTATATATATTTTGCAAGTAGCTTCATTACCATCAGCATCTTTAGTCGATGGTCCTACAGTGGACACCAGAACGTTTGCCCTAATGTTTCATGCTATTTCACACGAAATGAAGGTATTGCTACCGCGCTGCTCGGCCGACGCATCAGTAACTATACCAAGTTCCACCTGCTGGGTGCATTTACGTACTTTTAGTTACATGGATACTTACGGATGGTCTTCAGCACGGAATCTCACCGACGGTCAGCGAGGCAACCAAACACTACATTGAGGCCTATGGCCTTGGGTTGGTTGAATCCATTGGCATTGTCCCGTGGCGTCGTATGTGCTGCATTTCGAACATGAGTCCGGGCACGTATATGGTAAGTTCCGCATTTCAGATAGTAGGCTATTAGGTTACGTTATGAAACTCACGTTGTCATGCCGAGTGGAGGATTCAGAACCATGCCACTTAAAGAAAACAATAAGGATGATATTAACCGAGTAAATCGAAGGTACAAATCGTTTAGGTGATAAATAAACAATCAAGCAGAACATAAGGTTGACAAAAACTCGGAGACTGCGCCCACCTGATGAGCCCCTAGAAAGGCGAAAACGGTCGTGGGCTGTCGGCCGATTTTCATCGACCTTGCGAGTAGTCTCCTTTATGAAAAACAATCAACCCTGTTTCAGTCACACAAACTTGGTGACCTCGGAAGGAAATGTCTTTTTGGGAGCATTCTGTATTCACACACTGAGAGTAATTCCAACCGTTTCTCCGTCCACAATGATACTGGGATACCTATTAAAAATTGTAGAAATAATCTGCTCAGTGAACTTAGTACATTTAGTGCAGACACACTAGTTTCTCTGCTGTCGTAGAAACCAGTGTTTAGATAATTTCCTTACTCAAAGGACTGTGCTCCTGTCAAGTGAGGTGGGTCTTTGTTGGCTGGGCATCCATATCAGAAGGGCAAGTTTTGTCCGTTTCTCAATCGTTCCTGATACATTCATTAGCTGGAGGTAGTAGGTCTGAGGTCACACCCAGGTCCAGCAACTTTCGCTGTGCAGCCTTGCTGTAAACTTGGTGAATATGAATCAAAGTAAGCTTTTGACTTAGCTTATGACCAGGATCTTTGACTAATTGAGAGTTTCAGGTTTTCACGGTTCTGGAATGCGTCTGACGGTGGAGCGTTAGAATTTATAGGACAAAGTCCTGAAAATTTCCTGAGGTCTCCTTTGATCAGATAGAATGAACACTAGCTAACTTATGATAATTCTTTAGAGTTAAGCCAGATCAACAAAAATGGGCTTATGGCCGCTTGAATTGTCTGACCACGTTCGCTACATCTTCAGTGATGTTCCGTAACTGGACATTTGTGTTACAGTGGGTTTTGTCAAATGAGAAAACCGTCAACTCTAGGAAAAAGACAAAGATAACAGCTTTGGTGCTATCAATAATTTACCTTCTCTTGTTTGTTCAGGGTAATCCCGCGGCAAAGCATGAGATGGTCGACGATGATTCTGTACTGCACGAGAACCTCGATTCCAACATGACTGCCTACTTCTTTGTCGATACCGAGGATCGTCCAGCTAAAGAAGACACGTTTTTGTTTCGTTCGCAAATGGAGACAGCCTTGCGAAACTGGGCTGTAACAGAGTCTTTGGGTGAATCACAACAACTAGCTCAGGGTAAGTGAACATTTTTAATTCTTCTCCTAAACCAGTCTAAGGCTGAACCTGAATCGCCTAATGCTTCAGAAGCGCAACTAGCGCCAGGTTTCCTCGACTTGTATTAGTGTGAGTGGATAGCCCCCAAAACGATACCATTGGTCAGAAAAGACGACAAAGTTGAGATCAAAAGAGATCAACCCATGAAGCCGGCTTTGCGAAAGTCCATAGAGTAGAGTAGCTACTAGTGTAATGGTGATACTGCTGATGGAGGAGGCTTGAGGGTGGTAAGTTTTCTTCTCGTAAATTCGCTTTGCGTCTCTTGAAAAGGGAGATCTGTTGCGGAATTTGTGAGGTCACTTTGTAGCATTTGCTTGGATTTGAGCAACAGTCAATGAGTATCCAGGAAAGTTCAGGAGCACGCGTTCAAGAGAAGATGGATGTTCAATTTTTTTAAACAAGATGCATGAGAGTTTTGCTTTCCTGTCCAATAGTCTGTAACTGGTCAGTTGGCATTTTCTGATAGATAACTCCACAGCGAAGGCCTTCTTTTTTCACTAACAAACAAGAGAGCGTGGGTTTTATTTCAGTTCCTGATATTCTCCCAGTCTATCAGATGATTCTTGGTCCTTACCAATCATTGTATACACCAAGGTTACTACGAATGTGACATCCCTAGACACAAGTTGAGCAATTCTGAGCTTGAAATTGCGACCTAAAAGCCATTGCGGAGGGGGAGTGGTAGTCATCTTGGGTGAACAATAACGGAAGGTTTCTCACATATGCATCACTACCTTTGACGATATTACTTATTGGATGATACGTCTAAAATGTGTGTGTACCATTTTTAGCCAAGATTCAAATGTGCGGAATTTTGTCTGGTGGAGATATAAGCACACTGAAGTCTATTCACACCTCGCTCTGCTCTGGAACTCCCTTCGTGGTTCTGAAAGTAAGTGGATTTGGTTTCTTGATGGTAAATTCAAATAATTTTAACGTATTATTATTCAACCCCTTCTTGTCTGCTTTTTGAAACATTTCTTCCCCCAGCTGACAGATATAAAATAGACAGATAGTCAGACGTAATATACTACTCATAAGTTTGCTCAAAAATTCATCGACACCCCACGGCCGGTTTCGCGCTTCTTGGGGCTCATCAGGTAGGCGCAGTCCCTGAGTCTCCGTCAACCTAATGTTCCAATTGAAACCAAATTGCACGAAATTAGCGAAATGCATTCATATGTAACCAAATCCGATTTTTCGAGAGACTCACTCAGAACTCAGCTGAATCTCGGAGACTGCGCCTAACTTCTTTCCGAAAATTATTTCAGTGGATGTGGATAGTTGGCCACAAATGGTATGCAAACATTTATTCGTTTTTTTTCCGCATAATTTAAACTGCAATTTGCTGATCAACATTGTTGCAAGGAACTTTAGCTAGTGGGTAGGCTGCCTGGTACTGCAACCTGAAATCAAGATGGAAGCTCCACTCCCGATCACATCTAGACACCGTGTCCCTGCGATCGATGACTTAGTTCCCGTTTCGTTCCAAACAAAACCAGGGTCAGCCGACAGCGCGCCGAGTTGTTGGGACAGATACATATATGATGGTGATGCGAGGATAATTCATACGAATATATAATTCATAGTGAAAATCCGAAAAAAGTTGTAAACAAAAAACAACAAAGTTTATCCAAGGCTCTGCAGTAAACTCGCATTTGTGCGGTCACCTTTCACTTCACTTTTTGTTCATCTTCTAAGGATACAGGGGGATTGGCTAGTATCCTGTCTGAATGTATCGAGGACACTGAGATTGGTGAGCGAAACATTCGGAAGAAAGCTCTTACTGAGGGTTCCAGGGAATCGGCCGCTTTTCAACTTTCCCCGGCAAAGTAAGTTATTTAGTTTGGAGGTTTTGGAGGTGTGATATTTTTACAGAATCATAGTTAAGTAACTTGAGTTAGATCACTTTCTCCCGAAGATTTCAGTGAATGCTACCAACCATAGGTCTGTCTGTGTTTATCTGCCTCTCTCAATCAAACGATTCGGAATACACTTTATTAAATTAAAAAAATAGCCTGAAGATTGTCACCGCTTGACTGATATTGCGTCAGTGAAAGCGAAACCGGAGCATCTCAATCTAGCAGAATTCGGATCAAAACCAAACCTTTACTTGTCTTCACCGAGCTGGAATAAACCCTTGGTCTGAATAACCATTTTCCACAGTGTGTTGCCTCAATTCATTTAGACTCCGCTTCTGCTTTTCAATCATAGTATCCGGGAGACGGTCATGTCACACTGGGAGGAAGTTGAACAACCGGATATGGTCGTTATACTAATTCAAGATATTTTGGATAAACGAGAGATGATATGCGTTTGCGACTTAGAGGAGGAGGACTTGGATTACCATGTTCTGCTTTTGCTGATTCGTCCAGGTGAGTACCGCTAAAGTTTCCTGTTCATCGGTGTTGATACATTTGACCTCGTCTGTGTGTGTGTGAGACTAATGTTGTCATTGGAGAATTTCACTCGTAACTAACCCATTGATTCTAACATGATCAGATTGAAAGAACTGGTTTGAGTCCTATAGAAAACATATGATGACCTGTCTACTGTTATCCTTCAATACCATTGGAAGGAAGAAGGCCTTCGCTGCGGAGTTATTTATTGGAAAACTTCAAGTGAACAGTTACAGACTACTGAACAGAGAAGCGAAACTCTCATACAAATCTTGTTTACAGAAACTGAACTCATCTTCCTGGACTTTCTTGTATATTCTTGACTGTTGCTCAAATGCAAGAAAATGCGACTCCACAAATTCCGCAATAGATCTAACTTTTCATGAGACGTGAAGCGGATTTACGAGAAAACATACTACTCACATGTCCCCGTCAGTAGTATCAACCGTTACACAATAACTAACGAATATGATTTTACAGAAAATTAGGTTTTTCTTTTCGGATAAAATAAAATAATCCTGGTAAGAACACCCAAACGAACTGCAGGGTCTGAAGCGCACATTTCTCACAAGTCCCTTCCAAAGCGTGTGAACCTGCTCCAATGAGCCATGTTTGAACAGTATTGCTAGGCCAACCCTGCAAAATATGATGATCCAACTTTAGCTAACCTGAGAATGGCTAAAACATAGCTTTATGCTTGTCATTCACAAAACTAAATGGGATGCACCAGCAGTCAAAGACGTTTACGTTTCTAGCTTCAAACGCTTCTGCGTGGTTTAAACGTGGCCATGAATCTTCACGTTCTCCCTTGACCAGGTTGTGTGAAGACATCCAGGGCGCTGTCTAGGGATGTATTCAAAAAGGCACTTAAACAAAAGAGGCAAAACGGTTGTTACATTACATTATGTCGTGACGCCAGGCAGTTTTCCCGCCGGTTGAATTTTTACACTACATCAAAACTTTAGGCAGTGCCACTTTTAGGACCGACCAGGAACCTCGGTTTTACTCCAATTTAAGTGGACTTTCGACTATGTGAATAGACTGATTTTGATGTACGTGCTTCGCCGGAGGGGATGTCCTTGAATTTTGAAAGCATTCTTCGCACCTCTCAACCTTGACTTGCAGTCACCTTCGGATGTACTTTTAAAAGACCTCATCACAGCTAGCTGTGGCACAGAGCCGTTGATATGGCAAATCTGGATGATGTGAGTTGCTTCGGACTTGAGTAATGTTTTCGAGTAGTTGTTGTGTATATAGCCACTAGGAATTAGTTTTCCCTATGGTCTGCTACCAGCGAATACCCTATTCGTGTTAGTTTCTGTTTGAGAAGGAAGAAAGAGGAATTCAAACCATCAATTAATGAGTGCGTAGCACTTTCTCAAGAAAATGTGTTGCTTAATGCCTTTATTTCTAAATGCAACAGACACCGGAGCACAAAGATGTGACCAAGATGTGACAAGATGTTATAATGGATATCGCAGCATACTGACGCAGTTGTGTCACAATAAACTCCCCAGAAAAACTCTGAGGGCATGTCCAACTAGCTCTGAGTAATTTTTCCCATGGTCAGAGCGAGTAGAGAAAAAGTGGCCACCATATAGGCCCTGTGATACAAGGTCAGTTGAATGCTTACACCCGTAATTACGAAGGATACGCGGAGAATTGACCTGAATCCTTCTCTCTTTCGAGGATTCCCCTATAGGTGCGATTGATGCCCCTGGTCCCGAGTCGCTCCAAAAAGAACAGCAGTGTATTCAAGAGTAATACGTGACTATCTTGTCAAACTTGCTTTGGCTATTTCATATTGACCAAGTTTACTTTACTTCTCACCTGTTGGGACTCTTCAGTTCATTTTCGCTGCCAAATATATTCTACTTCAAGAGTGACACCCTCACCCCGAACTGATGAATTAGTATGAAAGTACAATGAATGAAAACGTGTAATACTGAAGCTGCCTGCGCTGTTCTTATGGTCACACTGTTCACTCGGCACCGCTGGAAGAGAGTAGGTTGATTTTTCACTGTTCTCCCCTCCGTTTTTCCTCAACGGCACTCACTTCGTCAGCGTGATCTGTGGGTTGGTTAAATTAAAAAAAACGGAACGATTGTGAAGCTGTTTGAAGCTATTCATTGCAGTCATTATTGCATGCCCACAATGAATTTTCCCGGAGTTTCTCTTAGAGAACCCAGTTATCAGGAAGACCTCTTCTAGGAATAACTTGCTACCGGTCAACACCAGGTTGGCACAGTCCGGTGATTGGATGTTGTTAGTCCCGCCCTGACAGTTGAAAGGTTATATCACTGTTTTTCTCGGACAATACTGGCTCAGTATGAACAGGTCGGGCGGGCAAACTACTTTTAGTGAGTACTAACCAAATGGGTTATTCATTGTTCAGCGTTTTCCCATGTGGAAGGTCCTTTCTACGAGGGGTTTCTGGACTGAGAGCAACTGTCTTCTACTACAAGGATTCCCCCCTCTCTCTCTCCCGGTGATGTATGTGTCCCGATTCACATCGTCGTCCAGTTATCAGAAAAGCTTAGATGAAGTAGTATATGTCAGATGATGATTACAGCCTTCCAGAGGTTTTTGACACATCACGCAGAAGGAAATTTGGGTAGCTTATTGACTGAGATATGTGATGATATTTGAGACGCTTCTGCTTCAATCCAGCTGAGCAGTTTTTATCGCTGCTGTCCAGTCAGCCACTCTTTGGGTATCATCATTGTCTCAAAGTCTTTATATTCGATGCCTCCGAAATTGATTTAACAATAGGTGATTGCAGATGAAATTCTTAGCGGAATTCGATAACAAATAACGTATTATCCAATGGGAAACACGGTCGGTTTCAAGGCAATCGGACAGTCTAACAGTGTGCTACAGCGGCACACTGATCTATGCCTGGGTACTGTATGGCATTTACACAGTAGTTCTCCTGCGATGTTTTGATGGTCAGCGCGTAGATAAACACTGTCCTCCGGTCTTTCATACTGTTGATGGAACAAATTTGGTCACAATCCAACTTGCCCTACCTTTGGTTGAAGATATCAGTTGCAGCATGGCTATGCCAAACTTCCTCTAATTCAGTAAAAATAGTCTCCTGTCCCACTAATAACCCTAGTGAACGACGCAGCTACGTTAACCATATTCACGCAACACGTCCCAAGGGCGTCACCCCGCAAAAATGTCAATCCTATGCAACATTCCAACCTAGTTTCTTATTGCGCTATTCAACTTGCACAAACTTTGGAATTTTGGTTCTTCCGGCTTGTTGGTTCTGGCTGGTTCCTATCATAAGCACATTTTTAGTTGAGGATAATTGGGTGCTTAGTCACTGATTTGACTGTTTGCTCTGAACTATGGCAGCCACTTTTGAAGGCTTCATAATTCCAACCTTTCACAGGCTCGGTTAATGCATGAAGATATTGTGACTGGTTTCTAAGTGCTTTAGCGTGAAGTCACGGCACAGTACAACGTTAGATAGATACTTTTTCATGTCAGGCTGTTTCGCGATGATTAAAAGTTGTCTCCATAAAATTGTTGAAATAACGCGACGAGAAATTTGGGTTGGCTCACTGAAGAACGTCAAATAGATTTCACCGGGCGTGAAAGTTTTTAGGTTTCGTGATATAGTTTGAAATCCAAAACCTATGAAATTCTTTGAAATGCATCGACAAACCGAAAATTTGAATTTCATCTCCTCTGAGGTGGATTGCGATGGCTTAGTGACCCTGCTGGTAGTTTCTTTGATGACAATTATGAGTAGGTTCCATCGTTTGTCCCCACTTTGCTGCTGGATTGTCCCTCCACTCTGGCACCCAACAATCATTCATCCGGATGATTTGGAAAAAGCTGTATATCCTGTTATGCCATTGTGTGTGTGTGTGTGGATAGAATGCTGTTTGGTGTGGATCTCCCTGTAGTTGTCCCACATCTTATCCCCTCTTCTCCGCATGTGTATCAAGGACTCTCCTGTGTTCGCCTGGATGCAGTGTGGTGCTGGTCTTTCAGTGCATCGCAGACGTTTAGTGGCTCAAACCGAGGCGAATATGAGCCGTTTGTGAATGGAAAATAGAAGTAACTAAACCTAGTCTGTAAGAATATCACAGAATCATCGCTACTTCGTCGAGGGAGAATAAAACATTCACCTTTCATTGTGGTTCAAAATAATTAAGCTTTCCTCAGCTGTCACATCAGAGGGGTTAATAGTGGTCGAAGTAATAGGGATCTCATTGACTACCTTGTCTACACTATCGGTTAAAAAGGACGATCTGTCTGTCAAAGATCACAGAAAATGCGACATATACAGACCAGTTAGTTATTTTGTAAACAGCACACGAAATCTAACTGGATCACTGCAGGATATTGTGCAAAAAGAGTGACCAATGCCCATCTCTTCAGAGCTGATTGGATGAGAAGACTAGTTCAAAGAACAACTCATTCATTTGAACCTTAAGGTTTTTTTTATTAGCTATCAAAAAAACCAAGTAAAAGGGCTGTATTACATAAAAGAAATTGGCAGTTGCCATTCAATTAGTGTGGTACCTTTACTTTGTTTTCTAGCCGAATAGGTTTTCTCAATCAACTTGAAAGAGTTATTTGTGAAGAAAATGATCAAAAGATTATTTATTCTTGGTCCTTCTCCTATCCGTAAGGGATAATTATTTTTACAAAACTCTGGAAACTCAACCTCTTCTTGGCATGGTCCTTCTGGTTCTGTTTAGCTATATTAAACCAGTCTTCCAACACCAAGCTTAGTTTTGATCTAGTTCCGTTTCAAATTCGTAGTACTGAAAAGGTGCAGGTGTGCTGTAAAAGAGTAGTTATTGACCTGTGGATTCTGTGTGATCGGCCCAGTTCTGGTTGTCTTAAGGTTTCAGAGATACTGGTGACAACTGAGTTGCCAAGCCAGGCCTTTAGATGACCACATTGTAGGATCAGACATATTCCTCTCTCCAAACCTAGGACAAAGTCATTTAGCCCAGTAAAACAGACACTGTTTAACCAATATGAGGTTTCCAGAGAGAAGGTTGTACCATTATAGAGATGTTCAATTCTGCGGGCAACTCAACCCTGAAACATTTAGCATTGGCCCGCCTTCATGGTGCACCAAATATACAAGGTGCACCCGACTGTCATTACATCAGAGTAAGTGAACTAATATCCCGGTTAGAGACGTACCTCAGTCGTTTTCCTGTTATTCAGCTTGACGATAGACTACCCACAACTAGTATCTGCTCTCTCTCAGATAGCACAAACAGAGCGAGTTCCTGCCAGTTTTTCTCAATGTTACTTCATTTTATTTACATTTTTGTACCACAGAGGTATACCTTGGACGGATTATCTCTTATTTTGCTGCGACAAGATCCAATAACTCTACTTTCACAAAGGTTTTCTGGGAGAATTTTACCGTTTTGATAAATTAAAGTCAATTAATTAGATAATCCAAGAACAGAAAAGTAAATGCTGACTTCGCCTCCGATTAATATTCGTGATTCTAAGGCAGTTGGATTGCGCTAAACTATAGAGACTTTGACATTTGTTCAGACTACCGGTAAAAATTCACACACCAACGACTTCACTTGATGAGATTTTCTGAAAAAATCAGAGTTCAATCCCCGTGAACATCCCAAATGGGATCAGATAAAGTTGAGATAAAATAAAGTAGATCTAGATACACGTTTTTTTGTCAGAGATTGACTGTACAATGTACAAGCCATTTGAATTTTATATATACGCACAGCGCAAGTCCCGAGTGATGACCTACTCCACAGTGGGGACCTCTTAAACCGTGCCAGAATGGCGATACTTAGCAGGGGGTACTAATGCGACTATTGCCGTGGCACGTTGTCAGAAGAATTTTCGGCAAAGGTCAAACTACGTCTCTTCAGTTTCTCTGAAACCTCCAGTTACTCTTCAGTTTCTCCTAAAACCTCCAGTCACAAACGGATATCAGTATATCCAAAGGGTGCCTGTTCCTAACTCGGGCACTCAAGTCCGCGTCTTCTGCCAGCAAATATTCTACGGCATCACAAAAACATGTCCATATGGGTATGATATGGTCCTTGATGTCTCATCTCCTTCTGGTTTCATTTATTGGAATGGAATTCCAAGTGGCTTGGCTGACCAGCACGGAGTCGTTAAATAAGAGACTTCATAGATTCGTTTTCAGTTGGGTACATTGTTCCAGTCACATTTTTGTTGTTATCAAGCGTTCTGTTTACTAAACGAACTCCAAACCGACCCTGCCGTCAATTATTTTTTCTGACAGTCACAGAAGGTGTCGAGATAACTGCGGAGAATAACATCGCCAAACTGGAGATTGCGATCGCACTGAATCGAAGTGACGTGGCTCGAGAAAGGGTGTTTTTAGATGGAATGAAGTGGGACGTAAGTAAGCTTATTCCGGTGATTTGAAACCTCTTTTTTGCGCCATCCTCCTCGCCCTAAAAGGTAAATTCACGTTTGGGGAGAACATCCATGGGGCCGATTAGAATCACTTCCTCGTGAAAGAGGTTGCTTATAGAAGGGTTTGTTGTATGCCCAGGTGAATGAGTTTCAACCGTTACTAACAGTGAACTGAAATTTGTTTGCTCTTGTTTCCGGTTAGTTTGAAACGTTCATTTGTGGCAACTTTTTAAGCTCATACGCTGGTATATAACGCATATGATGACGTTTCCCGTATTCCATAAAAATTAGATTATTTCAGCCCAATCATTTGAATAACTCGACATTTATTCTGGTGAACCTCAAGGAGGCTTGTGGAATTCCAGCTGATTTTATGCACTCTTCTTATATTGTTCAAATTCATAAGCCAAGAAATATCGCTTTCTTCACCTACACGTCTACGTTACCGGAGCCATTTGGGCAAATGTGTTGAATGGCACTGAGTTTCCGTGGTGCTAAGGTCTCAGTTGATATGCTTCATTCCACCAGTTGCTTTAGTTTTTCACGACAAACTTGATCTGTAGACTTATATGAGATTCATTGCACCTCGAACGTATTCTAAGTGCCATTATCGTAACAGAGCGCACAATTTTTAGCCCAACATTCTCTTGTACGGGATAGATAGATCGAAGAAATATGTCTGATATGATTGGTCACTGATCAGCTGATCTGTACGCCGAACTTGGCAATTGATTTTCTGGTACAAAACTGATCAAAAGAATCAATGCGAATATTTATCTTCGCTTAGCACATCTTCAGAGAGGGTTCTCCTCAGTGAACTAAAGAAACTGTTTATTTTAACCTGGGTTCATTCGTTAAGTATGTTAGAGTTACTTAGCTTGTCTGGAAAACTACTGAAATGGAAGGAAGGCTGAAATATTCCAAAGCAATCCACACGATCGATAGCAAACTGAGTGAGACAGAAAACGGGTTAATATCGCTCAGTCTTCTCGGATTTGAATGGGCCCAAGCAGTTTTTTAGAAGACCCAAGCTAAACAGTCTGACAGTGTGGTAGTAATGATCAGGTCTTTATTCCTCCGACTAACGCGCTTTTTGTCACTCTCAACCTCAAACGTTAGGTGAACTGAACATGCAATTGTTCGGACCAAGGATCTGGAAAGTATCTCAGCAAAATAGACTCATTTGCAAACTAATTTGGTTTTTCGAGAGACTCACCTGGAACCTCGCTGAATCTCTCCTCTTTAAGTACACAGATATCAACTTGACGTTATCTACGATTAGCAACTTCGCCCAGATAAAGGAAGATTCTATACTCATTACTTTTGATTTCTATGAAAGTGATTCACGTTTCCATAATAGGCATTCTCTAACTGGCCGTGCTCACATTTTACCGACTAATTGACGCTCGGTCAAACAAATCATCAGTCAAAGCACAAAATTTACAACTCATGACTCTCTCACTTTTTCTCCGAAAAAACCCAATTCAAAGAACGAACGCCTTGGAGCATACATGAGCTCTTTTCTATTACGGGACAACGTGCCATTCATGAAGCTTTTCTTGGAGAAAGGTTTCGATCTAAAATCCTACCTGACGAGAGGACGCCTGGAAATGCTCTACACTCTGTCTCTTTTACGCGCAGTAAGTTACCAGTTAAAAAACAACTCTTGAATGTGAAAAAAGAACAAATATTTGAAAAGTCTCAAACCCGGATACCCGGAGTCAGCTGCAATATGTTGTTTTCTATACTTTCAAACTAAAAAATAGTCACTATGCCTTTGTTACAGTGCAGCAGTTATGGAACGAGTACAAAAACACTTTGTAGCATCAGAACATATGAAGAATGTTAAAGCCACAGCACTGAGTGCATCCAACACAGAATGTTTGATCAAATTCCTTCCAGTATATCAGTCTTTTCTGTGGTGCTTTAAACTCTAACCGGACTGAATGCATTTGCTCTAAACCAAGCACATCTATAGTGCTGGTTGCTAACCTATTTGTGAAGGTATCTGAATTTAGCACAACCGACTAATGCAATAGGCAGTTATTCAATATACTGCACCATATATATATCAAAATAGACATGGAACTTTTAATTGCATTTGGTAGCGCAGCGGTGCTGTTTTTTACTTGATCTGAACAAGCTGACCGCGGTTCTTTTGAGAGTATATTTAATTGACATGAATTTCCGCGCGGCCCATGTGACTTTCACCAACGACACCACTTGGTCAAGCTGACTTGGTGATTCTCAGGTGTGTATTTTATTTTTTGTATGAAGCTGGCGCATCCTGGAATGATGCGAAGCACCTTTGCTGGAGGTCACCAGCAGTGTATTTTCCAAGCATATCTCACTAACAGCAAAGCCAGAATGGAATACAAATTACTCACTTCCATGCACGCGTGCCGATTTATTTCAGGAAGGCCTTATAATGGAGAGAAAAAAAATAACTGGATAGTAGTGGAGCCTAGGACTGGCCGGGCTTAGACATCCAGTGGGCCTCCAACACTCAGTCAAACAAGTGAGGTGGAGACCAACGGGATAGACGCTGCTAGCATTGGCCATCTGCAATATTGTTCAGTGACTACAGCGACAGGCCTTCATATCATGAAAGATAAATAAAGTCAATAGTCCAAACTTTTTGTGACGTCCTTCCTTCCGTTTTGCCATGACGTCTCCAGGTTTCCGCCACTCCGAATCAGGCACCGAAACCAGACAAATCTCGGCAAGCATAACACATGCCCCAGTTGAGTTAGCTTGCTGCCCTAAATGAAATCCTTTGGTTAAGTATATTTTGCCTCACCAAAGACCTCACTGAAAATCTGTTGGTCCCAGGAGATAAAGTTCCAAGATATTGGTGATCAGTCACTCAAAGACGCCTCAAATCCTCTGCCCTGAGTGGCCAAGTTTCACAGGGGTACAACCGTAAAGCTTTCACTGTAGACTGATGCACGCATATTTCGAGACCCAGTAACGTGCAATGCTTGTGCGTAACAGATTGATAAAAGTTATTCTAGCCTTTGAGATTCTTGTGTTAACTTCGCCTGTCACGCTACTGTCAAGGTTGATACAACTTCCGAAATAAGTATGGTGTTCCAGTGCCTATTCCAGGAATTCCCTGAACTCCTACAGGTACGCTCAAAGATGGTAGTTTCCGCAACATGACTTTACCCTTTGTGGGTGCCGAACGCATGCCAAAGGACCGATTTTCCTTTCTAGATGAATTCCTAGAATACCTAGAGCCATTCAAACCAGAACCTTCAAGCTTGAAGAGAGTCACCAGACCACAATTCGAGTGACACACTCAACCATGATGATGCGATATTCTTCAGCAGTTTATGCAGTTCCTGTTGTATAGTCTGGAGTTGACGCCGTATCACGTGACTAACATAATCCCCTCCTAGCGAGTTATTCACGATTATTGGGTACTATTGGATACATGATGCCAGTTATTTGAAATCTTATCCGCTTTTAAATGCGGAATGAAATGCCAAATAACTCTCATAGGGTGAGATTTACTGGGCAATCTTTCTGGTCTCAGAAAATCTCCATGCTTTCTACGGTACTATGTCCGAATAGCCACGGACTGGGTTCTTTCTTCAGAATTATCATTGAGCCTACTTCGGAAAGGTTGTCACCGACAAACGATTTGCTTTGGCACTAAACACTCCTCATACATCGTGGCGATGGTGCGCTATCAAATCGGTTTGTCGGTTCAATTAATCTGGCAATCTATCTAAAGTCAGGTGTATTTTTACACGTTTATTTAGAGTTATTTGCTCTGCTTGCGGACCAGCCTCTATCAAGCATCTTATTCGCTTGGTTTTAAACTGTAACTCAAATTGATTTGTAAATGGGTATATTTGTCAAAATCAGTCCAATTTGGGTTCAAGTAGAACATAAGGTTGACGGGAACTCGGGGACTGCGCCTACCCGATGGGCTCCAGGAAGAGCGAAACCTGTCCTGAGCTGTCAAATAGTTTTCAGCAACCTTGTGAGTAGTTTCCTTCGACTTTCAGTTACATCCCTTTTTTGTTCACGGAAGAAGAGCGTGGTCGGTTGGAATGCGGCAGTGATGGGTTAGATTCAAAAGCAACTATTTCGGTCCCTTTGGATTGAGGTAAAAATGATGACCTCTCAGTCCATCGATCACAATCCATTTTATCCTCAGTCACACAGTGAGCAAAGGTATTTTGTAGTTTACCTAATTGCCAGGGCAGCTCATCCCACAAATTAACAAGGCACCTTCGGATTCCGCAAAAATGCAACAGCAATATCCATTGCAGACTTTACTGCAATTCCAAACGTTACTAAATGCATTTTAATATGAGAATGAAAACTGGTATAGGGAGTGAATTCGCTCAGTGGCTTTTACGTATAATACACTCCTTGAAACCAGCACTGATTGATCGTCTATCACTTGTGGAACTCTTACAGGGCTGCCATTTGGTAGACAAGATGCCGTAATCAAGGTAGCCAAAACCATTCAGCTGTAGCACCCCTTCGGTGCCTAACTGCCGTGCCACCCGAAGGAAGCACGAGGGCTGGGATACTGCCAGGTTGCCCAAGCCTAGACAGGAGAAGTCGAGTGGGAACCACGGACCTTCCGGTCAGTAGATTCGCGCTCTAACCACTTGGGCCAAAACACAAAACTATGAATCCATGCCCGCCACCTTAATATGTTTTGCTTGATGCAGCACACAGCAGTTGCAAGATTTCGGTTCAACTGACCCACTGTTGTTCGACTGAGGTACGAAGGGTCATTGTCACTACAGTGGCAGTTTGAATCGTGAAACTCTTCGTTCATTCAACGAAGTTTCACTACCCCATAATCTGCTTACTTCACGAGGGCATATGGTTTCACAGTTTCGTTTTATCTTTGCAAATTAGGTAATGATGTCCAACAACGTATGTGACTCATCTGTGTGAAAATGCTAGTTGCATTTACTTCTTATTTGTAAGTAACTGTCTCAACGAAAATGGTCCGGTGTTAGGTGGTCTGTGCTACACTAATCGATAAACCCTGATAGCATCCATTGAGTCAAGCTGATAGCTCTGACGAAGAAACAGTACTCAATACATGACTAGATATCAATATCTGGTCTCTGACTTGGGAGCCATTGGTTGCCAACAAGGCGAAATCGATTGGTTATGACCTTCATGCTTCTTGACCCTAGAATGAGTTATATAAAAGGCAAGAAAATGAAGGCCGCTTTCCCGACGAACAAACAACTCGGACTAATTAATGGAACCGGAGGAAGCAATAACAATCGCTTATTTGGCCTACAAATGAGGGAGGTATTATATTCAAAACTATTTGCAAGCACAGATGCTGGTAACAAAAATCGTGACCTCGTTTTAAATGTGGCGAAACCCTCTTGTATATTTGACCACGCGCAGCGCCATATGGTAAGCCTGCAAGTTGCTACTTTATTTTTCTCCACTGAACTGAACGAATTTGCACCAGGAGCACCAAATGTACCGAATGCACTGCCTTCTTCAGAGGCTATTGCACAAAGTTGCCTAGTTGCGTAGTTACACAACTTTTCCCATTGTTCCATTTATCATGTCAAATTAGATGACCATTTCATGTGTAGCTACTGTTATTGGGGTGGAATTCACAACTGTCATTAGATTTTGTCTGTAGTGGTAGTGTGTTGATGTCCACTGCGTTTCGCTGCACCTTTCCTCGGACTACTCTGTCGTACGACTAATCGAAAAGTGGTATTTTTATTTCCGCATCCAAAGAACCCAGCACCTTACAGATAGAACTAAACTGGAGTAGCGCATAGTACCAGTAGGGTTAGTCACTAGTCCTTGAGCTTTTCAATGCCATTTATTTGATTTTCTCAAACGTGAAACAGTTGTATGCTGAGATCCAACAGCTTCTCGGTTGGTACGAGATTTTAGGACTTGATGAATAACACTGTGATGACTTCTTTAAACCGTATGTCAGAGATCCAAACTCGATTACGACTCAATTTAGTTTAGCGTGGAGCTTGTTACTTTAGTAAAAAAGCATTTCTTTCTGGAACACGGAATGGTCTTATTTTGCCAGGTCTTTCAGCGTTGTTCGCAATTCCTCTGTGCGTATCCCGATAAGCCAGTCCATCTTTCTAACGCGGGGGCCGAGTTGTTTGGTTTACTAATGAGTATCTCGGCCCATCGTGAGGATCAACCCCGGGAAACCTTATTGAATCTAACGCGTCAATCGGATACGTCACTTGCTTCACTTGCCCTTTCCTATCTCAAGTTTATCCGAGTCTCATTTGTTCTCTTTTACCGTGCCATGACCTTAATATTTACTGCTGGTCTGGTCACAACAATCATTGCGCCCAACACTGGCATGCTTGCGTGTGATTGTGTCTTAATTCACTCATCCCTCCTCGGGGTACTCAGCCTGATCTAACTTGGACTTTATCTCGTTACCTGGTCTCTCGTCGAAAAGATGGTGAGACCGCGTGATCGCATGATCTCAATTCTTCTTCTATCTGTTTCACAATAGTGTGATCCTGTTGGTGGCGATTGTCCTGCCAGCCTCTTTCAAGGAGTCCTCCGGTGTTTCTTCAATAAGACAGCTTTTTCCGAGCACGAATCTGAACTTCACGTGGAGCATGTTTCCCTCCGTTTTTTGTTGTTTTATTTCAAACTACTGTCACACACTACTGATGTTGCTCGCATAGTGTTGTGTTTGTAGTTTTTGGCATTTATGAGCTTTTAAACATAGCAGATGATCATTTTTGCAGCTAACGGACGAGTAATTGAAATTAGCACATAGCCGGCCCCTCCAGGTGAATGTCTGGGCTGTCCGATGTGTGCCGTTTGTCAAAGAATTGAATGCGCCCAACTAACCAACCAGACACAAAAGATTGAGACCAAGTCAGATTCACAGGAGACCAATCAAACTACGTGAACCACATTCAGAGCTACTAGATACTGTTTAGAAGCTACATAATCACAGGTAGAAGAGGAGGAATTCACCCACTCAACCCAGCACTGACGATATCACCTTGATTGGTGATGAAACGTTTGCAATCCAAGTGCCAAGCTCGGCGAACAGACCAACAACCATATCATGGGCCCATCATGCCGTTGATCACGACAGCCAATATTTACCAGTCCAGTGGAACCTGGACCACATCTAGAAAGTATTTTATCCCCACATTTAACTCTCATTTTGTGTGCCTAGATGACTGTGCTCTCAGATCTTAGCTCAAGATATCCAAGTGTGATGAAAATCGCCTCTTCAGATATGATAGTTGAAAAATAATAAGAGCCTGATCACACACGCGTTCCCAGTGATCTTCTGTTGTGTAAGAATGTACCATGTAACTAGCTTCAGTAATGATGATCTGGACAACGAGCTGACACGTTCAGCACGTTTCACACGTGTATATGAAGAACAAAAATATTCGTCAACAGAGAACAAAAGACAAAGGTTTTCTTACCTTCGCTCCTCTGGTTATGTGAGAAGCGTTACTCAAGGTACCGAACAAACTTCATCACACCTCCAAGTGAAGACTGACTTGGAGAGTACCAAGATAAAAATTGGAATCAAGTTTTTGGAAGCTCTAGTTTCAGTTTGACTGTTGGACGTTTATTGGTGAGAATTGTGTCCTTCTCCCCTGTGGATCGTTTCAATCGTGGCGATGATTCCACCGTTTGTTTTCACTTTCAGAAACAGAAGAAGCCGCTGTTAAATGCAATCCGGCGTTTTATGAGGGTAGGTCACTTTTAGACATCTTACGCTGCCTTTGGTTAGTTACCATGTCATGTAGTCGAACCCTGAAATAACTTGTCCAATTTAACTTACTTCTACGAGGACTGATAAGCAATCCTTGGTTATGCACCTACATACGATGGATTAGCAGACACGAGAATAAGTGGCATGCTGCAACAGAAGTGGTGAGTTCTGACCCAGCCAAACAGTTCTTTAAAAACCGTCATATACTCAATGACAATACTGTATCAAACGTCTGTGTACCCACACCACGAAAGAGGCCAGGATAGGCCTTGGGGTCAGCCCTATCCGGTCGTTTAAGTGCAGATACTTTTGAGATGTTTTCACCGGGTTTTTGTTGACTTCCCCTAAACAAAATATTCAAAGCGTTTCACAGAATTAGATTTATTTTACCACTGGGAATAAATCAAGGTCACTGGTGGTTCTACAAAGATGAACGCTTGCTCCAAGTGGCCTGAAAATTCGCTTATTGGATATTGTGGTATGCGGGAACGTTGTTCATATAAGCAGTTCTAATAAGACCTTGCCTACTAATCGAATTAAGAGACACAATTCACCACAAATTTTATTTTTCCTCATAATAAGCCTAAACAAACCACCCAACGTTTATAACAAATTTCATCTAGCATTCTTTATTATCTGGTGTTTGACTGCCACATGTCAGCAAGGAAGAATGCCAAGTAAACAGTGGGAAGGAGGTGGAACTGGAAGGCTCATCTCACCTACGTCCCTACGGATAGCGGCCAAGAGCAGCGTGCCTGCTTCTCAAAATAGCAACCAAATAAGGACATCTGTACAGTGGAATTGACCCAACGTCATTTGTGAACAACCAGCTAACACGGTCCAAGCATACAATGATTAAGAAGCTAGTAAGTCCGGTTAGGAAACGATAATATACTCTCCATCGTGACCGATCATGTCCTGTGGGGTTGCCAACCACATGTTCGGAGGGTCATGTGAACCCCAGAAAGAAAGCTGCGATAATTCCACACCACAGTCTGACAGCAAATGGTTGAATCTCGTCTTGTTAAGTCGTGGTCTCTTGTCAGCGAGCTTTCCGCCAACAGAAATCTGTTCAGGAAACAACAATTTCCTTGGTGGCTTTACATGAGCGATTGATATCCCAACCACTTTAATTTGTAAACTTTTCTTGATGCACCAGTGATCCTGAATCAGCACCCCGTACTCGCTTCTGCACCTCTTTGTTATGAACGCGCTGAAGTCATCCATGATCAAATGCTTGGATCTTTAGAATGTCCTCGGATACGGGCGGGGACCAAGTTTCACAACCGTGTATCACAACCACTCCTACATGTACACTCAATCCTTAAATTTTAGTGAAATTTGTTTCTGATGCCACGAGTGACTGAATGATTACTTAAAACTGTGAAGATCAAAATCGAGGGATGCGCCTCAATCCAAGATTTCCTTGTTAATGATATTCGTCAACAAAACGTGCCGCAAAAAGGTCACTGATGTTTCATTTGGTACAATACTTTAGATGTTTTGGTATTTTTGTGAAGGAGATTACCCACGGCCAGTTTTTCTCCTCTTGAGCTCATAGGGCAAGCGCAGTTCCTAATTTTCCCCCAGCTTTGCTTTCCACTTGAATCCAAAGTTCCATTTACAGTGTCCTACACGAGGTAGTGATTGTCGAATAACAAGACGGTGTTGACCGCACGGTCCAGGCAAAATATCACTTCGCCGGTTGTCATTTCCGCAAGAAGATCCTTGATCCCTTCACTTGTGCAACCCGCGGTGATATCGTTAACAGAAATGCAGAGAAAGAAGGACGAAGGACCTCGTGTGGAAATACATCAATTGTAGGGAACCTCTGAACAACTGTAAACTCCTAAATAATCCCAATTATGCGACAAGAAAACACAGAGTATGTTTTGAAAACTCAGGGGTATTCCTCTTTCGCCGAGAGTATGTGAAAGAACCAACTCATCCAAGGATTCGCAGGTTCCTTTGAGGAAAATCCCCTCTGTTGGCCAACTTCCAATGTTGCGCTTATCAAACATTAAACCACTGTTTCTGTTCTCAGATTTCCCTCTCACGCATAGCGGTTAGGCGGCACAGGATTATTGAAGTGAGTAGACGAGTGATGGTAAGCGGGAGACCCATAGCTATACAGTTGGAATAGTCCCCTTGTGTATATTTGATGGATAGATATTTGATGAGAAGCTGGCCGCAGTTACCTGGCACGCTTTTTGTTCTCAGATAAGTCCAAGCAGAACACGAGGACACATTGCCATATTTAATTAGAGCTGAGTGAAATTCCTTTGGCCCGGCAGACCGATGACGCCTTCGAGGAGGATGGTAACTTAGTACTAAGGGAAGATTCTGATGAGTCGAAAGAAACTACCAAAAGTAGAAATCCCCATAAAATACACCAAGGAAAAAAGATCACAACATCACACAAACCGGGAACGGGTTGGCCGGAAAGAGGAACCAAATACAGCAAAAGAGCTATCCAAAAAACTACCGGGGTAGGACATATACAAAGCAGGAACAAATCACGAACCGGCCAATCACACTTTTCGAAAACCATATAAACGCAGACAACTATGGAGGACGCACCCATAACTGCGCACTGAAGACATATCTTCAATTGGGGACGGAACGCTTTTAAGCGAATTACCAAGCTCGGCGAACAAATCAGCTGCCATCTGCTCATCCACCAAGGAAAGATATGAAGTTACGGACTGCCATTCGAGTTTAATTTGCCGGATGACTGGTATAGGTTCAGACACCGTCGGCCAGATAGACTGGCTTTGAGAACATTCTGAAGAGTCATCGGCTTTTACTAAACACTGGATTAATCGAGTGAGCTTCGGTGCATTCCCTGACGCGCTAGTTTTTTTCCATTTACTGAGCTTTCTGTCACCCCAGCGATCTCCACCCTCATTCCATCTACACTAACAATTTTGCATGAGACATATTCGGATTCCTGGTTTCATTGACATCCGTGGTCTGGATAGTCGTTCCACAGAAATTCGTCATTTTAAGCACACAGACTGCAACTCATTGCCAATTTTAATGTCACCATGTACCATTCAACAAGGCCAGTAGTTCTGAACGTTTATAAATCAAAGAGTATGGAGAAGGCAGCTACTAGATTTCAAAATATAGGTCGTTGAGACTTACTTTCACTGTTGAACGAAAATTGTATTACATCAGAATGTTTTGTTCAAGAAGAGAGCAGATGTCTCCCTGAGTGGCCTCCTGAATACTCGAGTATTCCTCCTCGATTGGATATAAGACTAGGATTGATGATAGGATATTAGAAGTTCAATGAAAAAAGATGGGTTACCAACCTAAAAGTTGAGGGAATGTCTGAATGCGACAGACTTTAACTGTGGCCTTTATTCACAGCCTACTTAATACCTCACATATTAGAAAATAAACAAAATCAGATGGATTCTCCCGATGAGTACAAAGTAGCGGACATGCTCTTCAGATTCATTCTTAACACGTAGATTGGATCGCGTAGCTTCGTTTCTCTAGGTTCCAAGCGTGTGCCACGCTACCTGACTGGGAAGTCCTGACTGGCGAGTCGATCGATTGTCATTACCAGGACAGCTAGTGGGTCGTCTTTCGATGAGTCGGGCACACCAATCACATCGCTCAAGTGTGAACACGTTCGCCTGTTCGGATGTGAGAATTCAGACGCGCCAAACGTGCGTTGGTGGAGTACTGGTTACACGCTCGCCTCGCATGTCAGATGTCCGGGGTTCGAATCCCGGCGCGGTCATTGGATATGCACTGGTGATGAGCGAAACTCGAGTCCGGTGCATCCCTTTGGTGTGAACTCACCGGAATGATTGCGCCAGATTGCACGACCGTTCAAACGAGAGTGGTGTCTGTGAACAAAGTGCTTGTCTCGCAAAACCCCAAAATTGCATACGAATTAAGCTGTGGCCTTCAGTCGTTACAGGTCGACCAAGTGATTGAACACAAATGTGATTTTTTTTCGGTATTTGCAGACACCAACACGAGTCAGCCTTTTTGTTGTTGGACGGATACTGACGCTACTAATGGGCAATCGGTACTATCCTGTCTACATGGGAGCTGACTTTTTGGAAAATGACGAAAAAGGTAAGTATAGAGCTATTTTTTTGTCGGCGTTGCTTGAAACTTTGACTGGTCCTGATTAAATACCTCACATTCGACGTGGCCAGAAATGGTATGCCTCCTTCTATCTGTACATGGTTTCTAAGGGGAGACAACTTTGTCTTGTTATGTGACTTGTTAACTGTAGTCCGTTCCCTGATTTCAGTTTGTAGTAGGTCCATGTGCACTATGTTGTTTTTGGTAGGAAGGGCTCAATCCTGTTGGTTGAGCGACTGACCAAAGCAGATAATTTGAGCCTCTGCTTCACGAAGTATTCAACGGTGCACGCCTAACTTACTAAATCTCATAACAGCGAGATGTTCTGTCACCAGTTGAGCCAACAGTAGTATACTACACGACTCCAACCAGCAAAAAGTTGAGTTGTTTTAGACTTGTTCCTAATTTCTTGACCAGAGTTATTCACATGGTGCTCGGAATTTACGAGTTTCTTGCGCACAAGGAGGAATTCAGATATTTTCATCAGCACTCATTAGAGAGGAGTTGCTAGGTTCTGTTCAACTCGCTGATCTGAGGTAGCATACCTTTCCCCTGATTTCATCGTTATCCCTAAGTTGTTATAAATGAACCCTTTTATGAACTCGAGTAGTGAAGCTAGAGGCAAAAACTGACGGACAAAACCGGCTCAGCCCAAATAAAACCCACCGAACGGAGGCTAAAAAAATTATTAAAGGATTAATTTGGTAGAACCTGGAATTCTGGTTTACGAGATCTCGTGTCTGTTCTGCCTTTGAGGCTAATATCTGGTGACTGGTATGCAAGCATTTGTTGTACGCGAGATGAACATTGTATATTGAGTAGGAATCCTACATCAAAAATTTTGCCTCTGACAAGAAGTTATCACAATATTGGAAAATCTGTGATATGCAATTCGAATTGTATTGAACATTTGGTGAATTATCAAATCCAGTTCTGAACTACTCCTTGTTGTTAGCTAGGGCAAAGATGTTATCATGTCCTGCGACGCACTTATTCATATGGGCGTTACTGACGGAGCGGAAAGAATCTGCCGAACTATTCTGGACCCAGCTTGAAGAACCTCTGGGTGCCGCTCTGATGGCCGCCGCGCTTCTTCGCCACTACTGCCACTATGCAGACTCAACGGTTAATCGGGATGAACTGGAGGAACTATCAAGGTAAAAACTACTTTTTGACCCCCGCGCATCACGAACTCGATGTTGCGTGGTGAATGTCTCGGGCTGTCGATTCTCCAACTTCGATTCATCAATGTCCGTTCGTTGTTAACCTTCTCGGCGTACCACTACACTGCCATATGAACACTTTAGGGAGCATTCATTCTAAAAGCTGATCGGTGGACGAATAAAATAATTGGTGTTAGACTGGCTAGCTTATGAATGTTTCTTCAGTTAATAGGGAGAAACAGAGAAGAGCATCAGAGACGCGAAAGCCATAGCTCCCAATGTATGAGAGAACACAACTCGCAAACGAACCGTATGGTGTTTAGCTGAGCATCTTGCTTTAAGCGGATGGTGATTAACTCAGAAAACACTCTGGCTACTGAGAAGTCGTAGGGAAATTTCATCTGATTGATCTTCGCTTCATCTACAGTACTTCATAATTACCGAATGTTTAATAGAAATGTGTGGTTTAATCAGAACTGGACTACACCTTCATCTTTAATATCCAAGATGGCAGTTCACCCACATGACTTAATAAACTGTGACATTCAGGAATCGCAAACCGAATTAGCTTGGGGTGTCCCTCTTCCAGATAGAGTCGCGTTGGAAAATGTCTGGTATGTGTTCTGGAACATTCAGCTCACTCAGCACTCCAACACGTACTTCATTCGCATCACAGGTGTGTAGCAACGGAAAGCAAAATGTAAAGTGTTTCCGGTGCCATCAAGCCTACGAGGCACTTAACGGACGTCTGTATCCCATGCTGGTGTCCAGCTTTGAGTCTAACAACTGGGAAGTAGGGTACGGTTTGAAACAGTTTAGTTTTCATGATGACATCGAAGGTGGTGAACAAAGCCTGTCTTCTGTCATTGGTCTCCTTGGCTAATGCACCATATTTATGTAATATTTAGGAGGAACTATGCGTGCAGTTTCGAAGGCACATGGGTACATGAGTGAAGGAAGATGGAGGGGCTACGATAGGCTCGAGATCTGGTTTCTTCTAAGGGCAAAGAAGTGGGTCGTGCTGCTGGATTCCAGTCGATTCCATAATCGATAATCGCTTAAACCTGTGATCCGTTCAGACACACTCGGTGCATGCACACTGCCTGTCTCTTGCATGCTCGGCTGTAGTCAGACCTTGTGCAGTTGCACTTGAGATAGGCTCTTCCAACTTTCATTCAACGAGCGGATTGCACTCTTGCATAATCTTGGATAAATATCTTATCGTCCTACTAATGTACCAGGCCCTTCAACTGTGATATTCGTAAAGATCGCTTTTAACGACGTTTAAACCGCTTTATAATGGCTCGCCCAAGTTCCGTTGTGGTAGCCGAGGATATATACGGGTTTCTGGGGCTCGTTTGAATAGTTATCTTGAAAAAGGATCGCAGAGGGCGGTGAACGATGAACGCCTGCTGTGGCTACTCTCGGTAACAACCCAATCCGCTTGTCCATATGGTACCTCTTAAATACTAACACACATCAAGCTCAGATGGGCCACATCGACTTCAGTTAATCGGAAAAACTAATGGCTGGAACACCTATGTGAATACTGATGACGGTGATGATTTTCCATGCTATTTTGAGAATCCTAATTTGAGGTGGACTTATTAGAACCACATTATGATTTCACTTTAGAAAGATCCGAGTTCGGGAGTCAGCTCTTACTGGAATTTACTGTCCATTACCTCGGTAGATGCTTGTCGCTCTGATTACGGAGTAGCCCAACCATCTACTTTTAAGCACAGAATGCTAAGAAACACTGCCAGATTACCCGAGGCTCGGACAGGTATCCCTGTCTAGCGAGAGTGCAGTACAACCTGACTTATTGCCGGTTGTCAGTTGGTACGGAGTAACTGCGGCGGTCGGGAAGCTTGTTGAATTCAGAAATCTAAGAAGGTGAAGGACGCGAAAACCCGTGCTAATGAACAAGACCTCTTCCGACTGAGACACGAAAATACCTCTAAGGAGTAACGAAATCACCGAATGAAACGTCTCATTCATTTCCTAAATGGTTGAAGTGAACATTCTCAATAATAATTCGACTGAACACCACTCATTTAGATTCGAAAACGGCAAAGAACCTCTAGACAGAAAACTTTCAACCTCTGACCTATTTCAAAATAGGCGAATGCCAAACATTATCCCGTTTCCGGTCCCACGAGCTCGGTTTAAGGATGCGTATATCTAGGTGAAAGAGACCACTCCAGCAAACGGGAATGGCTCGATCTTAGTGTTTATTTGTGGAAGTACGCTCATGCTGAATGTGACAGTCGTGGAAGTATTGAATTGGCTACCACAGTGATCCGACTCTGCGTCATGTAGCTTGAATAGTCTAACGGAGCTAGTGACCCAAGAACAGATAACAGAATTCCATCCGGGAATGCTTTGTGTAGACAACTCCATAAAGTGGTAGAACAACCGTCAGTAGTGTGAGTAAATTTAGGAATTTGCTAGAGAATTAAACCAGGAAGTAAAGCTAATCTGTGCCGAGAAGCACTTCAGCGGGAATCGTCAAGAGTATGCGCATCCAGAAGGTCTCGAACCCACGAACTCCCGGTCGATCAACTTGCATCAAGGCAGCATTTAGCGCTGCTCATTGTTCAACCTGATTGATATCTAAGCTACTGCGTAAACCTTTAAGCTGAGATTAATTTATGGTTATTCCAGATTCATCTTGTTTGGAAAAACCATCACTTGTTTCAATTAGTTGTGAAACTGAATGCACAGATCCAAACCGCCTGGAATTCCTCGCCCAAAGTTATTCATATCTTAGTTTCTCAGTTGATTTTATCAGTAAGAATATGAATGCAACTTTGCTTTCACTACCTTCTTGAGTCGAATGGATGATGGTGCGATATTGTTACGGCTTTTTCAAAGAAATATAACGAATTAAAGTGGTGCATAATCAATAATGATTTATACTTACTAACAAATTAAATTTAACTTGGCTGTAGTATTACCAAGGATGACAGGTAGTCAGTTCGCCATTGTGAGAAAAACTGTTTCAGACTAGAGAATACTAAAAATCATAATAGAACTGAACGCTACAAAAAGGTAGACAGTTTTCCAAGTCCCGAAGAAATATGCTTTTGAATTTTCTCAAATAAAAACTTCTCACTCTAGATAAGAGTGGCAGAAATAGGAATTTTTTTTGGTATGATATGCGCAAAACTGTGCTACACCATAGAGCGTGAGAGAGACGAAAACACCCAAAGACGATGTAAGAATAGACTGCTGATTTAATGATGTGTATAATTTCAAAGGCTGGAGCCCGAACCAGTGACGTTGGATGCGAATGACTTTACAAAGAAATGTGACTAAGCAAAAGCCTATTTAATAAAACGGAGGCTAGTACAACTCGTATTTGAATGCTTAGGTGATTTATTGTAACTGTGGTCACTTTTATGATAGCTGAAATGAACTCTAGTAGACTGTAAAATAATTTACATGGGCCGTTAAACAATAAATTCATCATCATCATCATCACCATCATCATCATCATCACTGTAGTGAATGAAATAAGGCAATAAGTCTAGGACTTTATGCTCAGTATTATGCGTATGTGTTTTTAACTACTGTGGTTTAGTTATAGTGTGGATGAGTACTTTGTCTCAGAAACTATTATCCAACTTTACAGTGCATTCGAGGCCAAAGCGTGTGGATTACTGAGCGAATGTTTCGCAGACGATCCTGCGAGCACCGCTGAGGTCCTAATCCGGGAGCGAGCGTTGTTTGGACACATGTCCTGTTTGATGCTGGCATCAAATGGAAAATGTCTCAGCTTCGTCGCTCATCGTTGCTCAGAGCAGTATCTTGAATTGGTGTGGTGTGGCAACATTGATCCGCAGACTTCACGATTTTCAGTGAGTTTTTCATGAAGCGAATAACCTTTCTGGAAAATTCGAGGTTGTATCCATATGTACTTTCTATATAAATCTTTCTCTTAGGTGAAGTATCGTGGGAAAATGCTCTTTTCGCGAATTGACCCCAACACTAGTTCATGGTTTGACCAAAAAATGATGCAAACCCTATACTACTTGCATGAATTAGGAAGTAGCTTGAAATATTTATGCGAAAATCTGAAACATTACCGATCATGTAAGGGTGTATCGTTGTATTGGAGTACGAGTTCTTTCAAACTGTTGTCTGTGTTGTACATCTAAACAAGTCATTCACCCCATTGTTCTGATCCCAGTTACTCTGCTACCTCTTGCTCTGCCACCTACTTGCTCCGGTGTATAGAAACTTAACAGGTATGTTTTAGTACAAAAAGTTTGATATGTACCCAAGCGCTGACTGACTGATGTTGAATTTAGTAGACAGATCAATGGCCACCTCATCTACGACCAAGTAAAGTGCCAGAGCTACTAATATAACGGTAATACTACTGATGGGAAACACATGCGAGTTTCTTGCGTCTCTTGAAAAGTGATATCTATTGCGGAATTTGCGAAGTCGCTTTGTAACACTTCCTTGTATTTGAGCAACAGGTAATGAATATCCAGGAAATTTCAGGAAGTCCCGTTCAAGAAGAAGATGGATATTCAGCTTTTTGTAAATAAAATGCATATGAGAGTTTTTCTTCCAAAAGTCTGTAACTATCAGTTGGCATTTTCTAATGAGTAACTCCGCGGCGAAGGTCTTCTTCCTTTCACTGATATTTCGATGAATTACCCGGAATGATATTAACCCCATCGTCCCTCGAGTTTCGGATAGCTCAACGGTTACGAATTGAACTAATCACCGAAGCGTCACCTATGTGATCAGTGGAGGTCTTTAAATATAGAGATGTTTTCTGTATGAATCCCTCTGATTTCGCGTGCCGGTGACCAGTCACTTTAGAATCTGGGTCGCTTAACGAGACAAAATGGCCAGATATTTCAGCCGCGTGTTTATGAAGCTGACTATGGGAACGGAGCAATTCGTTTCTTCGATTATATCCGTCCTGACGCTGACTTGTATTGTGTTTGATAAAGAAATGTAAAAAATCTTTGCTCATAGTGTCAGCACGGCTTAGATAACAACCGTGGGCACTGTAACAGACTGCATTCCAACGTTAATACCAGCTAAGGCTATTCCACCGATTCAGTAACCAAGGTTGACAGATATGCTTGACTGACCCATATGAATTGAAAGTTTCGTTCAATAGTACTGCTGAGTTACACACTGTGTATTTATTGTGATTTGTTCATTCGTCCATTTTGAACGCTGTCCAAAAACATTAGGTGCTTGGAGATAGATGACCTATTTACACAGGATGAAAGCTATTCATGCGAATAGTACTAAGTTCACATAGTGGGTACTAATTTAAATGCAGTTAGATGGATGGCTGTTGGTGGGCTGAGTGGGTGCCATGAGGGTTACTAGTGAATAGCCAAGCAGAAGATTTCATGCGCTTAGTGTTTCTAGCGACGGTAGTTATAATAACCTCCAAAACAGAGAATACACGCTTCTTATATGCAAACCGAGAGGTTTCAGTAGATGATGTGCCGTTCTGAACAACAGAGAATTGCCCACAAATTAAACCTCTGATTCCCGATTGAAGATGAATATCTAAGATATATCCAGAGGACTGCCAAAGTAGACAAAAGCATGCGGTGGATGCGAGACCCTTTTCCATTTCACTAAGGGAATGCAATCGAGATAAACCATGTAGTTGAAGGGATGCCAAACGGCAGGTATAATATACGATTCTTTTTGAGGTATCTGCCATTCCGGTTTGCTGAGTTGGCCTGCCTGCTTGTGGAAGTGGAAATCTACTGCAGTTAGCGTTAACTTCTGTAAAAGACTCGTCAGTTTGAACCATAAATTCAGCTCTTGTTCAACATTTTTCACCGAATATTCTTGTGTGTGGCGGTGTATGTGCCTTCCCAATAAGAGCTCAGGTATGCTGAATGCTAAAATGTCTGACAAACACCGTCGTCGTTCTTTTAAAGGGCTTTCAAATTCCTCGGTCTTATGTGGTCAAGTAAACAAGTCGTGTAGGGTCAGAAACGCCCATGTGAGAATGGTGTCCAGTGGCAGTAGTAATAGGATTCAATTCTTGCTACTAACAATGCGTAAGTAATCAAATGGATAAATTTTTCTGGAACAAGCGCCCCAACAGTTGGTGCGTCGTAATGGGCAACCAATATCTCCAGATCGTTCATTCGAGTGACACACTCGTCCGGATCACTCGACACAGTTGTGCAACGGTCTCTCGTTGAAGTTGTTGTCAGCAGATTTGGAATAGTATGTGTAAATGTGAGCACCAAAGTACAAAGTAGGTCGTGGCTGCTAAAAGTGGCTGGAGTGGGATAATATCGATGGGGTTTGTTTAGTCTGTGCTCCATTACAACAAAGAAGCCGAACAGCAGCTATGAAATAAATCGCGTAGTACTGCAAAATTACGTTACTAAGAGGCACGCTTGAAACTGCCGGCAAAAACATTACGGAATTCAATAAAGCCAGAGTTTTGGTCAATAACGACCATTGTCGTAAAACGGACAGACAGGCAACAGACAAAACGGGTCGGCTAACAACAGATGTGTTTCTGCAGAGAGCTATTTATCTGTTGGACAGCTTTTATGGGAATCCGTTAAACCCTGAGGTTCCTCACGCACTTTTGGGCTTTTGGACTATCGATTCGAAAACTAATTGCAGTAATTTGAAAAATTAGGTATATTCCTTATAGTAGCGTGCCCCAGTTGTAGCAGGGTAAATGTATACTTCTGTTTATACCATATTACCGAGTCAGAGAAAAATAACAAGCGTTATTGTACCACTTTCAGTAAGCCGGACTTTTGAGGGAGTTTTGTCCTGTAAATGAAGCTAGTCTATGCTGAAAAGCCGCCTTGTGGCCGAACGGTTAATTGTTCAAACTGCTAGCCGGAAGACCGCAGGTCCGAGACTCCCTGGAGTTTTATGAGATGCCCGTTTCTGGGGATTCTAGTTAGGGATCGAACAGATGTACAATACTTATAGGCTTTTATCGTGGATTGGCTTCACTTACAGGACGGGATCTTCATTAAAAATTCACAAATCTCTTGACACTATCAACAATAGGGAACTATTGTTGGTCGTGTGTAAACAGATGTTTTCCAGAAAGGACATCCCTCTCAAATGACTGCAACTGTCTTGTTCCCTAAGCCCAGTTTATTTGATGCGGTCTCTTAGGGTGCGTTACTCCAGGGTGATCCAGTTAAATGGTTCCCAGGAATTCATATACCTATTTTACGTTCGAATGCTTCTTACGGTGATCCAGACCAGCTCGCTTCTATTCAAAAGTTATTTAGCGGTGGCATAGTCTTCAGACTTATCAAACCTTAACGGTTTCTTTCACTGAAGTTAAACCATGCCACTAAGCTTAGATTCCATTGTTATTCAACTATACCTATTCTCCCTCCCCAACAGTTTTTTATTGGTGTACTGGTTGGCATTCTGATGCCTCCACTGGTGCCGTTTACCCTGAAGTTCACCGTGGATCGAAATCGAAGAAGGGAACTGGATGATAATCAAGACAATGAGGATGAAAAACGACCCTTGGTGAGCATTTTACTGCTATTTTCTCATCTTTGGCAGGCCGGAGTTCCTACTGCAGATCTTAGAACTCAACCATAGAGAGTATTTAAATCATGGTGTGTTATATCGCGTTGTTTTTATATAAGAGAATAGTGTCGCTGGAGGCATCCCTTCCAGTTGAATCTGCAAGACAGTCACAAGATCCGATTCACGGTTACCAATAACCCATTAAGTTATATGCTGTCCGGCAACCTGTCGCAAAGATTTTGTACCTGGCTGTATTGTCAAAGTTTGTTTGTTGTTCGAATCATCCACGAAACATCGTTTGTCTTGACCTGATAAGATGTTTTTTACTACAGGTACACTTGTTAAGGCTGCGCCATGCGTCACTCTGTGGAAACATTTTTGCACCGTCAAGACCAATAAGAGCTCCTAGGACGAGGATACATTCACATATAATCCCTCGGTTCTTCTTCCATATTTACCCTAGAACAGCTTATACTGTGCGGCAGTAAACCTGTACCAGTTCAGCTACGCACACCACTCTCTTACTTGTGCAGCAACCCTGTGTTTTGTGTTTTAGCTGATCTAAGAGTACTATCGATACCCCTTCAATCCTGTGGTTCACAATTCACACAGTCAATGATTTATTCTTGGAAGAAAATCTTTGCCGCAGGATGATTTGTGACATTAAACACGCATCCATCAATCACCCGAACAGATGTATTTGGGGAATATAAACTCATTTGCAAACTAATTTGGTTCATTCGAGAGAAAGAACCAAATTAGTTTGCAAATGAGTGTATATTCGCTAATTTCGTGCAATTTGGTTTCAAGCAGAACATAAGGTTGACGGAAACCCGGGGACTGTGCCTACCTGATGAGTCTCAAGAAGAGCGAAACCGGTCGTGGGCTGTCGATGGATTTTCAGCAACCTTATGAGTAGTACATTACAAAGATATGGTGTATTTGGGGTTTGCTGGAGTGGCCGATGAATATACACATCTACCCGTCTAAATTCTAAGTTATGTAGGATAGGGGGTGTTTCTCAGTTGGCTTTCTTGTAATTAGCTATAAATTTCGAAGCAAATAATTTGTGTGATTGTCTTTTTTCAACCAGATGTTGTTGGAAGAGGTATAGGTTAGAGGAAATAGCAGTAACAACAAATGCTTTTTTTAGTCCCAGATGAACCCCTGCAGTAGGTTTAGATAGATTTTCTCAAAAGTTAGGCAATTTGTGAATCGAACGAATTGGTGTCAGAACGTGACACAGGTGAAGAACGAACCAGTGAGAATGCGAAGCAGTTGTTTCTTATCTAGCTAGTTGCGATCAGTTGTCATATTCTGTTCGAGGATATATAAAGGAAAGCACGTAAGGAGCAAACAGTCAACCGACCTTGCGCTATTGAAGTTACCTCGATTGATGTATTGTGAAAGGGATGCAAACCAACCGTCAACTTTGGTACGTTGACAAAAACCGATCTGCAGACGATACTCACTTTGGCAGTGTTTTTAAAATGCTGAAGGTGTTCGCTCTGGAAGTACCATATCAATGCGTTGGTGAGATCTTGGAACAAGTCTCGATAACTACACAGCTCAGCAGCGAGTCGGTGCTAAAGCTAATGGTGACGGAGTTCATTAAAATGCACAATTAGATATCTGGGAGGCACTAAACGCATTCATAATCGGCTTTAATTCCGGTCCACAGGGCCCAAAGTTTTCACCACTTGGAATAATCCAGTAAGGTAGGGTCAAGCGAGTTCTTCCCACATAATTTTCGAGGAGTGGCAACCAAATAACCCGAATGATAATTATGATGAAGTTCATCAATAAATCAACAAATAATGATATATACCTCACACCCATTCAGAAATATAAGTCCTTAATTAACCACAAGCCTATAGGTATCTCTCTCATGTGCTTTACAGCATCGTTGCATTCAAAGTGCTCCCTTTCCGTTTAAGATTCATGGCACTTCGTTTTCGGTGCTTTTCTCTTAGGTTCTCCTTTCTAGGCAGACTGTGCCCTTTTTGGATGATTCTTTAGGAGTCTACGTTGATGCCGCGAGCGTCGACGGTAGTTCAGCTTATAAATTTCCAGCTTCTCACTTTCAAAAAGGGTGTTCTGCAGGACTGCTAATTTGGTTTCAGCCGTCCTCTTGGTGTAACAAACTTTCCAACACACTGAACAAAGCTCTTATTGTTACAATTTACTACGAACCTTGTTCGTAATAATATTACTGATGATAAACTCAAGCAGAATCCCTGTGAACAGCTTCATCGCTTTTCAGTGACTCACTTGCCATGCCTTTCACAACAAATTTCGACGCTTTCTTCTCACAGTCGAGCACAGCCAGCCTGCCAGAAATGGCATCTGCAGCCGAGTAAGTTTCACGTTGGCTTTTTTTGTTAAAGAATGTCTTTTGTTCAACCCTTTATTCATTTTGATTTGACGGCACCGCGAGGACTGAATTATGTAGCCATGGACTGCTTCGTTCGTCCAAATGATGGGGTCAAACCCGCATTTTTTTTAATAGGATGACTCCATCTAGTTCCTTGATTTTATACCATTTTTAATACTGTCAAAATGTCTTGGACCTCTCATTGTCCAATCTGCCCCTTACGGAACTTACCAGGTAGATCTAGTAAACTGTTCTTGGGATGTGGTTGCGTGGCTACAAATCTTTTTATCGGTCGCTGGGCAATGAAAATACTATGATATGCTTAGATGTGAAGTGGCCCTAATGTGGCATACCCTGTCAAAATGTGTTACAAACTAAGTGTTTTGCTGGAATCTAATCGAGAATTTCGTCAACAGCAACTTAAATTGGAAACGTATTTTTATGTATCCGGCTAACATCAGTTCTTTCTCGGACGAGAATCATCAACAGAACGGGAAAATCTATTTTTACTCACCCCTAGTTGTGTGGAGTGCTCATCGATGCAGGACATTTTAGGGTTCACCTCCGCATATTTTGAATGAACATTCCTAGAGACCTACCTTCAGACCCAGCTGAGGCTGGACCGACCTGTACTATCTTACCAAAATTCTCAAGTTAAATTGTGAAACCTAAAAACTTCTTTTTATACGCAAAAAAATTCACTGTTCTACTGGCGCCTCCCTTGTTCTTCCAGGTTACTTTGCCCTACCTAGTTTGTCATCATTTAATTTTATCGTTTTACTCTGTTTTTAGTAATGAGCGATCAAAAAGGAGAGGGTGCTATAGCTACCGAAGAAAGCTGATTGGGTTCTACAACGCACCCATGGTCAGATTCGCTTATGCCACGGTGAGTTGAGAAGCGAGTTACACTTTCTGTGTAGACCTTGGCTAGTCAAATTCTGTATTGTCCTTTTATGGCTGCGTAACCTAAAGTATTTCCAAGTTTATGACAAAGCCAGTGCAAGTCGAATGCGCTCAGGCGGGCTCTTTTTTTAAGACACTGTCCATTTTGAACGCAAACGTCTCCTCTGATGCCAGCCTGTACGTTTCATTGATTGTCTTCATATTTCCGCGGGTGATCAGCGTCGGCTGGCTGTTGGAGAGAACGTCACCGTGCAACTTTCTTGCAGTTGAACACAAGTTCACCATGGCTATGACTCAAGAAAGAGATCAGAACATACAACAGCCTTCATACAAAGGGGGTTGAAAAATCGTTCACTGGCATGCAATATGCAAATTATTTTCAATTTGGTTATGACGTTGTGAAACTCGAATGTTCAGACGCAACACGACAAGAGGTTAAGGTCGGGACCAAGTGAAACCATCTTCATAATAAGACACATAGGAAAGAGGGGAAAATTATAAAACCCCTTTGAATATAAACTCACAAGACTTCATTCCAAGTTGTAGACAAGTACGTCATACCATTTGTTACAATCGATGACCGATTACAGCTGTCGACAAATGGCCGATAGGACTATCAGTCACTGATAAACTTTGGATATTTATAAGTGAGGAAACGAAATATTATGTCCTGGTGTGCTTTGAATCATCGAAATGCAGTACTCTAATGAAAAGATATTGTCCTAAATTTAATTTGTGGGCCTACTCAGGTCTTGTCTAACAATGGTGAAGACATTATTAGGTTGTAGTTTTCCGAAACCTCAGAAAAGGGTCTCAAGGCGAAGGTGAAAGTGTTCAGTTGTTTTACAGATAGGCCGGGAGGGGGAGGCTGTGATAAAAGTCCTTTCAGTTTGCAGCTGGGCCACTGGTATAAAGTGTCCCGAACAATGTTACTCAAAACCACAAGTCTTTATTTTTTTTAGTATATAATGGATTAGCTAACAGCTTAGCTACTTGACTGCAGCAGTACAAAAGAGGTCCAGCAAAGCTTTAAATATGAAATAAAATAAGCGCCATGTATAGTTACCTCTTGGGCTGTTCAGGGTGAAACCCTCACGATCCATTTCTATGGCTTAAAAAACCTTTGAAATGTGCCATGTAGTGGGCTTGATGTCACACCCCGCCATCTGAAAACAGGCTTTCTAATGAGCTCCGAATTCCCGACAAATAGATATGTAACACACACAGAAATCCTTTTGTCATCAGTCGTATGAGTATGCTGTCCAAATAAGCCGCACATCAGTTAGCTGAGGATGGGTGGGCTTTTTGTTCTAGCGTCTATCGCCCCCACACAAACGCTTCACTGGTTTTGCTTTATTTGGAACACCCTTCCTTCAATCTCTTTACTAACTAATTGCACGTTTTTCTTCGAATTTCGCAGATGGCCCACTTGGTCTTCCTATGCTTTTTCATCTACGCACTACTATTCGACTACAAGGCTCAAAAGAACTACGATATGACAACCAAGCTGATACTCTTATTTTGGGTATTCACTTATTTTGTTGAAAATGTACGGCAGGTAAGTTGCGTGGCTCATCCAATCTGTAATTCGGATTCGCCATCTGTGTGAATGCTCTTGATCGGCGAACCTTTTTTTACGGACATATTGTAGGACAATTTTGTAGATTTGACGTTCTCTACAGCAATGCTGAAACCTATGAAGAGTTCTAGAACGATTACTCGCTTCTTGGAGCTCATCCGGTTACCAACAAGTTAATTTGCAATTCAGTGAGATTCGGTTGACGGAAACTCGGGGAATGTGTCCACTTGATGAGTCTCAAGAAGAGTGAAACGAGCAGTTTGTTATGGAATAGTTCTCAACAGCTTTGTGAACAGGATTGTGTGAAGGAAACATCTTTCGATGTCTCACGTGTGTTTCCAAACGTAATGTTTTGTAGCGCACTGAGTTGAAGACGAAATCAGCTGATATCAACTTGAGTCCACAGTTAACACCTGAATAAGTTGCCTTAAAATTTGTTCACGTTGTTTCTTCTTTGATATTATCTCGGCTTTCATGTTCACGTAACTGCACACAAGTGCACTTTATGGGCGTCCCAAACTTTTGTTCCGGAAACTCGTTTGGTATGCTGGTTGGCGTTTTGTGGCTTCAGCCTTCACTCGACTGAATGGATTAGATACTTGCCAAAGTTAAATATCGGATTCATTTGATCATCAATATATCACTTCTACTGTTCAGCAGTTACCTCTGTTTCTTTTTCATTTCTCCGTGAACGGTCGTCTGGGATTTTTCCTATGAGGATATAACACTTTGGGACTGGGTAAACCGCCGCTAAATTTGAGTAAAAAGGACAACAGACAGCCTTAAGTTGCAAAAACAGATAGTCAGATATCGTCCTCAAGAACCCTGCATTGTAACAGTCATATTGCTATAGTCTTAAACATCTTAGAGGACATGCACGCTTTGTGTAAACACTCCATATAGTTTTGTTTTGGATTGTGAGAATTTAGCGGCAGATCACGTGTGCCTAGAATACAAGTGGAGCGAACAAAAGTTTTGTTTAGGTTAGGCGTAGTAAACAAGTATACAGAAGTACGAAATTCTATAAGAAAGTGCCGTTTGGACAGCAGGTGCATTTTGTGCCTCACAAAGTTGAATGTCCTTTTCAGGCCGAAGAGCTTTTCCCATCGACAGCCGAGGTAGTTCGCAGAACCAAAGATGCCTCAGAGGAATAGTGTTCGTCAGGGGAGATTTCACTTTGAGGTAAAGAAAGCCCTCAGATCAAATAATAATGTAAGAATCTCAGAGTTTGAGGAGAATCGTAGAACTAAAACGGTACGCTGGATGAATTGCACTTCCGTTGCAACTCTCCGTATGACACACAGGTAATAAAGCAAATGCTTACTTATCTTTAGCAGAAAACGTCACTGTGGTATGCCTTGGTAACTCTTCCATAGTACGCCACATGCAGGGTCACTGAATACTGTGGACATTCGGTGACGGGTTTCACCACCCTTTGGGGCTCATCAGATAGGCTTAGTTCCTGAACTTTCTTCTATCTTATTTCATAACTGAATACCAAAATGCACGTATTTGGTTACAAACGCTGGATTGCAAGTGAACTGGTTGTTACCGATGGATTCACCTAAAGTTCAGTCGGGGTTTCAGGTTACCATATTCCCCATCTTGAATATCGTTCCAACTGGAACAACAGTCTGTCTTGGTGCGGCACTTTCAGTCGAAGGATATTTTTACCGTCAATTTGATCCACGATTCCTGAAAACCCTTACACCACTAGCTCCTCTGTAGCTCTAAACTTGTGTGGCATCTCAGTGTAACTATTTTCAATTGCTTGACGATTCTAGTATCGAGAATCTTCAATAAAGTGTTAAATCTACACCGCCACACTGAATATCTGGGTTGTGATGACCGTACCACGCATAGTCTGACATCTCCGGTAGATCTTCCAGCATACACGTCCTAATTAAATAGACATCCAGAAGAATGGGCGGTGTTTACACTATCTAAAGTGTCTGTCTTTGGATAATTCTCCAGTATATGAGAACAGTCGTTGAGAAAGGCCTAAAAAACGCATATCAGCAGTGAACTCCCTCTTAGAAGAAGTGAGCTTGAATAAGAGACCATATATGATGCTCCTTCAAAGGGGTTCTTTCAAAAAACGATGCGCGTTTACCTGTGTTTCTGCGAAAACAAATCGCCCCTGATCGATCTTTTCATGTGGTATACCTAGGACATGAGGCACATGAACGCTGCGTGATCTCCCATAAAGCCTTATTTATTTTGATGTCAGATTTCTTCTAGATGAGATCTAATCATACATTAAACTCACATCGAAGCCAACCACAAGTAAGCTTATGTGAAAAGTCACCTATACAGCGTGGAGAAGGCGGTTTGGCGCAATACGGGTGAAATGTATCTATTGAAACCCCAATTAACTGGTGAGGATAGCAATATCCTCATGCCAATGTTAGGCCTCAGTGTGAGCATTTCTCGTGTCAGTTTTTGTCAGACTCTTACTTTAAACCAAAAGGACGGTAAAAATGGTCTCCGTAAGGTGAAAGAAGGTCGACTTCTCAAAAAATCCGCATTTAGAAGCCAGCCTCATCGGATCGGCACGAAGTGGATTTTAGTCGAGGGAGATTCATCTCCTTCGGAAGGGCCACTGTTGGTTTCTATCGTGAATACTTGTTACCATTTGGTAGCCATTTTGTTTTGCAAATGTCTGTTTGACTTACCATGTTCGGAGTTTCCAGATAGGTGCTAATGCCTTACCACTCAAGATACTGTTCACATGACTCTTCGGTTCGTATGATGGATCAGTGGATCGTAGTTCGTGATTCTATACAAGCAAGCTATTTTTATGACAATGGCTATAGGCTGTTATCCAGACAGATTCGTTTGTCAGTACATGTTTCATCGTTTACCAACACCCGCCAAGTTGTCTGCCCAAGGTAGGCTTGTGATTGCATAGCCTCATGGTATGGTAAAGTAGATGATTAAATTAATGGTGTCTGGACGCCACCTGGTCCGATTTTTCTGATTATAAACGGCCTTTACAAGATGTTACAGTACTAGATTGTCTAAACACATCTGCTGATTTGTAGCCAGACCCTCAGAGAGTAATCTACTGCTGTAATAAGCATTTTCTGCTTCTTTATTGGCATAAGTTACTCACACGTTTGCTGAATAACCGTCACAACTGACTGCTGGCTTCACACTTTTTGAAGTTTATCACCTAGGCGTAGTCAACGAGCTTCCATCAGTCCTGTTTTTTCTTAAACACCCAGTTGTGGAGGAACTACTATGACATCAACGAGGTAGTCAACTGAACTTCTGGTCCATAATGTGCAGCACAAAGGCTGCCTCATGTTATATTTGGAATGATACTTAGCCTACAGAAGTATTTCTCTTGACCCAGCACTTTTCCGTTCATATTTTTACTTGACAAATTCACCAACCAGTAAAACTCTTCTATATCCATCTCTAAAAGATTTCGTCTTGGCATGTGTTTGAAATTCCATATTTTCATTTGAGAATCCTTGAAGTACGCGTCAAAACCAATGTTTCATGGATTATTCGGAATACGGAATTATAACCAACCTGGCAACCACTTTTATCCGTTGTATGAGATTTCAGAATGAACTAGTCCTCATGAAAATGGTCTTATTCGAAGAGGGTTTTTTCGTTTTCTTCGACAGGAGCGGCCGCTGTTCAGGGATGTCCTTCTCAGGGCTCCCAGAACGAAACAATCAGCATTAGATTTTCACTGCCCTGCATATAGACTTTGGTATATTTACACCACACGCTTCTTAATATTCCTGATTTTGCTGTTTGTATGTTGCCCTTAAAATGTGGGTGCGTCGTACGCGGCAGCCTAAGGTGGGTGATAAGATGAGTAGATTTGAATCACACACAAAAAACGGAAATTTTTCCCCATATGGAATGAGCGTACTATACGGCGGAGCTGAGGAATCATATATTCCAAATTTTGCACCCCGCTGTTGACTGTTGACTTCTTCGTTTAGAGTTGGGCGTCGTTTCTCAAAAATTATCACTTTCGAGCTAAACGTCATGGGACCGAAGTGTAGTAGTCCTACTTGGGCATTGGTCTCTTCTCTGGGAATATGCCGGGGAATATAACGTATTTCTTGTACACCATGTCGACATGGTTCCAGAGAGAACTTCGCCTTCTGTAGATTTGACATATGTAGCCAAATTAAGTCTATTCCTTCCAGAATCTGTTCGAATGAACAGGAGTGTGTTGCAGTTGCAACGTTCAAATATGACATAATAATACATGTTGTTCTTAGATAAAACTTGTGCCTCTTTCTCTCAAGCATATCGGCTGGGAGCCTCAATTATACAGTATCAGTGGTCGCTAGATTACCAAGATACTACTGATTGCCGCACCAAAGATATCCGTTTGTCATTGAGTTCATTGCCGAGTTTAGCCGGATTAGATAGCGGTATGTTTTTTAGCTGATCCAACAGTCAGTATTGCTTACGTTTCTCTTCTGAGAGCGATTCCACGCCTACCATATAGTCATTATACTCTTAAATAAATTTGTGAGGTGCGAGTTTTTCGACCCAGTTCAACCTTTTAACAAATCGTGGTGATAATGCTCACTAATACCAAACAAAAACCATCACATTTCAGGGCTTATCATCAGGTCTGTCGTTCCGAGACTACATGAAACGCATTTGGAAGTCACTGGAGCTGGTGGCAATTATCCTATTCATAATCGGCACGGCGCTGCATTTAATGCTCGTGGCTGAGGTGCGGCGGGCCGCGATGCCAGTTGACCTGGCAAATACAGTTCAACAGACGCTTTATCGGATGGGACAAATTTTCTACGGCATGTCTTTATTCCTGTTCTTCTATCGTCTGCTGGAAGCATTTACAGCTGATAGAAGAATCGGTCCACTCGTAGTAATGATACAGTCTATGGTGAGTTTTGTCGTTTTGTATAAAATTCGATGTACCGTACTCGAAATTATGGCTTTACTATAGCTGAATACGGGAAGGCGATGACAGCTTGTTTTTTCTAAAGTAATAAATCTGGTCGCTTCTGGTTTATCGGGTCCTACCGCCTCCGCTATATCATCGATATAAGAAGTTCTGATGGAATGGCCAAATAAACCATGTCAACTACGTTCACGTGTGGTAACAATAACATGTGATAATGGATTAGAAGTTCGTGGCATTTCAGCCGATTTTTAGCATTCACGATTAGTTAGCAGTCACCCGAGCTTGACTAACAGCCTGGCTAAATGACCGAAATTCGGTACCACCACTTAATCAAAATAAGCGTCATTTAGTGGTCTATCGTGTTCTAGTTAATGAGGAATGGCAGCTCTGACTCTCTCTCTGTCTATATATATATATACATATATATATATCCTACAACAGTCCAGTGAGAAGCAAACGCTTTGGGGAAAACTAAAATCCTTTTTGAGTTCCTTCTTTGTTAGAGAGGCAGGAAACGGTTTGAAGTACCCCGAACATAAGATAAGAGAGAACATATGACAGAACATCTCAGAGTTTTTCCTTCTGCTTCGTTTTTTCATGGCACTCAATGTCACTTGGGTAATCTATACGTCAGGACGCAAGTTCTAATGTGAATTTTTCAATTTTTTGCGATGCAGGTCTACGATCCATGGCAATGCTCGGTGCCACGACAGATTTCTCTTCGATTACATTCTGTTCGTCTCCTTTTTTCTCTTCTATGATGATCTCACAGAGTTTAGGTATTAAAAGCGAAAATTACCGGTTGGTTACATTCTGAGCGTTTGGCCCACCAGCATAGTCTCTAACTGGTCTCGGATTTTGTGTTCGCCTCAGTAGATCCAAGTTATATTCAGGAATATTCAGTTCACGGGTTTCACACTCGTGAGTACTTCTGTAGACTGTCGTTTTAAACAGATTGCTCCTTGAGTTCCGGATACCAACAAAGAATACTGAAAAATACTATTCGCATGCCTGACTGAAGGTAGGATTTGAGTTGGGTGTAGCGTACTCTAAAAGAGATAAGTAAAATGTAAGTAGTCCCTGTTTATAGCTTTTTGGGAACTGAATGATTCCTGCATTTGTGGATGTAGATGGGAAGATTTGTAGGGAGATAGAGACCTCAGCTCAGAGCTTCAGATTTACGTAGGTCAATCTCCAATAAATCCTGTTACTAAGTAGCGGAAGCCATTGCTGGAATGAATCCTCAGTCACCTACAATTAATCACTGGCCTTATGCAAAAAAACAGTGCACCTCAGTCTTCTGTATTCATCCACAATCAGGCTTGGTAACCGATGGAGCAGTGATAGGCTCTTAAGAAGGTTTGTACCTCTAAACTAACATACATATAGTTTGCCTGTCCATCCACTTACTTGTGGAATACAAGCAACCCAGCTCGAAACTGCGTTAGCTGACGCCTCTGCAGGTTCACTGCTAGGGATCTTGAAGTCATGCTACGACGCTGTTGAAATTTGTCACACTACCCATTATTGACTTAAAAACGGTTAACTTCAGCTCAATCAGTGACCATATTGAAAGGCTGCCCGTTACTAAGGGGTTATTGCCATGCTTACAAAAACCGTGTATTTTAGGCCTGTTCAGATAGCATAATCAATCTATCGTTAGTACCGCATTGGGAGCCATGGTCATTCCTTTCCATGGCCAACTAGGCGTGCCATAATCCTTCAAACATGGTCAATACATGATACCCTGTGGTAGTCAATGTGAAAATTTTCTATTTCGTTCCCTCATGGTTAGGTATTTATTCAGAGGTGTCATCTGTTGGGGGTCTAGTGCGATTTTAGAGCTTTGATGCTTTTCCGCAAACCTTGTTCCACCGTCCGAGTCCGGTAACTGGGACCATCCTTGAGGAACCAAGATGAGGAGTTGAATTTCTTCTTCACAAATTCAGCCCAACCAAAAAACAGTCAAACATTTAGTTTGCTGAAAAAACAGTTTGCTTCAGTCAGGTGAAAAATGCTTGGGACCGATTGAGTATTCATCGTTTTCGAAAAAGTTTGGTGACAAAGAGTAGATTTATTGCTGGGCAACGTTTCGCTTTTGACACAAAAGCTTCGTCAGGCCAAGTGACCAGGTTCCGAGGTTGACCGAGATTTAAGGCGAAAGGATAACCAATCAACTAGGTTGAGCTAAATCTCCATTGGGCCGAGGGATTTTTGTGTGTTGGAATGGATGAACAGGTGTTGGGCCGATGGGGAACCTACATGTGTTTTAGTCCAGTATAGGGTCTAGTTTCTCTTGTTCGGTCCGCTTGATGATCCCTCCTGAACGTCGTTTGAACTTTTTGTCCGTTTGTGTGGATGAGCTAGTGATAAGACAGTTGTGTAAGAGGGATGCTGTGATCTTTGGTCGGGTTGGGATTTCCACCCCACCCCCCTGTTTTTTTTTCCAATGACTCTACGTGCATTGACAAACACACAGTCACGTGTCAACTTGGCTTATCTAAGACCGCTTTCCATACGCTCGCCAGTTCCACACCCTCGATTCTATTCAAGCTGTGATACTTAGAAATTTCCACCGCCTCGGCTATTAGCTGCTGTGGTGTGAATCGCAGTTCCCGTCTTAAAACTTCCGCATTCTCCAGATCTATTCTATGTCCCGTGTCTAAAGCATGTACCGCCATCGCTGAGCCTTTGAGCAGCTTGTTGTCTGTTTATCCTTCATTCATGCTCACCAATTCTGGTGTGCAATTCCTTGGTAAGATGTCCTACGTAAACCTTAGTGCAATCGTTGTAGTTAATTTTTTACACACAGTCCCTAGTACTTTCAACCGGCAAGGAATCTTTCAATTGCACCAAAACTGAGCGTAGCGTTTTTCCCTTCTGAAAAGCTGCTCTAATGTTGGCTAAGTTCAACAATCTTCGAATAACCTCCGAGGTTCCTGCTTTATATGGAATGACTGCTGTGCCAATCCATTCTTTACTGGGTCTAGATACTGGAACCAATTTCTTCCTTAGTTGTCGTCTAATCAAACTCACTGGGTATCCTATTTCTTGAAGTCTGACGGCAATCTCGATTTGAGCTGCCGTCCGGTCGATCTCTTCTGTGCACAGCGCTCTGACTCGACGGAACATCGATGAGACAAGACTAGTGTACACGGGCTTTGGGTCTGCTGATGAATAGTTTAAGACGGTTCCTGTGTCTGTTGGTTTCTGGTAGATAGTCGGTTTTGGTCTCCCTCCAATCTTATATGTTATACAGTCCAGAAAGAGTAATGTGCCCGAGGTGAACTCTATTTCCATGCTAAACTTGATGTGTGGATTTAAACTATTGAGATAGTCATGTAAGCTGTTCACGTTATCTCGTTTGATTACAACAAAGATGTCGTCAACGTAACGCCAAAAAACTTTCCGACCAAGTCTATCCGTTTGAAGTCCTCCATATTAGATCCCATTGCAAGACCTTGTTCTTGATAGTAAACGGTTGTGTCAAAAACAAACTGGTAAAGATTCAAACACACTCTTATGCCCTCAACTATTTCATCCACCGAGAGTTGTGTCCGTTTTCCGAGTAGCATTTCTGCCAGTGAGGACCTCATAGTTACCTCCAGAGCATCGGCCCTAGGTGTGTTTGTATACACCGAGATTATGTCAAAACTCACGGAGACCTCGTCCATTTCCACAGGAAGCCCTGCGACCTTACTGGCAAAGTCGTACGAATTCCTAATGAAGGTGCTTGATTTCCCCGTGAACGGTTTTAGTAGACCCGCGAAGAATTTGGCCAGTTCATGTGGTGGCGAGCATATTGGCTTTATCGGGATATCTGCCTGGTGAATTTTTGGCAGTCAGTAGAGTCGTGGTTGAATCGCACTTTTTGTGTACAACCAGTGCCACTTATCGTACCCTAAATGGTTTATTACGAATCTTAAATATCTCCTGACTTCAACCTTACTCTTATTCATTTTTAAAGTAATACTGCTACCGGTAATTTGTCGATAGGGTCCATCGGCGAGGTGTTGCCTGACCTTTTTGAAGATAGTCGCTCTTGTTCATTACTACTGTGGCTTTACCTTTATCGGCCTTGCTAATGACAATACTATCTACCTGTCTCAGTGTGTTCAACGCTGTCCGCTTGCTCACCCACCCTAGCACACAAACCTCCCTCGGACGACACCCAACAGAGATTTAGCTCGACTTAGCTAATTGGTTCTCCTTTCGTTTTAAATATCGACCAACTTCGGAACATAGTCACTTGGCCTGGCGAAGATTTTGTGTCAAAAGCGAAACGTTGCCCAGCAACCAATCTGCCGATTGTCGCCAAAGTTTTTCGAATACCTGTTTGCTTTTTTGATACAGTCAACTTTCTTTTGATGTCGTCGAAGTTAGCTTGTTCAACTTCAATTGGAGCATGTACAAATCGACTCCGATTATTCGATATACCAACTCACGCAGGGAGTCAGTTCCTCCATAAATTCCTACGGAAAATTCTCAAACCTTCCTGCATTTTTGACCTGAATTTTTCTGCCCAACAGTAAAACACAGGCTAACTGAAAATGCTCCATGCAATTTCCTCTTTCTCAGTTTTATCGAAACAACTACCTATCGTTTGTCTTTGCAGGTTGTCAAAGATCTATTGCCGTTCATGAGCCTACTTGTGGTCGCTCTGTTCAGCTTTGCACTCCTACAGTGGGCCGTAGCGTACACCGGGACGGCAAGTGAATCATATGTGGATAACTCAAAAACTCTGTTCGAAGCGCTTAAACTTGCCTACTTTCAAATGTTTGGTGAATACCAGTTGGAAGATTTAACCACGAGTGAGTTTTTCACTTTGCACGATCATTTTTGTTATGGGCTGGCGTAAAACCCTGGAATTTTGTTCTTTTATGTAAAATTATCTCTGAGTCAAGACCACCGAAAGACGTGTTTACTAAACATTTTTCATATCTACTGAAAACAAAAACAAGAGCTTAACTGCACATTTGTTTCTACTCTAGTGCGATTAGAATCCCTGTGCTACCCTATCTAGCTTTTAGCAGACTCCGATCGCCCTTGTCAGAAGCGGACATTCGTGTCAATAAACATCTGACTTGGCAGATTGCCCACAACTTTTGTGATCTGGCAGTTTTCAGACCGATTCTACAGGCCGTTACTTGCCAGATTGAACTGTTTATTGGTGGTAGAAGTGGGGTCCGAGAGCACTGAAAACGGTGAAAATTACCTGACCTACACCGTAGTTACCACCGTTTCTCGCAGGTATTTTTTTGGTTTCATACAAAATATACTGGTTCACCTTCAAGTCCAGTGCGGGCGCGTTTGTCAAAACGCTTCTACAGAACCTCACCGGTTCAACCCATTCTCGATACAAAAAGACAGATAGTAATATACCTAGCGCTGAGTACTTCACAACGTGTATACTGCCTGTACTGATGATGATGCTTAATTAAGTTCTACCAAGGATCTATTATAGGCCGGCTTAGCTGTTCGCGGTAGATCCAGAAGATGCTATGAAGATATTGCTTGGCTACTTAAAAAACGTAAGTAGTCTTCATAAGGACAAAGGTCAATGGAATTTTTTAAGCCACCTTCTTGATCATCAGAATCGCTAATGTTCATCTTGGAAGTGATGTCTTCTCTTTGTTTATGGAATACAAAAATACGCCTCAAGTGTTCCCGGAGTTCAACTTAGACTTTACGCTCTTTAGTGATATGGTCAGAGCTGTGGATATTAGAATCTTTTACACATGCGATGGCTAACGAATCACACATTACTGATGTCATTATCCGAAGGAAAAAGGGGGTCATTCAATTAAAAGATAGTCTGATTCTTACATGTAATCCGCCAGTATGCTTATTGTTTCACATTTTCCCGAATATATTTGTATGAGACATTTCTGTGGTGCAAAATAGCATATTACAGAAATACACTCATTTGCAAACTAATTTGTTTTTCCAAGCAACAGAATGTGCTGCACCAGGCCGCCTCATGTTTCAGTCGCTACGATATTCGAGATATCGTGATACATATATATTTTTGTGTAGCACTACTCATAAGGTTACTAAAAACTCCTCGAGTAGTGCATTACAAAACTATAATAGCATATTATTATATCATTATCGTGGTTTTCGTCATCACGTGATTGTATGATTTTACGATTTTACATTATTTTCAAAATAATGATCCACTGTCTCTCAATTTTGTCGGTTTTATTTCATCAAGAAAAATCCGATGACTGCAAAACGAACAAGCTGAATTGTGTAGACGGAATTTCCGAATGGCTTGCGCCGATTATACTGGCCATCTTCGTAATCCTTACACAAGTTCTACTTCTGAACCTACTGATTGCTATGTTCACGTAAGTTTTTATTTCCTCATCAGCGTGAATGGGAACTAGTTTACTACAAGCGAGTTCTTGTTGATCCAAGCGGTACCCTTAGAACGGTGTTGTCTGAAACGAAAAACTTACCTTCCATGGCATCGCAAAATGGACAAATTAATAGCATTTTTCATCGTAACAAGTGACCGCGAGTAAGGGTTCACCGGAACATACAAAGCAGTACAATGGTCAGCAAATCTGGCACCGACAGTGCCCACCCCACCTCCGACTGGTAGTGGAACTTACACAACACATTGGTCAAGCCTAAGGAGCAATTTAAAATAGTGTTTACAAGATCTGATCTTCTAAATTTGTGTGATAGCAATTTTGTTTGAAGATTTAAGCGTAGAGGGTATTCAGATCTCTACCACATATGCTAAACTGCATCCAGCTACGGCGTTCAAAATGATTCGACCAAGACTACTTAATGGGTAAGCAGGAGAGGACTTGAAGTGAGGGTATGGTTCGACCCGCCCCTACAAAAAAAACAAGGAAATAAGGTAACTGTGACCACCTCATTAAGGAAACATTTACTACGGCATGGCACGGTTTCGCTACAATTCAGTATAGCTTACCTGTCACGAAGCACCGTACGACGAACCTTCTAAGCCCCCGATAAGGCAAGCACTACGTCGCATACACTCACGCGCGCCCATCCCTATAAGTCTGTTCTTCAGCGTCCGGTTCTTTCCCATACTCTTGACCTTATCCTTCACGTACTATGTTTCCAAGTCATGATGGTGTATCCTGCTTAACAACTCGGACGACTGCATACGCCTATTTTCCAGCTATATGTCTCGTTTGCTAGTATGAACCAATCAGATAACTGAGCTGACCCTCTGTGGATATGATTCTCGAAATGACTGTATCACCAATCAAGGAGAAACAACTCAGTGGAACTACAATCATAGGTTGACCTGACAGCAGCCTGCTACAAAGCCCTATCGTACAATCACTGGGTTCTTCCAGACTTTAATTCAATTAGCATAATCAATACCCGAGCCTAGAGGTCAGCATTAATGCGTGCTAGTGGCCCCACAGACTGAAGGTTATGAAGCCCCCATAGAGCTACCGAATATCAACGTGAAATTCGTTCTGCTTCTCAGATATGAGTACATCTTCCTGGTACAATCGATTTATACTTTAGCCTGACTAAGCAGCACTCAACTGACAGGAGCTGACGAGCATTACGAAGAAACGGTACGTTGATGTATCTTACTACTGCGACACAAAAGTCAGTGAATATCTTGAGCGTTAGATCCCTTGTCAGACACATTGTTATTTCGCTTCTGATACAAGTTCTTCAATCTGACCAAGACGCTGAGCAACAAAACTTCGCTCAAACGTATACCTACATTGAGCTGCGAATTCCAACGGGGATCTGAAGGTGCTTTTTTATTTTTATCTCACCTGATTACTTCACTGTAGGCCTCTGTGAGCTTGTCATACCAAAAAACTGATACTTTTCAATTGTGGACCTAGAAACACACAAAAACATCCTTATCAAATTATTTGACCGATTATCCTAAGCCAAGTCAAAGCGCGCCCTACTGTCATACCGACTCACTAGGTTAGATGTTAGTGAAACACTTGACAGTTGCGCTGGGAAATTGAAATCTACCTTGATTGATCCATCGATCAGTGATATGAGCGGAGCTTGTCACGCCCCACTGTTGGGATTTGCTCCACTGTGGTTGGATATCTGAAATAAATATATCATCCTTACTTTTTCAAGACGTTTCAGGTTGTCTTCGTGAGCGCTAATTCATTGAACCAAGCGTAGCCTTCAGCTTAGGTTGTATGCAAGCTATCGAGTCAACCCATCCCCTTAACGACAATGGACTTATAATAGCAGCATTCATAGACTCTGTACGGAGCCACGATCAATACAGCTTCCGTCCTCGGTATCACAGGCGGACCTATATTGCTTTGCACCATATCTGTTTAGTTGCGAGTTGGATTTACCACATGTAGCTAGGCGGTACAACTATAGGCAAATGCAGCAAGCTGGGTTGGACCGATCAGCTGGCGAGAGTTTTGGACATCACCCCAAGTTAACAGGTAAAGATTATCTGGCATGACAGTCGTAGGTGTTGCATACCGAATAGGTCCTAAACACCGAGGGTCCTTTGCTCTCATCAGAAAATGGTTCCCGTTTCACTATGTACAAAATGGAAGATCCTGAACAAGAACAACGAATACCCGTTGCAAGGTCAAAGCTAGCAAGGTTGACGACTTTTTTCGAGTACATATCAAATAACCGCTGTATCTCAGGGATAACACTACCATCAGTTTGAGGGGTGGGGTTAAATCATGAATCACCGCGGATTCAAAGGTTAATTAATGTGGAAGATTAAATGAATGGCTGACGTCCTCTGAACGCCTGGGCATAGTAGGAAGTCTTAGATAGTTTATGCTGAGCCATACGCGCAAGCTCTTAATGCCTATCTGAACTCGAAAGAGTAAGATCAGTGGGCTAACTTGCAGATGTCTGTCGTAAGCCACGAGTGGACAACAGCACTTGCGCGGACCCCTTAGCCACAAATCCACTTCTGATTTTCTGCCTGATGTGTAACCGTTTGTGTTTAGTATACTGCACTTTCTGAACTGATGGTAAACCTTCGACCTCGCAATTCAACCAAGCGTCTTAACCAGGTCATGCATTGTTCTAGGATATTAGACTATGAGCCAAACTATCGCGCGCGGTTGAGGTTTTTATATGCTATGTATTCCCTGTGTATGTATGTATTCCTCCATGTATACCACACACCCATTATTTTGTTTCAGGTCTACTTATGAACGAATTGAATCTTCTGCGACCGGCTACTGGTCCTTACAACGATATCAAGTGATTTGTGAATTCGTCGAGCGAAGTGTACTCCCACCCCCCTTGATCATAATTTGGCACATCTATTTGCTGTTCAGATGTATGGGAAGGAAGTGCATGCATTCGGAACCCTATGGACAACATCCATTTAGTAGGTTCAGCCTTTAATTTTCTACAGTAAACAGGTGCTATGAGTACTTTGTTCTGTCTAGATCATCACTGACAATGTTTTTGGGATTTTTTCTAACAAATATTCGGCTTTGGTCCCGTTCGATAACCACAAATGGGGCGGGATGACTCAGGGTTAGAGCAACGAATTTACTGACCGGAAGGTCCGTGGTTCGAAACCAACATCTGTCTCTCGACGTTTCCTGTCTAGGCTTGGGCAACTTGGCAGTATCCCAGCTTCCTTCGGGTTGCATGGCAGCTAGGCATTGAAGGAGTGTTACAGCTGAACGAGTTGAACGATAACCATAAATAACAGATCCTTCATATCTGAAGGATCTGCTGGAATTACCTTTTGAGTTGGTGTCTGTGAGACCTAATGTTGTAGGCTACTGTTTCTTGAGTTGAAATTCTATCTCCGTGATTAAGCAAGTGTAAATCAGGAGTGCTCAAGGCTCCTGGATGCACACGAGGCCTGATTATTTAAAGGCTTGTTACAGAAATATTGACCACTGCCCCCGAAGGACGTGTGGAAAAAGTCTACGCACCGAAAAACGATTCGATGAGACCTATGAAACTTTACAGGTGATTTTATTCCATCTATACTATCTGATTTCATGTTGGGTAGCATACAATGTGATGCTGAATGGCATCCGGTGGATGGTTTCCAATAATAAGGAGAAAAGTTTATCTGCTTTATACAAAAAAACTGGCTTTGCATCAGAGGGTTGTCCTTACACTATAAATTTTAAAATGAATATAATAAAGCAAACTTGTTCATGGAGGGAAACTACTTATGGACAGATGATTGCGCATTTTCGGACACAATGAAAACGTCTTTGTGTATCTGAGCATCTCTACTACTGCAAAGAGTTTGGAGGAGCGTGTACACATTCTCGTTTTCTTCCGCCAGCTTCCCTCCACTACTCACACTCACCATTGCGTTAGAGAGAGTGGTCGAGTATTGAGAAGTATGTGAAGGTCACGTTAGGCACCACAAGGCCACAGACGAGCGAGAGCACCTGGCGGTACCAAAAAACGCGTAGGTTACCTGGTGCATATGTGTGAATTCTAGATTGCGGGGATGAACCGGAAATCAAGTAGCCTACCGAAACAGATTCAAACGCAGCGAAATTCAAGTCAGACAAGTCAAGGCCACCGAAACCCACCGATCGGCAACTTAGTTTGATACTCTCGATAGTATCGATTGCTGGACTCAACTGGCAAGCTGAATACTCACGTCAAACAGCTGTGCTATTATTTGGTCCAAATTCTGGATCTACTCACTAGAGTCATAGAAAATGATCAGTATCATTGATTTTTCATTTAAGCAAGCTAGAGTGACAATGCAAATCAGCATCGCCAGAGAGAAATTGATTTCCTCTGTACGGTTGTAAGCGTTTTAATACTTCCATTACTTGAGCTCATCGCACTTCTTAATCATCTTCCGTGTTTTTTCAAATGTACTTTTTGTTCATATTGAAAATGGGCACGAGTCACCAAGTTAGAATGCCTCATCACTCAAAATGGAAGCAAAATCATCAAATCAAGCAGGTAAGCACTGCTGTCCAAGTTTGATGAGTAATTCAGACAACGGATTACCTAATATTGCCACTCGTCAGCATGAATGTGGCGAACGGCGGGAGAATGGAACAGGATAGCACAGTATCTCACGTCCTTCACACTAACCTGAGAAGACTTTGTTTTGTTACGTGAACACGATGGACTAGTCGACTTGTGGTCTTGATTCCCACCCAAATGAATTCGCTCTAGCCACTTCACAAATATTGGAGGGCCTATTTGGTGTTTGTCATGGAACAGGAACGAAGATGAAGACGCACAATGTTCCCGGACAATTAGTTAGTGTTTATAAAGGTGATCCACAAACCCATAGAATTGAAAAGTCCAGGAAGATGTCACCGAATTCCATCTTGACCAAAGAGGGAGGGTCCATTCGGACCGTCTGATGGTCCACCAATTTTAGTGTGTTCACTTATATCTTTCTACATCAGTTGATTACTGACGAGAGTTATCGCCACAAATCGTTCAACTCTGCCAACGGGAATGGGAAAGCATGGATGGTCCCATAACTTTTGTATGTGGCCATGATCCACAAAATTTCTTCCCAAAGGGACAGTCAGTTGTCAGATGCAATCCAGCGGATCGTTTCATGAGACACTGACATAAATCCGACTCAAAAAAATGCGCATGAAATTCTGATCTCTTTTGGACGAGAGCCCTGTTCATAAGGTTGCCGAAACCGTTTCGACATCACACGATCGTTTATGCTCTTTTTAAAGCTCATCGGGTAAGAGCACTTCCTCAATTTTCACCAAGCCGAATCAAACGCAATTCGTGAAATACACTCATTCGCAAACTAAGTTGGTTTCAACGAGAGGTTCTGCTGAATACCAGCTAAATCGCTTGCATTCCATTTGGATTCAAGTAGAACATAAGGCTGGCAGAAACTCGGAGATTGCGCCAACCTGGTGAGCCTTAGGAAGAGGGAAACTGGTAGCGGACTGTCGGCGGGTTTTCAGCAATCTCCTGAACAGTGTTTCTTTCAAAAATATACAGCGAAATCTCAAATGGGGCTTGAATCATAGTCGGTTGAAATGCGTCGTAGATAGAACTTTCGGCTGATATTCAGCTGACTCTACCGTTGAAACAAAATTCGCTCGAAAGTGAAATATTTCTGAAATCTCATGTTAAGATGTTGTTACGTTCACATTGGTGGAATAGCTCATTTGAACACGATCACTTGTTTACAGTCAAGAATCCTTCTAGGTGGGAAAAGAAACTCGCGGAAAATTTAGAAAGCTACCGGTTAAAATTTCCGTCAGGAAATGATTCTAAGCTCACATCTTATAATTCAAGTTCGCAGAGCCACTGAGGCAAAATCTTTTGTCTTAGATAATTTTCATTCGCTCGCCCTTCCACAGAACAGACTGGTTATTTTCTTTACCCCAGAAAAATCCTATGCCAAAGATAAAGCAGCAACTGAACGGCGTCTGATTCAGTGGGAACGGTTACGGTTTTGGGACTATCAACGTTACGTTTTACATGGTCGGCGACGAAAAAACAAAGCTTCAAAATCCGTCAACGTGCGAACCACAGTCATGGGTGGACAAGGTGGCGCCTCGGGAACACAAATTAGCCAAGCGTTACAAAGCTTGCAGGATGGCACGAACGAGGGTATTCGATCACTCTTGGAAAAACTAAACCGGGTGGACGAAGTGGATCGTAAAGCGGATTTAATTCTGAGGCTTCTCAGAGGGCTTCAGGAAGAAGTATGTTTTAGTAATTTGGATGGTGTTTTTCCTGTTTGTTTTTCCATAAAATGGCTGTGAATCGCAACATTTCTCTTTCATATGAAACTTTTTAACTGATGGCTGAAGCATTGAATGTAAGCAACAAAGTGAATCGTACGGTTGTATCTATAAGATCTCTTCACGACAAGTAGGTTGTTTACATTGTTGTTAGTTTACCCTTAAGACCAACAGCACCAGCAACAAATTCGTGTTCTCATTGTATCATTCCGAATACTGTTGCAAAACGCTCATTGGTTTACAGAAAAAAATAGGAGAATTCGTTCACTTGCGTAAGATAAACAAGATGGTAGTTTAGCGAATATACACTCGTTTGCAAACTAATTTGGTTTTTCGGGAGACTCATCTGGAACCCAGCTGACTCTCTCGGTTTTGATGCTTCCGGGCAACTGAATGTGTTGCACCAAGACAACAAGGGGGGAGTTTTTTTTACCATGGTTTTCGAATCAATTGGAGAACATTATGAGTTTTTTGTAGTACACTACTCATAAGGTTGCTGAAAACTCCTCGACAGCCCACGACCGGTTCCGACCTTCTTGGGACTCATCAGTTAGGCGCAGTACCCGAGTTTCCGTCAGCCTCATGTTCTACTTGAAACCAAATTGCACGGAATTAGCGAATATACACTCATTTGCAAGCTAATTTCGTTTGGTGGTTTCCTTCAGGCGCTGTCTCTTATGAACGGGTGCAAAAACGTTACTGGTTCTGACAAAGCATTCGTACACACTTGGAATTCTCCCCGGCTTGCGTGAACAGGGCGTGTATCCGTGACTTTTTACAGGGAATAGTTTAAAGTCTGTTTGCTTTGTGATGCTGCACACATTTACTGAAGCATCACACTAAAATTGTTCAACCGGTGGACACTTCCAGAAAGTGGACTAGCAGCCAAAAATAGCTTTGTCAGATGGCCGGGCTGATGGTTAGGACCAAACGCACAGTAGTGTGTGGTAAGGCTATCGTTACTAGCGGATCAAGGCCTTCATGTGTAACGGGTCATTGTAGCAGGTTGAGAACAGGTAAACTAACTTGGAACGTGATTAGCTCGCAAGTGGTCCAATGGTATCCACAGTAATTGTTTCGGCTACAGTTGGTTGGACGACCCGATAGCAACTGATTGGGAGTAGCCAGATGGTCGGCGATTCTTGCGGAATTACTGTAAAGCGGTAGTGAACATGGATCGTTTTGTGTCCCCGGTCACAGACGTATGGAATGCAGCTACATAGTTACGGGAAAAATCATCACAGGGTGCAATTTATCACGCGTCATATCGTGTTACTTGCCGGCCAACAAATAGTGTGCGTGTTTTCCCACACGTCAAACTGCCACAGTCAAAGTTCAGTGACCTAAATAAACGTCAGTCTTCTAGAGCGTAAAGCTTCACTCTAAGGCCTGCGGTAAAACAACCCCAGAGGTGTTATAGTTGTTTGCAGTGTGATCGACTTTAGCCTATGGCTTTTGGGCTAGGCTTCTTCATTCCCAGGGCTCAGCCGTGTCTGAAAAATGTTTTGGCGCAACATAGGACACCCGACATTAACAGAGAGAAGCGTACACACAAAACCTGTAAACTTGTAAACTTTGGGTGCTTCAGTTGGAGACAAACCACATGGCTGGAAGTGAAACTCGGACACACAATTCGCACCCAGATATGTTGAATAAACAGAATTTTCAAGTTTCCGCCTCACTACTTGAAATTCCGAATAATACGGATATACTATTATTTGCTGGTTTAGTTTCTCCTTACTTTGAGTAGTTGGCATCATTGCGATCAAAAGTAATCCGGGATAGCCAACCACTTTGAGACTTCCAAAAGAGGCATAATGTGCTGGAAACGCTCAAGAAACCGGTTTAATAAAACACTTCAGTATATTTCACAGAGGAATAAAGCTGCCGGAATCGTCACATTCAACCGTCCTTGTTGATTTTTTGTTTACTTCTGACGGACAATTGCATTACCCCTCCTTATGGCACTGGCATCTAAAAGACTTAAATAAATGTTTTCCCCAAACTTTACCGTCGAGAGCACAACTGAGGTTATCAGGAAGTTTTCGAGGTTAATGTTCTTTGAGGCACTGCCAGAACTACCACCCAGCTAGTCAGTAATTGGGCTCTGTCGTTATCTTCCTATTGTCTATTGTCCTATTGTCTGTGAATTTTTATCTGTGCAGCTTAACTAACCGTTTAAAGTGCATAATAACAGTCGCTTTCTGAGGATTTTGGCAGGAATATCAGCATTCCTACCAGTGTCGTGTATAAACCCACATGCTCGCCCTACGGTCTCATTGAGGAACGAAGAGGATCAATTGTGACTTCACCTGTTCTACTATTTCGCTACAGGGAGCTTCGTTTCTACTACTAACTGCTATCATTACCACAGTCGCGTGACCAAAAGGCGGTCTGAGTCAACCAAACACTCAAATGCGACTGCAAGGTTTAAAAGAACAGTGATCGATTATAAACCGCAATCTAGATTGACACATCAAGCTGACGTGATCGGAGTTAGGCAGCGTCAATAAGTGTGCTGACCAGATGAAAATTTCCAGGCAACTGGAATCTGTGTTTGCTCGCACCCACATATTTGTTCACACCGTGATCTCGCACACACCAGTATGTCTCCGCTGTAAAATCACTGTGGAAGCAGAGTTGCTAACCGGTGCAGCACCACTGTTTTGAGATTTGGTTGGCTTCAGTGGGGCTCACTGACAACGGCTTTAGAACGTAGGATACGACACTCTGTTCCGAGGGGCCAGGCCTGTCACTGAACTTATTGGTTACCAGGACCTGTGACTTTCCTGTTTATGAGCCGTCGAAATCTTAGAAACTTGCCTGTTGTAAATAGAAAGCTTCTCCTGTTCAAGGCATACTGAACGCCTGCAAAAGGACGATTTTGTAGCAATTTATGGGTAAAACGTATGATTTTCTTTTCCATCCATCAATCTGAAATACCCTGGAATTTTTCATTTGATTGCAGTGGCGTTTATTCTGAAATCACCATAGGATTTCAGGATATGATAAACGGAATATGATCTGGCGAAAGGCTTCAAACTCTAAATTTCCACAATCGTGATCGGTAATTTTTGACGTCCTATCATAAGATAAAGATTCGTCTGATGACCCCCATTCTAAAGGTCGGACTCAGCGCCTTTTGTAGATCTGCTCAAAACCAGTTTTTGGGACCCGAGTCTTCCCTTACAACATAATATAAGGAGTGTATGTTCCCTGGTATTCGAAGAACCGCCTATTGTTATAATTTGTTCCTATTGTTTCCCTTGAAGGGAGTCGTAGATCACAGAGTCTATTCGATGTCAAATTTGCTCATGGTTGACAAACTGGTATAACCTGTTTCACGTTCCCATTATTCACTGCTTTCCATTCATCATTTGGAATTAAACAGGATACTGAAGTAAGCTTTTCAAACCCGTAACACTCGTAACCGAGCATTGTGTTGATGTGACATCAACAAACATAGTGACGCATACTCAAGAACCTTTGTCATACCAGCCCAACAAAAGGATACCAGTACACTTGACACCACGGACACCTCGTGGCAAAGCCATCTAAAAAGGAAAACACAAATTGCACAAGCAGTAAAGAATTATGCGCCATTTTTGCATACTCCTCTAGCACATATCAAGGTCCGAACTGATGTAACTTTACGAAAGCATCTTTTATATGTACCTTCTGAAAAGAAATTCTAAGGAAGAAGAGATGGCATGCACATTACTTGAGCGGATGGTGGAATCACATAGCTCTGTCCAACCATCCGACTTGCGTCTGAATCGCCCAGCCGGCCATCATGGTTCAAATAAACCACCATATAGGAACTGCTAGAAAAGAAATTTAGAGTTTCGGCCATTGAGTGAAAAGCTGGGTCACGATATTTGTTTGACCAGTGTGTCAGTGATGTGACTCTTTTTTAACGGCATCAGTGGAGAAGAACAACACTGCTCCGGTATCAAATCAGTTGTATATCCGCGACAAACAATCAGAGCGAGAACACATTATCAGCTACATCCAACTACTTGTCAACGCATTCCACGAATTTTTCACCTTGTGGCTTTCCTTTTTGCGCCTCACTGTCCACTAACTATTATACTTCTTTGTTAGAACTGGAAGCTCTACCATCCTCTTTCTTAGTCTATCTTCTAAGTTTTACCATTTGCTTGTCCGCACTTGGTTAATACACACAAAGTTGATCGTTTGTTGCACTGTAATGCGCAGAATGATGGGATAACTTCGAAAAATATTGTGTGTTGCGTATATAGTTCTTTATTTTCACAGCCAGTTGGTAGTTTAATAAGCTTCCCCCTTGAACTGAACTTCAGGATAGCCTGGTGGGATGCATTATGGGAGCTTGATGATCTGTTCATAAGCAGAGGCATGCGAACCGTACTTTTAATGCAAGGCGGATGACCTAGTGCTCAGAAACCTCCTTGGAATTCCATTTAAGGGCAATCGCGTGCACGGACTGACGATAACAAGAGTCAGGTAAAGTCCCATTCTCTGTATTAGTTGAAACCTAAATTGAGATTCCGTCCTTCCTTTCGACTCGTGCTTGATCTGTCGGCGATCTTAAGTACAAGACCATGTTTAGTTCAATAGCACTGAGAGCAGACGTATGCCGCGATAGGGTAACGTAAATTTCCCTCTCCCACTGCATCTTACTTTCATGTTATTTAAGAACCCGGTTGAATCTCTTGTTTACACTATCTTCAACTGAATGTGTTACACAAACGCCACTTCATGTTTCAGTTGGCACCACATTCGAGATATCGCAGTGTATTGTCTCGCTGCGACACACTACTCACAATCCTGTTTGATGACCAACCATTAGTTTTGCCCTTCTTAGGACTCATCAGGACTCAGCACCAACACCCTGATACACTTGTTGAAAATGGCTCTCATTTTTCAGCTCTATAAACGTAAAGTTTAAAGAATCTCTGGAGTGAACCAGAGATTCAACGGAGGTTTAAACGAATCTGTAGTTTTATGCCGTTCAACGACAGCGCAGAAGCTACGTCGAGATTCGAATGCTCTGTCACGCCAGATAACAATATTTTTTGCCGATCTAACTACAACTTCTTTGTGCTGCTGATGAGATCCGTTCGATAGCCCACATTCAGTTTTAAAAAAGGGGTACGTCCCACCAAGTCATTCGATCCAGGCATTTGCATTTCTCTGAAGACTTCATCAATGCATTGTAATTAGCTGAGTGCAGTCTAGTCAAGCAACCTCCTTCTTCAGTTCATCAGGAGAATAGTAACTCAGATGCAAAATTAATTCGATCCTATCACCGAGCTGTCGAATAATTGGCTCACAACGCGCCAAAAAATTTCCTCAGATGTCAGGTCCGTAGTGCGAATCCATAATTGTGATTGCTTCCTTTGGTAATAGGGCACTAAGAGAAAAAACCATGGTATCACGATTGTAACCTGCCACCTTGATGTGGTGGTCGGGCTTCAGTGCTGCAATGATCCCGCGGGCTACACTGGCTGGAACTTCGTTCCACACGGTGCAACCATGCCAGGAAGGCCAAAGGGGAGCAACCAGACCAAGAGCAGCGAGACCCCGCACTACGAGTAATCGTGGTACGAGGCGGTCTGGGGGTAAAGTCGTACTGTCCTCTGCGACAGAAGTGTGAAGGCAGTAAGGTGTTTCCCCCAGGCGACCAGCATGTCCATATTTATGGAAGCAGCGATGCTGCCTTCCACCGAGGAAGGACGGGTTAGAAAAGGTCGGCCCCAAAAACCGCACACTCCGATCGCCCGACGGTTGACCGTGACCGCCGGCGCATTATCCAATACGGTCGAAANNNCCAACCCCCTGCAGCCGAGCAGGTCAGACTGTTGAGTCGTCGGCTCCGGGCATGGTCCCCAAAGAAAACCCTACATTTTCCCACTACCTCGTGGATCAGACTTTTGAGTCAGAGGCTAGGGTCAGCGTCCCTGAACAAAACCCCACATTCTCCCACTGCCTCGTGGGTCGGACTTTTGAGCCAAAGGCTCAAGATTTGGTGCCTCAACCAAACCCCCTTCCTGGGCCTGGGCAACCGGAGAGTATCATTTGCCCGCGCAGTTCAGCGTTCACCGACGTCCCTCCCCAACCCCTTCCCACTGCACAAGCAAACGTCAATGGGTTTTGACTGAGGGCACTAAGAGAAAAACCCATGGTATCATGATTGTAATATCAAATAAAATTACTTCGTTTGGCTACGGCGCGCCTACAACCCAGAGCCGCCTTGCAACCGAGACAATTCTAGAGCTCCTTCATGAGAGGCAAGAGAAATCAAACATTTAGGGGTGAGTTACTTCAAGGCTCAGATGGCAGTCCTGATGAAGCAAAACAGTTGCTCAGTCACAAAGTAACAGAACCCATCAAAGCCTTGTTGAAAGTCACATGTGTCCACGGTTTACTGAAGATAAATGTACAATCGTAAAGATAAGAAGGGAACTAAATGATAATGGACGCAATAGTATAACAAGATGACCAGTTGTTTTCAGCTTATATATATATATATATACATATATATTTAACACGCTATACAAACCCTTCACTGTTTCGTGCGGATTTGAGGCAACACCTAGCAGCAGAAAGTGTCGCCAAATAAGGGGTGACTTAAGACTCCAGGATACCATAAGGATTTCACTGTATCGTTCACCAACAACCATACGTCTTCAAGGCAGTTGTCAAGACATACTGTTGTGGAACATTATGGGGATGATCCCTTAAATTGACCATTCTTGGGTGGATTGCTGCAGCAATGTACCAGCAACACCGTAAAGAATACACTGCCCTTACATTCAGGATGGTAACAGAGTTGGTCAGAATCCATTTTGAACAACCATAAGTACCCTCCTTTTGATATTCGAGCTTTCGGAAGATCAGTCCCAGTTAATTCCTCTTGAATTGGAACAAACGCAGAATCACCTGAGAAAAGAAAACTTTATCTATAAAGGAAACTACTCACAAGGTTGCTGAAAACTCTTCGGCATCCCACTACCGGTTTCGTCCTTCTTGGGGCTTATCAGGTAGGCGCAGTCCTCGAGTTTCCGTCAATCTCATAATCTACTTGAACCTAAATTGCGCTGTTTTCGAGAAATACACTGACGTGAAAACCAAACTGATGAACAAATGAGTGTATCTCTCGAGAAAAATTTTATCTACTTTGTACGAAGTAAACCAAAATCTGACGACTGCCTTCAAATAAATCGCACATGCTTGCACACTATGGTGAGCAGTCACTGTAACATTTATCCTATTAACTTTATTCACAAACGTGGTTTGCCTTGACTTCTTCCAAAGTATCCCTTTACCTAGTGCCTCTTCAGTTCTTAAGCCGGCTTACGTTGTTCTAGGTCATGATCCATAGAGGTTGTTTTCAAATTGTTACGGTGTTCTCGAAGGCCCATGCGGAAAGTTCGCGGTTGATCCAATAATGGTGGATGGGATAGATAACAATTTTCTCAAGTTAAGCACCAAGTGATCTTTAAATCAATGTCTGTTTGAACTCTAGAGAGAAAATTTACTTCCCAGATGCGCTCTATATGGAGATCCCACCCCCCCCCCCATCTCAATATGAAATACTTTGACAGCAGGATGAAATTCGAGCTCGGTTAACCAGTACACCCACTGGCTGCACATTGCGTTCAGTCCCCCATGTGTTTTGTGTGCAAAGATCAATGTCCTCTTACTTACTTTTCAGTCTTGGCATTATTTCTTCCTTATTTTAGGTTGGTCTTTACCGCTCCCTCCAATGTAAGTGTCCATCACCATTTTTTTTATTCTAAACGACCCACTAATTCCTTCCTTTGAAAGCGTCAGATTCTTGTTTATACTTCCTTTGGAAATGTCTAATAATACAATGCAATAATACTTTGGGGGAAGAGAGTCCCGGTAGATAGTCCGTTTAAAACATCCTATCTTAGGTCGTGGTCTGGCAGATGAGAGAAAATGCAAGAGATCTACCCTCATCCGCTGAAACTCAACACTGACACTGGCCCCAGGCAGTATGCCTCGAAAATTTCATAGAGATGTGATCGGGTTTCAGTCAAACAATTTCCAACCAGTCTTTCGAAAAATTTTGATGGTTAGGTACGAAGCTGGCTGGGACCAGTGCGTAGAAATTTATTCCGTTTGCGGTCAAGTCAAGCAAAACGAATGAAGTTAAGTCGGTAAATATAACCTTATAGACTTGTACATATGCTAATTAGAACAGTTCAATCAATTCCTATCACTTTCAATAGTATGGTCATATGGTCACGTTAGCTGGCTTGGATATATTCTCCCTCGGAGAAAAGAAGTATATGTGAAAATGAAAAATGGTGCATTTCTAAAAGAGATTTTCTTTCAGCGTTTAAAGCATTTTCTACAGCTGTGACCAGTCATACAAAATCTTCAGAGTGCGTGCCGTTTCCGGTTCAGACCGAGCTCGTGACGGCTGTGTGCACTGGTCTTCCATTCGATCAATGATCCAATCGATATTGGTTGACCAATCGCATCTCACGGATTGTCTCGGTAACCTGGTCTTTTCTGCAACAGCCATTAGAGCTCCTTAGGACTAAGAGTAGGAGGAAAAGGTGCACGTGTAGAGAGGGTCAGTTACGCGGTTCCTTAAAACTGTGACCTATGAGCAAAGAATTGCATTTCGCTTTTCCATAAGCCGGCTGTTCTTTCCAACCCTTTCCTAATACACAATCCTTAATTCGTGTGGACACAAAAGCTTCGTCGCAGCAGTCCTAACAGTTGGCGGCGAAGATTCTGGAAACAGGACGAAATCAGTTCATTATTCTGGAGTGTTTAGCTGTGTATTCAAGACCCTAACTTTAAACAGTCACCAAATCGCTCTCTAAAAACGGTTAACTCATTGTTTCATAAGATATAAGCTGCCAGACAGACACTGTTCACGAGGAAGCATTTTGTGCAAAATGTTGCACTATATATCTTCGTGCACTCTGCTTATGCTGTTGCACCCCAGAGAGAGGACCAGATGAAACTGAATGGGAATGACCGCCTCTTTTCCAATTTGGTGTCTATGAATGTAATGTAATGTGGAACTTCGATATTCCAACTGGTATCTTTACAACTTTACAGTGAAAAAACCTCGATCCTAATGAAAAAAAACTGAAAATATATCTGTCAGATTGATGCCATGCATTAAAGTCTTATCAAATCCGTATGAAAAACTCAGTTTTGTTCACTAATCAGTATACAAAGCTCAGTACTAATTATGTTTTCAGTAATGCACAAAGTCTGGGCATTCCACTGTTCTACGCTGGACTAAGCACGGACAGCACATATCAGTGGTTTCCTCAGCCTGGGTTCTGCTCGCGTGTCACAAGAATTTCAGACGAAGCATACTAGTAAAAAAAGAATACTTCGTGCATCATCCGTCAGTGGAAACGTTCTTCCTGTCCGTTCCTGTACATTGCAAGTTTGACATTGTGTAGAGCTGTTTATGAGATCAAACCGATCAGGCAGTCAAATACGAAGCAAGCAAGAATCACTAGAGTAATGATCGACCAAATGATATAACAAACCCCATCGAACACCTGTGGGTCGGGTGGAGATTACTGCCCTATATCAGCATAACCACTGTCCTGATCGATAGTTTTACTTGCTTCACTTCTCATGCTGTATGGCTGCACGTGAAACCACAGCACCTGAGATCATTTTCCATCGTTCGTTTTAGCGCGAAGTACAGAAGCCGTTGAGAACCTGGGATTGCGACAGGTTCCTCCCCGAAGATGGCCAGCGGCGAAGCTAGTTAACCTTTGTAAGTATTCTCTGACCCTTGTATTCATTCCACTCTCTATGAGCAACCCTAGGACTCTGAAACACCGATAGATATTATTGACAGTAACGACGCCGTTACTGATATCAAGCGCAGGGAAATGATTATGGGAAAATTGGATAGAAGTGCCAAGTTAAATTTCATAGACTTTGTAGACTGGCGTCCAATTCTGCCCCTACTGGATACGAAGTCAGTTAATCGAACAATGCTCCACTGCTCACCACGTATAGACGTTCACGTTTAATATGGACAGGCAGCGGCATTCAATGTTGCGTTGAGTTGTACTCATTCTGAGGTGTTAAAGCAAACCAGTACAGAGTTGATGCTGGCCGAAATGTGTCACACCTGACTCGAACTCTTACCTGTTTACAAAAAACAGCGTAAGGCGTCAAGGCGTTTGCCTTTATTGAAAATCCACCTAAGCATTATCACACCACACGTGACAGCGTACTGGATTAAGGCAGAATATGGGTGCCCTCTAGGCCTACCCAACTGTATATTTCCATCTGAAATCACATTTTACTAAGGGTCTAAACTCGTAGAGTTTAAAACAAAGTGTGGTCATTATTCCTGATTAAAGTGATTATACTGACCCCGGCGAGCTCTGTCGTTTCAAATTTCGACTTTCCTAATCTTTGCTTCCCTGGTTGTCCTTGGTTATCATTCATCTACTGATGGCTACTTAGGCATTCTGTCCATTCATACTTACCCAGTCATCGTGCACCTGACCGACTCTCTCCGCTCATCGACAACTATCGGCACGGGGTTTGATTTACTATCCATATCAGGTGGATTGGTGGCACAGAATGACGAACCATTACTTTAGATGAGCGTTTCAACAGATTGAGTGCAAGTCACTTTGTGGTGCAGTGCTGTGCGAGGCGACGCGATTCGATCAGACAGCCGAATTAAGCACAACTACGCAGCAAAGTTGTGTGAAAAATATTTACCGTCCGATAACAATGAAGTGCGTCATTTCAATTAAGGTATTCCCACATTGGCAAGTGGTCTAACTGCACAAAAATTCGGTATTCAGCTGACCATCGGCAAGATAGAGAAAGAATACTGGAAATAAGGTGATTTTTTGTAGGGCCGAGGAAAAACTTCAATGTTCATGATTGGGTCGCTCGCTTGGTTCCAAATTTTTTACGAGCAGTCCATCACCAAATTGAGTAACACCCGTCATCAGTGAGAAAATATAAGCTGGCTTCCAAACACCCCGCTTGGGGCGGTTTCGGATACAACTATTTCAGATAGCAAAAATCTGAATTACAGTTAAATTACAATTCCTTTTATCCATTGGAGAATTCGGCCTCCAACATTCTCCTGCTCGCTACGGTGTTCAGGAAATTGAGAAAAACAGTGTTCAAATGGCATTTTACTTAGAGACCGGACACAACTTTGCACGGCGAAAATGCGATGAATCGCCGTCAGCAACGACGCAGTAGGAAACTGTCCTCTTTTCATAAATGTTCCGACAGAAGATTAACGAAACTACCTCGGTCTGATTAAGTTATTAGCGACGGCAATTATGACACCGGGTCCAGGATTCGCATTTTTTGTGGAGTTCAATCGAGACATAACGCTCACTTAATGTAAAAGCTAGGACACATTGACCTTCTTCTAAAAACTATTCCAAAATTTATACAGGTATTCCGAGTTAAAACCAAACAGGAATTTTCCTCACGTATTTTTGTCGCACACTGAATTTTCCCAGCCTTGAACGTTTCCGACACACAGTGATCCGGTGCGTATAGCGCAACTTCCTTGCCGTGGTGTGACGTGTGTTCACTTCCGCGATCCCCTGAGCTATACTGGGGGTGTCAGCACGACACTTCCCAAGTCCCTCACACCAGGTTGGTGATGGTTAAAGGTCTCATCAACACGGTCTCCTGATCTTCCAGGGTGGGGTTTGGATCATGTATGGCGACCTGCTCTGTAAAAATTGAAATCTTTGACAGAGGGCCCTGATAGTCCTCCTGTCTAGGTGTGAACACCCTGGCAGAATCCCAGCCCACGTACAACCACCATTTGTGCACACACAATGAAATTCATGTTACATCGGCCGTCGCGTAGTGTTATTAGCCGGGTCACCTTCATTGCTGCATACAGCAGGGGGATAAGCGAAAACGGGCTACTCCTGAAGCCTCCCTTTCTCCTTCACATAATTCTACCCTCTCCCCACCCCACTAATAACTTTCTCCTTGTAGACCAGTCAGTTGGGACGAATGACTCTGTTCATCCTGCATCAGTTTTGCAAGCATCAGTCGGTGCCGACATCCTCAAGCATCTCGAAATCACTCTTCAAGCTGCGACACCCAGTCTATCTAGCCACCTTCGATGTCCGCAATCTGAAGCAAGCAGGATAAAAAACTGCTTACTTACTCTCACACTGGACATTGATGTATGCTTTAATGTGTGCTGTGTCTCAGAAACAAGAATTCAAGATTCAAGCACAGTGCTTGAGTTAGTCACCCCATCAGTCTCCACTCGCTACCAGCTACGCACCTCTGGTGTTTCAGATGCTGCGGCGGGATGTTCAGGGGTTGGTGTCCTAAATCATCGGGGAGGAAATATCCTTGCTTGACTGGATGCATGCTGGTTGTCTCCTGTGTGCGGTTTATCTGACAAAGTCTGTGAAGGAGTCTCACAAGTGAGAAGTTGACCAATGTCCGTTTATTGTGTCTGCTTGCGCCCCAACTGACCATAACTCCGACTCCCTGAATGCCCGGCTTCGGTGAGCTAAAATCTCAGATATTGTAGTGGTTTTCTGAGACATGAATGCACAAGTGGACAGGCTTATCGTATCTGAGACTTAATTAGGAGGTCGACATGGACTGAACTCGGTACGTATGGACAGTAATGAACGACTGCTTAAGCTGTGTGCTCATCGCAGGCTGTTTTTATACAGTACCAAATTCTGAAATAGCCGAAGTGAAAGATTGGTAGATCTAGATGTCAGACGAACTTAAAAGAATCCTCTTATAGAGTCTCTTCTAAATGCTTCACCATCAGATGTGAACTCATACTGGGACGAGATTGCTACCTCTTTGCATAGTGCTGGGAATTTTGCCTGTGGCACGACCCAACCAGGCACACCCAAGCACTGGATATCAGACCAAACAGTGGCACCACTTAAATCCCGGATAAATATCCCATCCGGTTCCGAACATAACCCGTCGCAAAGAGTTATCAGACGACAAGTGAAAGTGAGCTTGCGATCCGACCGTGAAGTGTGGTGGACACGGAAGCCAAAGAAATGGAAGAGGCCCAGAAAGCCGGTAATGCCCGAAGATTATTTCAGTTGATCCGCTCGACCGGCCCCAGGAAACCACCTGTGAGCGAAGCAATAAAGGGTCAGAATTCAGCAACCTTCTCGAATAAAGAACTCCTCGGTTGCTGAGCCGAATATTTCGAACAGCTATTATCATGGCCACCAGCTGCCAATCATCTGAAGCTCACAGTTGGCATATAACCCTAGACCTTGAAAGTGGGACCCTTACGGCCACGATGGTTTACGACCGCACATGTTCTCTCAAGCGTCACCGAGTTTCTGATCCGGATGATCTCCCACCCGCATTATTCAAAATGGGGGTGAAATCCTCAGCCAGCACTGGTCTGATCTGTTTGCTTGCATTTGGAAAAAGGAGAGTGTTTCAGGCAACCAGGGAGAGTCATTGATGGTGTCCATTTTATAAAAAAACCGCCCGCAATGAATGTGGTAACCACAGGGGAACAGCCTGACTCCCACCGCAGCGAGGCTGTTGGCGTCACGTTTGCTTCGCAGCCAGTGAAACACTTTTTGAGAACATAAAGCGGAATTCTGGCCGGATAGAGTTAGTGCTGACCAACCTCGCACTCGCTCAGGTGTTAGAACAATGTTATGAGTAACAAACGACCCACACTTTTGGTATTTCCGGATTTTCGAGATGCATTCGACTCGTTTGAACAGTTTGTTTTCCTTGGTACGCTTGCACATCAAGGAATGCCCCAGGAGTTCGCGAATATAATAACTTCTTTGTATTCTAGGACTTCCAGACGTGTGAGAGTATACGAAGGGCTCTCCAAGGACTTTCGTATACAAATCAGTGTCTGTCTCGGGTGCCCATACTCTCCATTCCTATTTAATTTCGTGATCGATTAGATAATGAAATGAACGGTGGAAGGTATTTAAAATCCTGGTGTTCAAACAGCCTGTGGCGAATAGCTTCTCGGGTGCCCATACTCTCCATTCCTATTTAATTTCGTGATCGATTAGATAATGAAATGAACGGTGGAAGGTATTTAAAATCCTGGTGTTCAAACAGCCTGTGGCGAATAGCTTGTCGATCTAGAATATACAGACGACATCGTTCTCTTTGAAGAGGAGTAGAAGGTGCACTTTGAACCCACAACGTGCAAAGTCATGCTGGTGAACGTGCAGTCACGGAACACACCAATTACAATCCAGAGAGAGACACTCGAAGTTGTCGATCGTTTTACGTATCTTGGAAGTTGTATTAGTTCTGAGTGTAGTGTGACAGATGAGGTCAATGCACGAATCTGCAAGGCTCAGGTCGCCTTTGATAATTTGAGACACCTATGGCGTCAAAGCGGTATATCCCGAATCTCAAGGGACGTGTGTACCAAGCTACAGTGCAGGCTGTTTTGTTGTATGACTGTGAGATTTGACCGGCTTGAGCAGTGGAACATAGACGTCTTCAGGTATTCGATAGTCATTGTCTCAGAACCGTAGCTCTTTTAGGCTGGAGAACCCGTAACGAGTCAATTAAAAAGTAAGTTTTGGGTTGTGCGATGGGGAATTCTGCTGGAGACTGTGTCCAGCACCAGAAGCTGGGTTGGTTAGGCCATGTATTGCGCGTGCCGAACCATCTTGTGCCCAAATGAGAGTGGCTGAAGTAGAGAGGTGACCAAACATTGACCTGACAGAGGGTATAAAACAGATTACGAAAAGTCAAGTATGACTCGACTTCCAGGACCGGTATCCGCGTGGTTCTCAACGTGTATAGTTTGGGACACATCAAGGTTTGGGGGCTAATCGAGGTCACTGGCGTTCCCGTTGTCAGTTTCTTGCCAAAGTGTGTCGGAATGAGGGTCTGGAGGTTTATATATTTCGAAGCGACTGTTGTAGGTAAGAGCTAAGACCCTTCCCAATCTACTTTTATTTTTTCGTCACAATAAGTCTCAAATAATTTATGGTTGCGTGGTGGCGAAGGCTGATGGCTTGCTCTCAATCATGATGGTGGTGTTCCGCGATACAACAAGGGATCTACCGCATACAGTGAATCATTTTGGCTTCCACACTCTAAAATAGTTTCCCTCTTTTATCTCGGCGTATTAGTGAGCTTCAAAGTCAATAAATAAGTCGCTGCTCATTTCCTAATATCTTATGCATAAACTGGTCAGAATCTTCAAAGTCAATAAATAAGTCGCTGCTCATTTCCTAATATCTTGTGCATAACTGGTCAGAATATTTATGTGGCGGTGACCTGGGTTGGATGTGGTGTATTCAACGTCTTTTTTTTCAATTAAAAGTCGAAGATCCAGTCTTTCAAGATGACGCAGAGCTTCAAAACAATCAAGTTTTTGGTTATGTCAACAATTAATATAGTACATTCGTGAACATTTCCTGACAGTTCGTCCTGGTTTGGGCCCTTTTGGGTTGGTAACCACTCCAAAATCAACAGGAATTTCTCTCCAAACTTTGTGTTCGTTTGCCAGCTATGTTTGTTCGTTTTGACCAAAGTTACCGGGGTACCAATTTCCATGAGTTTTACTAGTAGACGGATAAATATATCTTTTGGAATTAACAAGAAAGCCTTACCGTGTGCACAACAAAAGGTTTAACCACACATTTCTCAGTAAATCCTTCCACAAGATGAACACCGCGGATAGCAGTTTGTAAGTCTTGTGAATGAAATAGATTTTTCACGTTCCGCTACCCAACAAATTCTTTCAGTTTGACAAACTCACGTGCATTTCCACTCAGCAAGTCTGATTGCATCGATGACAGTTAGTACCAACTTTATGAAACTAAGCCGTTTACTGCTGTGCTTGGTGCAAACACTCTTTGGGGCTGTAACCGCAACCAAAAGCAAAAAACAGGCTTCCCGAGGAAGAAGCATCTGACTACTCCATCGCATTAGTGCGGACAATTTCCAGCCCATCTGACTGCTTTGTGTGCATTCTGTCTCTTTCCTTCAATCCTGAATAGTGTCAAAACCACTGGTAAAGATCGGATTCTCCACCCCGCCCTCGAGTCCAGCTAAAGTGCCAACACACGTCCCCATGGTGCAAGCAAGTCCATCTGATGTGTTCGGTGGAACGTCAGACAAGCCGTTAAATATGATTGTTATTTCCGGAAAAGATCACAAACTGGCTATGTTCTACCCACCCACGTCGGATGCCACGCCGTCGCTGTTCGCTGAACCCGTCCCTTGGACTGTGAGTGTCCACGTTCTCTTTTTGTGGCTCCACCTTCAGAGTATGCCATAGTTAATTTTTTAGGGAAAATTCGTGTTTGAGTTTCGGATTCACTGATTCGTCTTGGTATATCCCCTGGGTACTTTTTCATACGTTTTGTCCAAAAATCTATCATTGACGATTGAAGAAGACCCCACCTTCGAGAAATACACTCATTTGCAAATCAATTTGGTTTTCACGAGAGACTCAACTGAATCTCTCGTTCATGATATTCTACAACTGAATGTGCTGCACACAGGCCGCCTCGTGATTCAGTTGGCACGATATTCGAGATATCGCACTATATTTTCATAAAGGAATAGAATATCATAAACGAGAGATTCACTTGAGTCTCTCGTAAAAAACAAATTGATATGCAAATGAGTGTATTTGTCGGAATCAGTTCAATTTGGTTTCAAGTAGAACAGAAGGTTGATGGAAACTCGGGGACTGTGCCTACCTGATGAGCCCCAAAAAGGGCGAAACCGGTCGTGGGCTGTCGAAGAGTTTTCAGCAACCTTGTGAGTAGTTTCCTTTATGAAAAGACTCCAACTTTTTCAAAAGTCTCAAAATGTGACTGGGGTTTTCAGGATTCACCTGACCTCCCGCATCACGCCCAAAAAACCTAAGTTAACCGACCAACTGGTTTAGGCAGATCAACCCAGTGGACAATATAACATTATCAAATACTAATTTCGGTGCAGCTATCACAGAGGCAGGACATTATCAAATACTAATTTCGGTGCAGCTGTCTATCACAGAGGCAGAACTTACGGACATCTGGCTACCAGCGACTTACATCAGTTTCTGACGAATATAGTTTATAATTCAAAGGTTTCGAACGAGACTTTTACAATTCACCCATTGTAAGAATTCAAACTTATGTAAACTGCTTGGTTCGCTGGCAAAACTTGTCACTGTACATCTCATTGTGGATCTGAGGCGCTTCCTGATGGTAATGTGTTATAAAATTATCAGTGAAAAATGAAGAATCTATGAAACTGCTCCCTAGGTGTTTTGTCAAAGTTAAACGTAATACCGAACTGAAGACTAATCCAAAATGTACCGAACAAATCTGCCAGGGGTTCTTGTTGTTAAAGCTAAACAAAAATTGAATACAGGCGTAAAACTTTTTCCTTATTTTTATACAGACTGAAAAGTTCCCTGACGATGTACTGGGCTGGAGACCACAGTATTCCCCGATTGAAGGATGGACTGAGTCCAGCGATTTCGTGGAAGCGATGACCTCGCGAGAGTGGAATCCAATGGGGACAACTTACCTACCCCCGATGGAACACGTACCTCCAGACCCGGAAACTGGAATGCCACGTAATCCGAAAGGGCGAACTGGTGTCGTAGGAAAAGGGCTTCTACCAGTATGGGGTCCGAATCCAGCAATCATTCTTGTATTGACCAGATACACCACTTCGAGCTCATACGGCCCCGGGGAATTGCAAGCAGCGGTTTGTGAACTGCAAATCACCCGACAACTGCCATGGGTAAGATGGACACAGCTGGATGTGCAAACAGCAGTGTAACCGTTTTTCCGTTCTGTGTTGAGTCTGAATCCGTTGGATCGAATTCTGATTCAAAACACGGTGGTCATTAGAACTTGGGATGGTTTCCTTGTACAAAGGCTCACGGTTGAAAATCTTCAAATATCAGTCGTTTCTTAACTCATTTAATCCCATTTTTATTCGAGTTTAGCAAACAAATCAGCTAAGCTGGTCTCAGTTTCTGCATTTGGTATCGATATGAAAAAATTTGTATCGCAAGAATATGCGGTTTGAGGAATATCGGCGGGGGGTGTTTTATTCTTTGCGGTGGACAGGGGTCAAAATCTGTCATGACCGCTGTCATATCCGGCATTTCAAAGCCAATCAGTCGACCGTCATCGTGGCTATCATCAAACACGAAGGAGATGCAGAAAGTGTTCTGCCTGCCGACAGTTACTCGGTAATTTCTGTCACAGCCGGGTAGACCAGTACAACTTGCCTCGTTTCGTCCAGTGCTTCAAAGGTATTAGAAACACCGGATAATTTGTTAGCAATATGAGGAAAAGCTAATCTAGCTTGAAAAGCCGAGAATCACTCCGTTTCCCAGCTTTTTAACATTCTTGTTGAATAAATTCCATTTTCGCACTCCTATTGGCCAAACTTCAAGATTCGATCGATGCTCCAGTCAATCACAAGCCTATGGCGTCATAAAGGGTTAATGGCAAGTAATACACGGTTACCCTGCTTTATTCTAGAAAAGACTGGTGAAACAGATTTGATGGGAAACCTGACTTCCTCACGTCCACTAACTCTCTGACACCAAGAAACGTCAAACCAGGTCCAAGCTGCGAAGCTTTCACAATCGGTTTCCGACTGAATCACTCGAAAGGCAAACACGTCGCCTGAAATGAGATAATTCCCATGAAAATCTACCAAGAACAAAGTTCACGGGTCGACCGCCGATCGATATAGCATAATAAAATCAGTATCCTCCCTCTGCCAGGACTCCCCATTCAGTGGTTGGGTCTGCGACGGGACCGTGTAGCGAGCGACTTGTCCGAAAAGATATATGTTGGTCCCCCACCCTAGTTCTTTGAACCTCATCAAATTCAATCTCACCGAATTCGTTATCTATGGTTGGCTTGTCACACTTACTTGCGCACGAAGAGAGATATGTCCCTGTGAATGAGCTTGTAGATCCTATGTAAACCCGAAGGAATAAGACTGACAAGAGGCCAGTTGGCAGGCGTCACCCAGCATAAGTACAATCTTAGAACTATGTGCGCTAGCGGCTTATTGCGCAATACAAAGCCAGTGTCATCCATCAACTTCTTTGGAGTTTTGTATAATATTGTACTTCTTCGCACAATTTCGTACAATGTAATCTGCCCAGGACCAGCCGTTTGAAAACGGATGGTGAAGGTGCTGCAGGAGTCTAGTTTCTTCTGCGGGAAACTGGCGCGAACCTACCCGTCGATGTTTGGCAACCGATTCTGAATGGAAAAACGGATGTCGCATGTATGCGGACGCGTCCGCAGGTTGTGCAGCTTCATAATTTCAACTGGCGTTGATGTTACTATGCTCATCGCGAGTCAATTTCGAATGAATCCTCTAGGTTCGATCATTAATACCTGTTTAGTTTCAAGATGCTCCAGATTTTTCCCCGATCTTCGGTCTTCCTGGACTTCGAAGAGCGACTATTCTTAAACTGCTCACATAACAGCTCTTCGGTAATGCAATCCAATGTCATGCGTTTCACTTGGCTGATCGTGGATTAAAATGCCCTTGACCTTCGGCTTCCAGGCTAGCGAATTTAAACCTATAATCCTCCGAGAATTTCCAGACAAAGCAGACTGAGAACCCGGACATAAAGCCGGCATAGTACTCGTGTTGCGCGGACTTCAACAGGATGAGCGACATGACCACTTGGTCAGTGTTTATAATGCTGCCTAGGTAACAGGTATATGAATGGCACACCACCACGCTACCATTCACGTCTATATTCAGCTTATATAAAACGGGCATTTTCTAGCTGAATCAAATTGGTATACCAAAGGCGCGAATGATGTCGTTAGATGCCGTAGTTCCACTTCAGAATACGTCACTCAAATACAACGGTCAGCAAAATAACAGTATACGTACCTTCGATTCATGTGTCGTTTGGTTAGTTAGGATGCTTTTTGAGTTGAATAGGTGACCATCCACAAAGTAGTGGATGGCCACGCCAACTTATGCGTCCTGACAGGACTCGGTGCATAATAAATTACGTATTATATATAAATAGTATACATATTATTACATATTAAATCTACCAGATGAATAGCGTCCAACCCATAATACAGTCTTGCTTAACAGACGTAATTCCATCCCAGAGAGTGAATAATTGACAGAATTGACCAGTTTGTTTGAAAAAACCATTTTTCGGAGGACGACCCACAATGCTTCTCTGTTCGCCTAGTAGACACTTTTATGAAGTCAGCTGGTGATGGTGTTCACAAAATTTCAGTCCTACTTGTCCCTTTGAGAAGATTGAAGCTTTTGTGCTCCGATAAAAGTTTTGCCACCTTCCAGACTTACCATTTATCTAATTATTCAGAAAGGCTCTGATGCTCCAAGTTTCTTATTTTGGTGATACTCCAGCTTGAAAAGGATGTCATCGTGCGTGGTCGGAGCTTTGGAAATTATCTCGTTTCTGAACATCCAAAATGTGGGTCGAACGCCGTAGCCTGACCAGTACGACGGCCAGTAGTTGTGTTTTATCTTGCGAAACAGTAAGGGGCCAGTGACTTGGTCAGCTTGCTTGTCTAGCCTGCAGATTATATGGCATGGGGATTTCGTGCCCAACGCTAGTGCGTATGGTAGGTGCACCTTGGGAGGCAGCTGGCTCGATCATATGAATTGACATACTGACGGCCACGGTCAATCGCCGGATGGTTTTTATCCTCAAAGAGCCACGGTCAATCGCCGGATGGTTTTTATCGAACCCGCCCATCCTCAAAGAATGGTTCCATATGTACGGAACTGAAAACTGCCCGGATAAGGCGTTTTACTGTCTTCACTCCTCCGTGGCAGCACACAGTATGACGTTACCTTGAAACCGCCCTATCCTTTGTTTACATGTTCCCCGCCGACCTTTTCAGACCCAGTTAATCTTGTGAAAACAAATACCTTTGTTGACATATACCCCTCAAGGTCATCATGTCACACAAACCCCGCCACCATGACAAAACAGAAGCTTCAAGTTAGATTTTATATACAAACTGTACATTTTTATGCCTGATGTTATATACTAATATGTTACGGTGCTTTATAGTCTATCTTTGTAACTGTAGGTAAGTACTCTTAAGTCCCCCTTGTTTAAAATGTTATGATCACCAAGAACAGACCTTAACTATCAAATAGTTGACAAAAATCTCATCAAGTGAAAAAATGTTCTCTCGAACACGAGCTAAAAGTGTGGAAAGGCAGTTCTCGAAAAAAACTGCCAGGTGGCTGCAGATTTGGGTGCTATGGAAATTTTCCTTACTGCGAGGAGTTTCTGTTCAGCCATTCCAGTTCCTACCTCACTGTGAGTGATCAGTTCTGGTTTACGTACGGTAAACATATTATTGCTGTTTGGATCCTATGACTTCACTGTGCGCGGTACACAATTGTTTCACCGTTAACTCTTGTTCAACTAGCTCTTGGTGCGTCATTCGGCTACTTGTGATGGGGCGTCATGTATGCAGTCAATGATAGATCTCTGGGTTTCCACTCGTGCGCAACAACTTTGTGCTGCAAGACCAGAAAAGGCAGAACTTTACAAAAAGGCTTTAGACTTTTATCGCCAGTTATCTCCAACCGTGGTAAGTGTACTTTTTAGAGGTTTATTGTTTTCTGAAACGAATAGTATGGTCTATAGTATGACATATTGGCATACAAATTATTCAGAAAGCGCACCAACTTAAGGCACTGAGTTCATGAAAAAATGGAACAGTTTCTGTGTCAGCTGATTATCCAAGGAGTTAATCCGCAAGACAAGTGTAACTGGAGATAAGGCCATAATAAACGCGATTAAAGCCATTCGCTTTTTCCGCTTTTCTGTACACACCAACTATTAGCTGAGGAAGCTGATTGATAGCAAGAATCACTGCCCCACTTTCAAGTGCTCAAGGCTCAGAAACATTGTTATTTCTCCTCCTGACTGGGTGCGAAAATCTGATAAGGTCGCTTTGGCTAGCCAACAGATCACCAAAATAGGAATCACATATTCAACCAATCCTACTGCAAGGTCATGAGTACTGACAGCAATGCATATAAGGTAGGAATAAGGTAGAACCTTCTGGAATCATGAATGATAGATGCCATATTGATTGAAGAGAAGAAAGTCACTCTCGTCTGGTCAGTCGGTCTGATTTGATTAAAGAAGAAACAAACAACCCTTCGTCGAGTTCACAATGGAGGGTGGGGTAGATTGGAGTAGGTATTTTTCGAGACGAAAAAGGAGTTTTTGTCCATTCCAGATGGGTAACTAACTGCGGCCTAATGATCATTCTCCGTGGTGGGTGGCAAGACATTTCACATCACACAGCTAATAGTATAATCATTTATTACCGAATCATCTAAGTGGTTGATTTTACTTGCAAAATTGCCTGATACTAATCCCAGCCAGTGTTTTCGATACTACTTACAAATCTGTCTTGGATGCGTAAAGTAACTCACAAGCCTAAAAACATGATTTGTTCTACGATGTACCAAAACACTCTCTTTCGCCCATCGATCTTGGGTAATGAAGTTTTCATAGAATGAGTCCAAACCAAGTTTGGACGTATCAGTTCCTCTCTGTAGGTGACATGAATTTTTCTTGGTTTCTTTTGTGTGTCACCAAGGCTATGCATAAATTCTACAAATGAGTGGTTGGTCGGCCCAGGTTCAAGATTGAAATGTCCTTAGCTAAAAGGTAGTTGATGGCGTAAACAGATTTTGAGTATGTTCAATGAGTGTTCAACAAGTGAATCCAGTCTATGCCGAAAAGCCAAGAAGTACCGCGCAGCTGCTTCATCCCTATTCCGCAGCGCGAATTACTCTTCGAGGTTCCCCAGGGTGTAATGCCATCTCAGGAAAACATAGTGGCATGTCTCGAATATCACGCAAACTGAAACAGTGGGAGAATACCATAGCCGATAGATTTAGCTGGGGTTCACCTGAGTCTCCGGGTTAGAACAATAGTCTGATTTGCAGATGAGTGTTTTTCTCCACCTGGTGTCCAGTTGGAGTATAAGGCCGATGGAGACTCGGCAGCTATACCTACCGGATGAGTCTCAAGAAGAGCAAAACCAGCAGTGAACTGTCACATATATATCTTTTCGGAGACTTGGTGAAACGGAGGCGTCCTAGCGAATATTCGGCAGGAAGATAAATGAAACTTCCCACCCAAATGGAATGTTTATGAGTTCCCGATGAAGTGCGACTTAAATAAGATGAAAGCTCATTCGTTATGCAACAAAATCCGTCTATTCCTCTGGTAGCGTTTCCACAGCGATCCACATGTACTGGCCTATCTCGACTGTCAGTAAGCTCTATTCGGTTTAATTAACGCACTTTGTCACACAAAACCTGGGAAAATCTCTTTGTACTGATTAACTCTAGAAATGCAGATCGTATGTGGGGTCCAAACCATCTCAATAGCAAAATTGCGGGCGCTGTCATCAGCGAAATATATTCTTGAAGAGAGTTTCCGCGTCCTGTTCCTGGATGGTAGGGGAACTACACCTCGAGAATACCTTGCGTGACCGTTTTTGAAACCATTTCTGACCCATTAGAAAAAAACAATTTAAGTCAGCAGATCTTTTAAAATTGCGAAGTTGAAATATTGTGGATAGACTCTATCTAATACAGCGGGTGAAACCTCTAGAGTTTTCAACGAAATTCGGCCTAATCAGAAGACCAACTATCATACATGGCTACCGGAAGAGGTAGCGGAAGAGGTACATTTAGCTCGGGATCTGTGCTTGGATTAAGCAGAAGTGCTGAAGCTACGGAGGGTTCTACTCAGGCGACTGAGAATGGGAGATGAATAGAAGAGAATTAGTTGTGGCCCCTATTCACCGGATGCAGTAAGGACAGGTAAATGGCTAGAATCGACGGTGCAACGCAGTGACCAAAACTACTCTTCACCCTTCTCTCTCTTTATCAACCATACGCACATACAAATCGGTATCTGGCTATCCAGGTGCTGCAGTCCATCATAGCCTATCAGAGTCCCGCATCTTTTGCGAATATGAAAATACGAAAACGCTTAGTGTTTTCACCCCCCGTGTTCGTAGATGATCCAATGAATCGAGCTTCTCCCTATGCCAAGAGAGGTAATGACAGTTGTGATTAAACTTTCGCTGAATTAAGGTTATATATTCGTGCGGTTTTCAGGATGTTCTCCAGGGGTAGAAAACTGTAGCAGACAGAAAGAACCTTTATCATTCAAGAGATTTTCTACATAATGTAGTATACAGTCAAAAGCATCGCCTACAAATACAACTCCATGCTTTATAGGCGCCCTTTACACTTTATTTCACAGGTTTTCAGGGGCTACCTAAGCGACATGGTCAATACAGACAACGCATGGATTGAACCAACTGGTATCAACATCCATTTGGGAACACATCCGGACATATCAGATGCTCTTCTGCACGTAAGTAGTCAGTCGAAATTCTCGTTCCGCCGACAAGTAAGAGAGGCGACAAACTTTCGTTTCGGTGATATCGTAAAAAGTTCCGCTCACGCTATCAGGACCGAACCATGATCCAAATCTGGACGTACCATGTGATTTTAAATCTCAGAGTTGATCGGCTGGAAACATTAAGTGCATATTAGCTGGTAGAATGGTCCTGTGTCTATCGGCCTGATTTCCAAATCTCCGAATCTTAGTTTAAAGTGCAAACCAATACAAACTGCTTGCGACAGTCAGTCGCGTTTCTTCGGGTTTCTCATGCTATCTTTGTACAGGTTGCTCATCAGAGCACACTTCGTCTGTCGGTTCGCATCTTGACACCAAACGTGTGTGATTTCTGCACAGACTAGCATCTTACGACCATAGTGAGCCACTATGTTATGAAAGATCGGAGATGACGTAGAAGTTAGTGCTTGACCGGGTCATCTATGGCTTATGTATGGGGTCCGATATTTCTCTTAATTACTGACTACGGAGACGCTTTGGTTGGTATTGTGCAGCACAGAACAACGATTTTCCTGTCGTAAGACGCAAGGTACACCAGGAACACCGAACGGGCGAGTGATAATGTTATAACCACTAATGTGAATAACTTTTCTTGTGTTTCCTTTGCCCGATGAGTCCAGTCTATTAGGTCAGAGAGATCACAGACGGCGACGCGCACAGAAAGCAGTCTGGGAGGGACACAACCTGAACCAGAGATGCATGACTAAGCGTGGGATAGAGGCAGGTATTAGCATGATCGATCAAATGAATGCAGCCTGTCCTGTCACGTGCCCAAAACGTGATGCACTCTGGGCTGCGCTTGGTTGATCGAACCGTAAGATAAAGCAACACGAGAGACAATGTATTGTTAGGCTGGATTGCGAGATGAGGTATTCCATTCACTGGTCGACCAAAGGATGGCCCTGGGTGTATGAAAAGCGATTTGCGGTTGGACTTACCAAAGTCTCATAGGGTCAACATTAACATTGAGCGCCACATATACGAGTATATACTTGCACATGCTGACTGTTTTAGGATCAAGGAAACTTGAGAGAATCGGCTACGGCGCACGGAAAGTGAGTAAAGTAGTGAGGTCGTCCGACCAGAGGCTGTGTGCTCCATTTTCGCTCACCATTCAGTTTGGCAGCCTTTTTCGTGGAGGTTTTCTTTGCACAAGGTTTTTCATCTACTTCGATGGAAACTTTAAAAGAAGTGAAAGCTGCCTCTACTAGAGGGTTTACGATCCGAAGAGGGTAGCCAATTAGGATTATTTTTCGAGCGGTGTTTCAAGAAACAATCTATCCACTTAACGACGTTACTGACAAACGCCAAAAGGAATGCCTTTAAGACTGTCAACGTCGTGTTCTAGTCTTCTAAGCTTCTATGCTCACCCCTTTTTAACCTGAGATCAAGTCCACTAGAAACCCAAGTTTTATCCATGTTGTTTTTCCTCCTTTAAAAGCTCTTCGTACCCGAAGATTGCTGTCTTCGTTGGACACGAGCAGATGACCAAGCACCCATGAGAGCAAGCCACCGAGTTGTGCTCGATGTAGCTACGAAAAGGCTGAAATCACAGTCCATTCAGTGAAAGAATGCGGGGGGACATCAATTTGTCTTCGCTCACCCACCAATTTGATTGAAAACTCGCTCAAACATGGACCGGGATCGATCACACACCCACAAAGTGATTGAAGTTGAGCACCTCTTCACCCGGTTTTATACTTTTAGACCTTGTTCACAGTGTCGCATTTGCACATGTCTAACCTGTCCCATCCCATGCAACAAACCAAAAAGAATCGGATAACTCTGCTGTTTAGTGCAATGATCGGTAATTAGGTTTACGCGGTCCGTCGGTTCCCATCGCGTGACCGCTAAACACCGTCTGAGCACATGACCCACCGACTGTCAGCTTATTTGTGTGAAGTATCTGTATCGGTCATTTGACCAGCATTTTCTACCACCATGCACGTGTTCTTCTATTTAATTTGAACAAATAAAATATAAGTTTCAAAGAATTTATGGTTGGGAGATTACAGGACAGGGGGGTCTGAAGATCACTGTATAGTTTTAGGGGAGGTCCGTTCATTCCATTAACTCATGCATCTTACGTGCCCCAAAAATCCTTACTTGGTCAAAGTACCAAACGGGTATTTACGACTCTTTTTGGATACCCAATACAATTACTCTAATTTTAAAAAATGTATTTGTCTACAAAATAACGGTATCAACTGTTAATTCATCCTGTAAGTGAAGTCAGTGCGTGTTAGAAAGCCGTAAAGCTGTCTGTCCTGTCAGTCCCGTGACACCTTCGTCTGTGCTAGAGACTACCCGTGTGATACTCGCATAGTCTCTTAAACCAGGTCTGTCAAGGTCACAGTAATACAGTCTCACACTCCAAGGGGGACGGAACATATGTGGTACACTATTCTGGCTGTCTCATGCCAACCGTCGCTATCTCTCTGTGAGGTTTTTGAATCCAAGGTCCTAGATGACGGTCCGACTTATCAACCTGCCTAGGTTTTGGTGCCCTGGGAGTAGCTCGGCCCATACAGAACCATGAACAGTGCGAATGGCAAAATTTCATGTCATCACGAAAGCGGAATACTGTTGGCGCTTCCCATAGTTCGTCACTAGTATCTTTTATCTCTCCATTTGTCCCATTAATTGACTGCCTTTCTGTAGATTTCAACAATAGGCACACCAATCTTGCACCGAAGAATGGAGTGATAACAAGTCACTGCTCATGTCAGCAACTTTATTTCAACTTCTCAGACCCGGTTCCCGTAGTTTTACGCAACCTTTAATGTGCGGACTCTGGAGAGAATCGGCCAAAAAGCTGCCCTGGAGCAATTTCCGACACCACCGATGGATACTTCTTGCACCAAATACCCGAATAAAGAAATCGTATACTCTTATCGAACTTAAATTTTTTTTTTCTGTGAATACACTACCGCTGTGAACTACNACGCTCTTCCGCAGCGTCCGTATAGGTTTCAACTCCAGAGCTGGGGCTTCATTTTCTGACTGTGTCCCGGTGAACAAGAGCTCTTGCTTTGTTTGCTTGTCAGCTCTCATAGGAATCCACACTGGTCGAAATAATACCCGAATGACCTCTTCTCTGATCGGCCGATGATCTTTTCAGCCCAATCTACCAAATGGATTCCATCCAGATGGTTTCATTCCTGTGTGCTCGTTCCGTTTGCAATTCCCTTCAAACTGCACTGGGTGAGGCATACCACTGATGGCTGAACAGAATGCTTTTTCACACAATCCTAGAAGCTGTTCACTAACTTTGTGCTCAAACTCGTTCGATATCCACAGCAATCATCATATTACAAGCTGGGAAATTAAGAAATGTTTTTGAGGCTACTTCATTGATCGATTCAAAAACTCGACGTGTATAATGCCTGCGGATTGAGCCCGTGTTGCCCCAATGTCACAGCTGCAGGACTGTTTATCGTAAATGACATTAGGTGATGACCCACGATCATGTTACACGCAACACAAATGCACAGCCGAATCTGATAAAGCGAGCTGGCCTTCATCATGACCGGTGAGTTCGCAAAGTATACGCGCCAAGAATGATATCAGAACAAGCTTCGGATACATTAAAACAAACTTATTACGACTGATGAGATTGATGGACGCCAGGTAAAAAATTACCGGTTCGCTGCTAGCTCTGTACAGTAACACGAAGATGAAACGAATGAAGGACGTAAATAGCTAGAAAACAAATACTTGGCATCTGGAGCACTTTTCCCGACTTGTAGTTGAGAATCTGGGGTGCCCAGCAAATAGTCCTTTGTGGTGAATATGGGAAAGCCGACTTAGGTGATCAAAATGGACAGTGGCATAAGGTCGAGTAGATGGTACAGTCACGTAGAATCACAGTGGAAGAAGGGATGTCGGATGATGAAACACTGGCCGGAGTTTTGGATTTGTTACACGCACAGCCTGTTAGGAGAAAAGGAATTGAGCCGATCACCTTAGTCATTTCATCGGCTATGAACGGTGTACCAAGAGTACTCTGACGCTTCAGTATCGGTCACCCAGAAAACGGATGCTAAGAAAAGAGATAGCCAACCATGCGGGTTTTGGGATAATCGGTCGATTGTTGTTGAATCAGCATAGTTATTCGAAGGAGTTGGTAACTGAGCAGCTACGTATTGGAGACATTTTTGATGCACCACCGGTCCTAATTGTGTGTGCGAGTGTCACTAACCATTGATGAGTTCAGTCTAGGGGTCCCCGTTCCGTGAAGTGGTAGTTGTCAGTCCGACTGAGTTTAGTGGTTATTGCTTTCGGTCGTATCCAGTCAGCACAGGACTAGGCAAACGCAGCTCCACGAGGCACTATTCAGTACAACCTACGAAGCAGGAGTAATTTATCCTTCGCTGGAAAGTTCCCCCCTTAAAATCACCTAGCGTAGCTCAACCTTGCTAAACCGGTGTTTACAGCAGAAACTAACAACGCTACCGAGACACCCGTGGTCAAACGCCAAGGGTTCTGTACATCCTCTCCTCGTAAAGCCCGCGTTCTTTATCCACAGAGTAGTATGAGTTGCGCTATCGCAGTGTATGCTGTACATCTGACAGATAGACTGATATCACGAGGGAGATTGTTGGTAGCCGAAGTCAAAGTAGGGGAGTTAAGGTTATGGGGTACATTCGTCACTAGTTCGATAGTCACCCAAGAAAAGACATCGTTCCGCTTCTGGAAAATTTCATTTTATGTCGCAAAATTACTAGGATGCTAGTATGCTAGTCTCTCTTCCAAAATCTTCATTGGGTAGTCTAATCCGCTTGGCTGCGCTTAGTTCACCTCCCGATGACTTCTTAAATTGCACCTTTCAGTTTGCAATGATTCAGTCACTTATCTTAATGGCTGAGCAAAACAGCTGTCACTGACTGGATAACCTTGCCATGCGTTCACCTCAAAGTTGGTCGACCGATTGACTTTGAAACGAACTCGGGTGGTTAGTTGCTGACCGGTTTGCCTTGTTACCCGTTGCTGCACCGCAAACCACACATCACCTCCCACAATTTGTGGTAGATGAGCAACACATGATTAAACCAGATGGAAAAATCAAGTCCAACCCACAGATTGAGGCACACAGTGATCACTTCATCACCCTTTTCTCTCTGACATTCTGATTAATGGACCATGCTGTACGCGTTTAGAGTCAATAATATGTTGGCGAAATACCAAAGTGTATTTTCCAACAAAGATAATGGACTGAAGATATGAGTTCTCGACGCTTGTTGAAAACTGAACACAAAGCTGGCAAGAGGTAAATGGAAGTGTTTGTAATGAACAAAGGAGAGCATAGTATAACCTGGGACGAACTGATTTTTTGCCTTAATAGTGTTTTTCATCCTTACGGTTCTCAGATTTTTATACAAATTCAATCCAGCCTGATCTTAAATTAAGTAAACATGCACTCATAACGAGCTATTCTGAAATTTGAATGTTGTTTGTTGGACAAGATCGGGCGAGTCAAAACAGATCGCCATGTCAGCGTCTCATAGGAGAACTCCTGTTCGAACTCGTCATCTTATCCTGATCGCGGTTGTGTGGATTTGACTGAGATCAGAATTGGTTCAATCATTGTGATGTGATGATTGTGGTGGTCGATCAGATTCCAAAGAAACTCAGGATCAATTTCTCTGGTTAGTCTAATAATCCTGTATCTGGCGGCTGGCAATGGTTGAACTACCACGGTACGGTAGAAGACGCTTTGAAAAAGACGCAGTATTGGTGAAACATCAGGAGAGGACGTTTTTTGGCAGGAAATATAACTCTGTGCGTTGTAACGGTGATAATATGAAAAAAAAACGCTGTCGAATTTCATAGGGCTCAGAGGGTGACGCCATAGCGAATGGGCAATATTACGAGTGTATATCAGTTTCGGCTAGATATTGGTGTATTTAAATCAAGTTTAGAACGAACCTTGATTTGAAGCAGGCTTCACTAGGCGACATCACGTACTTAATCGCAATAACCGGAGGCAGGAGTGCAGGAGGCAACTGTCGCAGCTGAAGGTTGAGTGTTGTACAGATGTTGTCAGATGCTAAACCTTATACCTAGATAGTAATTAAATCTCCAGGTGGTTGACTTAGGCATGGCGACTTGAAAGTGTAAACAATGCTGAAACTCGTTTGTTACAGACTAGTGCATGTGATCGTTCCAACTAATGGGTCACCAAACAGGACGTGGAATCGAACAATGTTTGCCAGCACTGGAGCGAAGTTTTCATAGTTGGTGTCTAAGTCTTCCCGTTTACAATAGAGCACCTTAACAAGGGTTGGATAAAGCAGTTAGGTTAGTCCTTTGGTCTCCCTCAGCTGTAATCATGAAGTCAAATTCATTTCAAAATACCGCCGATGGAGCTTTGCCCAATTGGTCTATTTTAGAGGCACGACCATATAGTGGAGACAGATAAATCGCTAATTTTAGGGAAGATCTGAGTATTTCTTTGGACTACTTTATTTTAGTGACACAAACCAATTGTATCACAAAGGTGTGGTAAACAACCGATGGACCTACTTCCGAGCAAAGTTCCGCTTTCGGCGAACGGAATAAGTTACCGCATTAACCGATTCTAAGGCGAATGATCGACTAGCAAAGTCAACCAGTTAATCAAAACTTCTTGTTGGTTGGTATGAATGACTAAAACTTGAGAAAAATTGGGTTGGAGTGGAAGCATCATCACAAGTTGAACCGGTCTTCCGGTTCAGAGTTTAGTTGAATAATCACCTTGAATGCTGTTTACGTACATTTTCGTTGTGTCGAGTGCTACGCTGACCGAGTCAAGGGTTAAAGAGATCAAGTAGATTTTTATCAGTTTTGGACCCAGGCCGCTTCATCAGCAACCTCATATCGCCACTACTCGGCCGATCTACAACCGCCCTCCTCTATTCACGCTGGGATGCTTGGGCGAGATGGCTCGGTGGTAAGAGCGCGAATTCACTGACCGGAAGGTTCGTGGTTCTAATCCGACCTCTGCCTCTCGACTCCCCCTGTCTAGGCTTGGGTAACCTGACAGTATCCCAGCCATTGTGCTTCCTTCTGGTGGCATGGCAGTCAGGCACCGAAAGGGTGCTACAGCTGAACGCTGAACAGCGGTAAGCTGGGATGCTTGGCAATTTCCATCGCCTTGATCACCACTCACCGTGGTGCGAATCTTGGTTCGCGGCACACGAATTCCACATTTCCCAACCCTATGTCCAATGTCCATTGCACGCCTCACTATTACTGAGCCTTTGACTACCGTCTGCTATTCGTCTGCGCTTCTCGGCCGTTGTCTTTGAGCAGGTAGTGCTAACTATTTGAATTACAGTTTTGCGTATGGAGACCTACGTGAACTCGTTACACTTTGTTTTGCACAAACAATCTCTGGTTATATCGACTGAAAGGCGATCCTTTGTTTGCACCAAAACTGAGAGTTTTCCACTCCGGAATACCAATCTAATGATAGTAGTATTAACCAGACTTCTGGTGAATTCAGATATCTCGTTTTTGTATGGGATGATTTCCGTCCAAATCAACATCTGGCTGGATCATGGTAGTGCGGCAAATGCCCACATTAGTTGCCACTTTATTAGGCTCAGTGAGGGTCAACTTTCATGAAGTTTCTCACAAACTCTGTGCTGCTGTTCATTCGGCTTCCGTCCAGAGCGCTCTTACTTGATGAAACACTGATGAGACTATACTAGCATATTTATTATTAGAGTGTACTAGCTTCGGATGGGACTATACGTGTTTTAAGAATACGGAGATCGAGTTCGAACCACGGACCTTCCGGTCAGTACATCAGCGCTCTAACCACTGAGCCATCTAACTATATAAGCAAAAGTAACTAGGTCATGCGCTGTGCACGTCGAATCAGAGTTTACCGGAAAGCACATCAGAATGGCGAAAATCACGAAGCGGACGTGACCAGGTCGAAGATTATACATGAGCTTACAAAAAAAGACAGGAACTAGTATGCCCGTAATCCCTGCTGCAACAAGCTTGGGACGATACGTCCCGCATTTACGTTGGCACTTTAGGAGTGTAGGCCTCCTAGAATGATTGCGGTAAGCTAGTACAACATTCCACTAATGAACACTTTTTTCCATTCCAGTTTTACAAGACGAGCTTTGTGGCGGTTTGGCAATAAGGACGCTGTTATTTATGGTGAGAGCAACACCGTTCGGTCCCTACTGGTCTGATAACGTTTGCTGGAACGAAAATGCGGTCCCTATGGAGAAGTCTTTACAATTCACGAGCTCCTTAATGCGACCGCAACAGCTCCGACCGTAGCGTTTCAGGGGCGTAAGAAGTGAAAAAGAATGAGACAACGAACTAACTTCAACAAATTTGTACCACCTGAAAGACAGGCTATTTGTTCTCAAAGATCGCGTCCGCATGTCGACAGAACAGGCACGCTGTCATGCCGCTGAGACGAGGACAAAAAATGTAAGGCGATTTCGAGTATCGACCACTGAGTTCACATTTTCCAAGTGATGAAGAAGCTGAATTCGTTTCGCGAATGTACTCAGTGTGATGCAGTGGTTCGAAAACACACAAGTGATCCTTAGTCGTCTGATGAGAACGGTGTTTCCCCCGCCAAATTCATAATGGCACAAACAGAGAAGAGAAGAATTATGTCCGCCTTTGTGTCCCGGACGAGGTCCCAACGGTCGTTTAACAAAACAGCATTGAGAACAACAAGAAATAAATGTACTAGGACAAGAATTCTGTTGGCCATGATTTATCAGAAGAAACCCATCATAGGGGAATGCCTTTGAAATGAGTTGGAACAATTGAGCTACGAAAGGATAGGTGGATCTACACAAAATACGTTTAAAAGGAAAAAACAAAATGAAACCGAATACCCGGCAGGAAACACATGAAAAAAGTCTTCGATGATTATCTCGGCTTCTTTATCCCTGCTACTTGTCTGACATAAACAATCTGGTTTAGGGGGGTGTTGGGAGTTCCATAGTTTTCAATTTCTCCAAACACGCGGACATCTTCTCGCGAGTCTCGTTCAGAAGTGCATCTACATTCGAGCTATCCATTCCTGTGGTACTAATTTGCGGCAGAACTTGGACGTAATAGGAAGCTGTGACAAAAGGAGGGAAGACAAGGAAACGATAGGAAATGGAGACATGACATGCCACTTCAGACATTTCCTGCGAAACGTACGGAGGTCAAGCGGACTGAGATCAGCTACATAACAAAACAGACTGCGTAAACGTCCTTCTGGGACGTCTCCATAAAAATTCTTGATGAGAATACAGTGACAAACCCAAGAGGAAGCCCTCCATTGAGACAATATCAAAGAAACGGGGCTCGTTCTCAGTACAACCACCTATAGAAGGAACGAACCCTCGGAATGGAAGAGGAAACTATCCGGGTCCCAGACCACGCCTACACCACCACATTTGCTAGCGGGCGAGATAAACTATCACGCCAAACTAGTGGTCTTAAGTACTGCGAATATACCACTCAGTGACATCGGCTTGACGTGGCTCGGCGTATTCGCACAGCAGGAAACGTTGGAACACAATATATTTGACTTACGGGATGAATGTAATGGAAGCATAGCAAAGTATTATCGGACTCCCAGTAAATGCCAGTAGTTTTGTTATTGTGTCAGAATATGGATATCTCGTTTTGTAGTTGGCTGTATTATTACACTTTAACTCATCCGGACAAAATTTTTTATCCTAAATGTCCGTGATCAATCTTCAAAATCAGATCTCGGTCAGAGTATTGCCGAAGAATAGGACACCTAGTGCATTCATTGTCAACTAAAAATATTCCATTACAGACTTCCAAAACCAGTACAATACACCGTAGTGTACTAGTGCAAAAAATGTTCGAAATAGTTTACATTAGCCAACCTACTCAAACCGAACTACTCTCGTAGAGGTAGTTTCAGAAAATGTTGGTTCGTGAGGTGAGAGAGGGAAGGGTGCACCAGCGAACAGCCAACAATTCAGTCCAGTGACAGTAATTCTTACTGTACCACATCCGAGCCCGACAGAACTCAGTGCTTAAGGTGCCAACTTACTATGAATCGAACGCAACCTCTGCGTCTCGACTGCTTCTGTCTAGGCTTGGGCAACCTGGCAGTATGTCAGCCCTCGAAGCTCTTTCAGGTGTAACACCGGGTGTTACAGCTGAACGATTGCTTGTCGTGTTGTTTACATCTGCACTGTGTTGACCTGTTTCATTAGCGAAGGATAACCCCTAAACACCGGAAGTTTTTCTTTACCTCTGTTATGCAAACTAAGTGTTCGCTACAATAGCATAAACTGCCACTGGGTAGTTTAATAATGGTCTACTCTGGGTAGAACAATAGGATTTGGTCTTTATTCGATCGAATTCCACATGAGCTGCTCAATCACAAGGCGTGTAGATGATAGTGGGTTGTACATTCGAAGTAGTTGAACGCTATCTGGCTTCGCACCTACCTAGCCTTGATTGGTGAAAGACTACAAGGAATTACCGATTCAAGCAGGGTATGAAACGTGGGTGGTACCAAAACATGCCCACTATATGCTTCAGTGAATATACCCGACCCAGACCAATGTGCGCTGTAAATTTCTGCAAAGGCACCAAAATGATATGGTGCAGTTGCCTGTTTTATCGAGCATGAAGGTCCCGTCTCTGGGTCCTAGGGGTAAGGGTACAAAATCATCATCAAAGACAGCAACATCAGTATTGGCACTGAAGCTTCACTGCGTACGAAATGAGTCCAAATCTACATATTATTTAAGGACTTGAAGCACGCCACGATGCACTGCAACCACTTATTGTCAAAGGGTCAATCTTAATATTTTGTGTCCAATGATTCGCACCACTTTCAGTGACATCATAGCATCTTCCACTGTGTACGCATGAATGTCATGATACAGCAAACAAGTGCATTCCTCCAGACCAAATGCACCTCCGTTATTGGTCCCTATCAGCACTTCGCTCTCACGTGTGGTCTCAAGTAACATTTGGTATGTCACAGAGGCCACATCAATGGGACCAAAGTTACGCGCGATCAACTACTATCTACCAAATAACATTCTGGTTGCCATTCTGCATTCTGTCTTTGGTTTGTGGTGGACAGATCACGACATGGAAATGCGGAATGAAAATGGCTGCCGAGAGCAAGTGAAAGCAGTACGAGGCAGATGAAACAGCCTTTTGCATCCGTCGGCCGTGATGGCACCTATTCTACGACTCCATAAGCTTTGGCTTGTGGTTCACAAAGCGCAGTCATTTGTATGAAGGCTGAAAGTGCACCCTGTTGGACGTTCGTCGATCTCCAGTGTCAAAAAGGCAGATTCCTGTGTCTTAGTAAACGCTATCATGTCACCCAGCCTATATAAGCGCAAAGCTGGCCTATCCAAGTATACTTTTGAAATACCCTATCATTTAGTATTTATCAAGTAAACATCACACCGTAGTCCCTTACTAAAAACATCATCCCGACTTCTAACGTAGCTCAACGGACTCCCTCATCCTTGGCGTTCATTCATAACCACGCTTGGGTCTTGCATGTGCCTTTTGGAGACACAGCGCACATATATTTTAAGAGAGTATAAGGCTTCGGCGAGGATTGCCTGTTAGCAAATTTTACATAGAGTACAACGTTAGAAGCTCTTACGTAGAAAGAATCTTGTAGATTTCGTAAGGTGTTATTTTGTTTATTGTCAATAGGCAGCGGGGCGCATAAGGCTCATCAGTCAGATAACAGATGGTCAAACGAACCAACAACGTCGGGTTGTGTGGTGGGAAAGGGTTGGGGAGGAACATCAGTGGGCATTGAACTATCAGTCAGATAACAGATGGTCAAACGAACCAACAACGTCGGGTTGTGTGGTGGGAAAGGGTTGGGGAGGAACATCAGTGGGCATTGAACTGTGCGAGCAAATGATACTTCCTGGTTGCCTGGGACGAGGAAGGGGGCTTGGTTGAGGTATTCCACCTTGAGTCTTTGACTCAAGCTTAACTCACAAGGCAGTGATGGAATTTAGGGCTGCTTGGGGACCGTACCCCTCGTCTCTGACTCGACAATCTGAACCGTGAGGTAGATAATATAGTTTTCTATGGAGACCCTTCCCGGAGCCGATGACCCGATAGTCTGACCTGCTCAGCAGCAGTGGGTTGACGTGACCACATGGCACAGGGGGTAACGCAGTACTCTCACTCCCGATGCGGCTGCGCACAGCAGGTGCCTTTTGAGCAGCACCGGACTCTTTGGTTTTAAAGGCATTTCGACGTACTGAATATTGCGCCGGCAGTCACCGTCAACCGTTGGGTGACCGGAATATGCAGTCTTAAAGGCTGACCTTTTCTAACCCGTCCTTCCTCGGTGGACGGCAGCATCGCTGCTTCCATTAATAAGGACATGTTGGTCGCCTGGGGGAAACACCCTGCTGCTTTCACACTCCTATCGCAGGGGACAGCACAAGTTTACCCGCAGACCACCTGGTAGCACGATTACTCCCAGTATATGTCTTGCTGCGCTTGGTCTGACTGCTGCCCAACAGCCTTTCCGGCACGACTGCATCTTCGTGTTAAACAAAAATACTCCGGACGGATGCCGTTTCGACTGAAATGTTATCACCTTGAAAAAAGCATCTAAATAAAGACTATCGTCTAAGAAACTGGGACGATCTGCAGCTTTAAAATTGATAACGACGAGTACTTCCCGACCAAACAGTCAGGATACTAACTTCCTTTAAAGGAAGTTCTAAGACGCTCATATTCGATTTACAATAAGTCAGGGGAACGTATCAGAGCTGCACATATAAGGGAAGTTCGTAAAAGTATTCTCTTCTGAGTAGAACAAAACTCTCAATTAGGTGGTCTGCAGCGCCCTATTTATAGACCTAGCCAGATCGGAAAAGCCGGCATATCAAGGAAGCTAGGCGTGCTTTTTCTGTCTTAGGCAACTACTTGGTGTTTAGGCGCAGGTATCTTTTGTGCGTATTATGCATGCTTTCGAACGATAAAGGTCTTCCACACGGCATCTGCAGGTAGGCGCTTCGATCCTCGAAACTTGAAATAAAAATATTGGCATATACAGTACGGCGATGTTAAAAAGTGTTTATTCAACCTGGTTTGTTTCCCGTGGCACATAAAGTATCGAGTGGAGAATAGCTAGGGCCCTGGGTATAGTCACTACAGCACTGATTGTTCGAGCAATCGTCCTCCTGTTCAGGGAATAAAGCCTCGCGTCCAGGTTTTGACAAGTATGTAGGCAGGGTGAGTCAGTAATGTGTTGCCGTCAAACGTGAATGGCCCTGACGGCAGTTCATTTTAACTAGGGAACTTGTCGTTCTTGATGGAGCTAACGACCTCGTGCACTCGCACTACAGTTGGTGAGTTAAGGATAGATAATCTGTCTATGTTGGTTTCTGATTATTGCCGTCACTTTTATTCGAGAGAGAGCGTTCTGCCAAAGTCCACTGATGGACGAAATTTCAAAACCACCGAGCTCATGAGTTGTCTGCTGGATGCAGGCTCTCTTGGAAAAGGCTAATATTTTATTGCCAGATTTTACTTGTTCCTGTTAAGATTGCTCCATTTCTCAATTCCTCGTGCCTTCATAATGCTGTCTTCCTGGAGGCCATTAGGCAGCCAAGTCTGTTCGGTTTTTGTTTCCGTTTCGAAAGGAAACAGAAGGGGATGAACGCCGGAAGTAAAAAAATGGAAGCAATCGGTTGATATTCATGGATGCACTGGGTGGCACATGTATTCACAGACGCATGTCTTGGCGCGTTCCCAGCTACGTCAAACAGTGCTCTTTTTGGTTATCGAGTGTCTGTTTGCTCACCTCACGAGCTGAATTCTACCCAAAAGACCTCAATGTGGTAAATTCTTTCAGATTGCTTAATCCGAGTGCTTCCTTCGGATAGGTGGCAGACGGGTGCTGACATCGACCAGTTTCTATGGTTTGTCTGACTGATTTTCCCTCAGCAAAAGTACACTAAAGGCTTTTCTCATATTACTGCATGATCTAATTCCAGACAAGTATTCTATTAGGGACTACAGTCTTGAACGAAGCGTTTCGCTGTGTAACCCATTTAGGTCCGCCAGTGGACAGTGGACGGTGTGCTAGGTATGGCCGGCTTTGTGTACATGTACCCTGGAGCTGATGGCCATTGTCGTTTAAGTCCTAATTNCCGTAAAAATCATCGATGGAATACTTCTGACCTCAAACAACCTGCTGTTGCATTCTACGCACCAGGCAGAGATATTTTTTATCAATCCGCGTGATTACTCAGTGTAATAAGCCACCAGCCATAGCTATTTAAGCCACTTACATCGCCAAGTTCAAACCAATAGTGGAGGCTCACTTGTCACAAGGCCACTTTGGTTCACCCTAACACTTAAGTTAAGTCTATCATTAACTTCAGTACCCAACACTGTCTATATGTGACATCCACAATGGAAATAATTCATTATTCCATTATTCATATCCAACCCTAAAAGCACCACCCCTTGGATCCTTCTTGAGCACTTGTTTTCAACTGTTTCAAAATATATGAAGTATATATGAACTACACAAATACACTTCACCGAATCCGAAGCATGAGTAAAGCACAACAATAACCGAAACAAAAAGTGAAGGAAACATACCATCATCGAATCGCTTGTTTTCAAAATCGAGGAATCGCGTGTACGGTGTTATTACAATTGGCTGAATTGGGAACTATACAAACATTATAACAGGATCCAATCACGTTACCTGGGTCTCAATCGCCAGATGAAATGCACCTTTTTTGAATGGAAGCATTGTTCCTGTACAAGACCGCGTACCTTCTGGGAAAACGTACACGGAAACCTGAGGGAACAGTCATATTGAATGTCAAACATACCTTCGCATCTCGCGCCTCTGTAGCAGCATATTTCATTATGGATACTGCGTCACTATGCTTTGATCGATCAATATAGATCAGTTTAGAAAGCCACGTGATGACGCCTACAGGACCTGCAAACTTCATTGACGCCTTTGAAATGATTGTGCACTGCTCTGGCCATACATCCACCAAACCTGAGAATTTGAACATTGCGAAAACAGCCTCACTGGCAACGTCGATGATACTCTGATGATTAGCAACATATATGCACGGCTTTTCCATGGTTAAATAATGTGAATCTTTGACTATCGGTTTTAATCCAATAAGGTTCCCAGCTATTTGAAACAAACGTCTGAACCGCCTAGAGGACTAATGAGTAATTATCACAGAGTTACCACGCGTTTTTGTAATCTCGACCACGGATGCTGAACTCTATGATATAATACAGCGACCCGATGGATATCACACCGCAAAATATTATATATTTCAAATAAAATTTAACTTTGGGCACTCTGTAGGCAGCACATAACGCAACGAATCCCAAGCAAGTGTAGAGAAAAACTGAAGCCAGCATAGTGTAAAGGCCGCTGACTCGACGGAAGATTTATCCAAATGCAGCACCTATAAGAATATTATAAAGGCACATAAGATGCATTAACGTTCAGGTCTGTGCCAGGTAGAACTTCAGTTTGGAAGTCAATGTTCCGCTCTGAAATACAAGTAGAAGACAAAGTAGGTGAGAGGAACGCAATCGTGAAGGGACGAAATTCGGGCTTTTTGACAGGCATCAGCCCGGCGGAACAACCACTCGGGGCTTCCCCCTAAGCACGGTATCCAGTAGTTCAGAAATGGTCTTAAACGAATGAGGGATAAAAACAGACATTTTTGATCGCGATACAGCTTAGCAAGTATACGATGAGTAAGATTAGCTGCATGAAGCAGTGCTCCCCACCTTCTGTGGTTTTGTCGATGTCCTTCTTTTGAACCGTATCCAGATGGGATATCAGGGGTGTCGTTATCAATCTTTGAGTGAATCAGTAGACTACTGTACGGATACACTCGGGCATATCTTTTGCCAGCTGCAGCACAGTTCTCCACATCAAGCCCCGAGGATGTATATTGTCGTATCGGTCAGAGATCTAAATGCGCAGGTTGGCTAACTCTCCTCCAGCGACCCAACACAGGATATCAGCTTGGTCTAGATGCTAGGCGCTCAGATAAGGAGGATAGCTATATGGCCTGTGCTCGGACAGACAAGTACAAGTAAGTAGCACAAGCTTCAAACAGAGTAAACGAAATCCTCACTTGGTATCTACTCTCCTCGACTGAGTTTTGAACTCGAACTGACCGAAGGACAGTCCATTGTAAAGAGACGAACTTAAGCTGGAGCGAAGGGTTGCGTACCTGGGCGACCCATAGAGCTATACTGAAGGATGCTGGTGTGACATCTTACCAGGTTGATTAGCGGATGGAAGTCCGACAAATATGATCTCGTGGTCCTTCAGATTGAGCGTTGGAACAGGTGTGAAACCTTGACCCTTGAGAGTCATATTAATTTGGTAATCTCACGCTAATCAACGCTGATTTTCAATTAGTTTCTTAAACCAAGATTTGAGAACTTTAATAGTCACCTCACCGAGACGTGAGTATCCTGGAAGTATTTCGACACACATCATCGACACGCATGCAACTATGAAACACACCAACTAAATTACCTGCATGTCACAACGGCCTCTTATGGCAATTAAGCGCCTGCAATTAATATCGACGTATTGTTGTCGATGACGACGACGACAACGCAATAAGTTACAGGCGGTGGGGTAGCATCCAAGACCACCGTTCTCACTGGTCTAGTCGTCTTAACTCCGACAACGGTTTAGCTGAGACGGTGAAGGATGAATGTTATCAATTTCCAGACATGCATAATCAGCAACCTCCAGCCAGTGTAGGCCTCAGATACAATAAACGCCATCACGCGACGTGGCGTTCACCACCAGCAACTCGACGACAGATTCCAATTGATCAACTTACCTTAAGCAATCTGTAGAGAAGCTACGTCTAAGTGTACCAGGCCCAATGAAACGCTTACTTAGAATAGGATCATCCTACGGTGTGCGTGAAACTAAGGATCCACCTCTGTGGAAGAATAGATAACTGGCCAAGGCACTTTGATGTGAAAAATTTGATAGAAGTGAGCAGGCTTGAAACCGTTCGACAGAAATCAGCACCAAAGCTGGGTGGAAAGACTCCTGTGACTCAAGCCGAGAAGCGCACCGAAAACGTCCTTGCACAGTCTGTCGTTCACCCACGCCACTTGTATCAACTGAAAACCTTCGTCTGCTTGGAACACAAAACTTTCCAGTTCATTCTACTCAAAACAAAGAAACAAAAAAGACGAGGAATCAGTCGTCCGGGAGTTTGTAGAAACAGTATTATGGTGCTGCAATTAATCTATGGGGATTTCAGCTGAGTTCAGTTTACCAGCTATAAACCATGCATCAATGATACATTAATTTATCATCATCATCATCATCATCATCATCATCATCATCATCATCATCATCATCATCATCATCATCATCATCATCATCATCATCATCATCATCATCATCATCATCATCATCATCATCATCATCATCATCATCATCATCATCATCATCATCATCATCATCATCATCATCATCATCATCATCATCATCATCATCATCATCATCATCATCATCATCATCATCATCATCATCATCATCATCATCATCATCATCATCATCATCATCATCATCATCATCATCATCATCATCATCATCATCATCATCATCATCATCATCATCATCATCATCATCATCATCGACAGCATATCATCGGTGTTCAACACCGATGATTGACTGCCGTAATACGTTAATTAATTCTGCTACAGGCAGGTCACCGAAAAACGAGAGAGCAGGGAGGGTAAAGCCAGGTACTAGAAGTGACGGTCTAATCAGTTAACAGGTGCTGAATCGCCAAACCCACCTAGTCGTCTGACGAAGCGGAAAGCTGGGCAGCTACGAAATGATGCACGACAGCCAACTACGTGATTCAGAAACGGTAGCTATATAATCTCCACGTACAGACAACATTTATGACCTATAAAACCGTCGCCGCGTACAATCCAACCTTAACGGACGAGGTGAACGAGAGAGCAATAGGTACAGCATGTCACCATCATTAGAGACACTCAACGACAACTCAACTGGTTATCTGCAGGTTCACAGTCTGATTACCGACCGTTTGGCTGTAGCACCCTTTTGCTGCCTAACTGCCATGCTACCAGAAGAAAGCACGAGGGCTGAGATACTGCCAGGTTGCTCAAGCCTAGACGGGGCTGACGACCGAACCACAACGCAGCCCTGCACAGTAAACTTGGAGCCCCGACGACTTGGAAATAAGCGAATGCCTTTTTTCTACTATCATGGTGTTCATTGATCTCAAAAGTGTACCATTCTGTCGCCGGATCAGGTCTTCTCAGCATACGTACAGGGATATGCTCGAGAAGTTCATGAATGTCATGCGATGTTTGCATTTGCGCATTTGTACATCCGTAAGTGTATGGGAAATCCTCCAAAATCTTTCCTACAAGGAGCGAAGTTGGACAGGAATATCCACTCTCCATTTTTTCGTTAAAGTTCGTCACTAATGGAGCAATGAGGAGAACACTGGAAGGTCTCCAGAACCCCGTTGTTCAGATCCCTTCAAACGAGGACCGTGTCAACGTAGAATATGCAGACGTTTTTCTCATTTCGCTTGCGAAGCGCAAGCAAAAGCCATCCAATCCTTCGGCATGTGCTTCGCGCCCACAGAGTGCAGTCATGCTGCTGAGGGACGTACAGTCTTTGAACACGCCTCTGAGAACTCAAGGAGTGATACAGGTGGTTACGGGACATCATAAGTATCTTCGAGGTTGCGTTAGTCCTAATTGCAGTGTGACAAACGAAGTTGACGCACGAATCTCGAAGACTAGAATTATGCTTGACGATTTGCATCACTTGTGACGTCGAAAAAGCACCTGTGATCCTTAAAGGACGCGCGTATTAGACTACAGCACGGACTGTGTTGTTGTATAGTTGCCAAACTTAGCCAATTAGGACGGAGGACCAAAACATGTTGAGGTCTTTGACCACTGATATCTCAAAATCGTGGCTGGAATCGGCTGGAACCGACGAAGTCGGAATGAAGTGGTCAGGAGACGAAGTCTTGGTTAAGTAAGGAGTACTGCCCTCACAGCGTCTATCCAGCACTACAGGCCAAGGTAGCTGGGCCATATGTCACATACCGCCTGCCAGGAAGAGCGCTGTTTACCGTGCTCAATTTAGAGTAGTAGGGGCCTGGAAGTGGACGGCATTTGACACAGCAGAAGGGAATGAAGGGTGTTAAGAAAAGTTTTGGTGCAGTCGGTGCTGTTCGCCTTCCAGGATGGTGCCCACGTGACCCTCCTTGTGATTGGCTGGAGGCAGAGAACGATATGGTGCATAACCGACGTGACATTCATGCTGCCAGTTTTCATCTAGACTGCTTGACTGAATGCTTGAGATGTGAGCAACTCAGATATTTATGGTGGGCTCTCCTTACTCCACTTCTTCCTTCTTCATATTATGCGTTTTGTTTAATAAATTGCTGTGAGTGTACAGCAGTGATGCACAGCAGTGTTCTCAATGATGGTGATGATCTGTTGAAGTGCACCTACTTCCCTCTTATGAGCGAAGCAAGCTGAACATGTGTGCTTATTAGTAGTCACAAGTTCTGTAAGAATGGATTGGAGTATGGCATTTTTGTATCTCTTCTTCTGATTCAGGACTGGTTAATTTGTATAGGTGTAGTAGTTATCCCAATGGCGAACGTGACTCTAGATCAACCAGAATTTCTGATTTGAAGTGGATCATAGAAAAGTTTGTTGGTTCTGGCGTTGTCGTCAATAGGCTAGAGTTATCCCCACACTGTAGTGCAGTGTGGTCGATGGAATATGAGTCTCCTGAGTGCTCGCGTTGAGCTGTCTCAGTTGAGGTATAAAGCAGTTCTAGCTTCTCAAGATGTCTGTATTTGGTTGTCCGCTATCAGAATAACAGGTGCGCGCTCCAGAGAGAGAAGTGGTGGTTGAACATGAGAGATATATCTAGAATCCAGGATGATATTTGATCTTTGACTCATGCTACCCAGCACAAAGCCTGCTCTGTTTGTGTGACCTTTTGCTGCTTGTGCTTGCAGAAATCAACCAGAGGATTTGTCGTACCTTCCATTGTATGGTCGGAAGGTTGTACGATTGTGGCAACAGTGTTCTCAACTGGTGTTGCTGTCAGTGATGGTGAGGAGGAGAATATTACTATCTGCTAAGAGGCAAAAGTTTTAACATAAATATGGTGGGGATGATAATGCTGACAAGGGTAAATATGCGGTTATTACACAGAAATACACGGATAGCTGTTGGTTATTGCGAAATTAGGAAAAGTCAGAAATATAAGCATACAACCGAAGGCAAGAAGCGAAAACGGAACCCAACTAGAGCGCAAAAGGATCACGAAACTCAGTGAATTATCACGGGGA